TGTATTTTTGTGTGTTTATGTGTGGATGGTGATGCGTGTATTTTGGTAGTATATAGATGTGTGTATATGTTTATTTTGTGTGCTGTGTGTGTGTGTATGGTCTTATTTTTATATGTATATATATGTGTTGTGTTTGTATTTTTGTGTGTATATGTGTGTGTGTGTGTCGTGTATTTTTTGTTTGTATATATATGTGTGTATATGTGTATTTTGCTGCATGTGTGTAGGTCTTATTTTTGTATGTATAGATATGTGCTGTGTGTGTGTCGTGAATTTTGTATGTATGTACTGTATAGTGTGTTGTTTGAGTTTATGTATGTATTTTTGTACATGTTAGTATAGGTGTGTGTTTGTATTTGGATGTATATATAATTATGTGTGTTTATATTTTTGTATGCTATACAATTATGTCGTATGAGTGTCTGTATGTATTTGCTTTTTTTGGTATTTGTGTGTATGTATATGTATTTGTGTGCTGTGTGTGGGTGCCTATGTGTGCGCTGTGTGTGTCATGTGTTTTGTTTGGAGGGTATTGTAGGTTCTTTCTTTGGTATTTTATGTAGTAGTTTGTGTCTGAATGCGTCGGAGGGGATTGGATTAAAATACGGTTTTTTTGTTTTATTCATATTTTCTGATTAAATTATTTTTTGATGTTTATACTGTAGTTAGAATCTGCAAAATGAGCATAATATTGACAACCAATTTTCAAAAAATTATTTGGAGCATGGCATAGATTTAATAATTACCTTTCTATGCACAATTAATGACAAAAATTAAGAAAAAGATGATTCTAATTTTTTAAACATTATAAAATTTGACTACTTTTATCATATATATATCATCATATCTAATGTAAAACATAAAGTCTATAATATTCATGTTTACACTCATGAAGAGGTAACTGTGTTGTGACATTTTCATATTCAATCCAAACTATACTGGGCAGAGCATGGGAACACCTAAATTAAATCAAGCTTTTTCTCGTGATGAGTCACAATTATATTTAAGATCAAATAATCTATTTTGTTGAAAGTAAATCAAAAATCATCATCTTTTTGAGGTTCATAACAAGACATCCAGGATTTGGAAACTTTCTCACCAACCATTTTAAAGGCTTAGTTTCTTTTAGATGAAACTTCTTCTTGTGGGGTCCTTTGCAAAATGTGGTTTCTGATATAACTGTGTGTCTTGGGTAGATTTCAAGAATAAAGCTTAAAATGAGTTTTGTTTATGGTCGCACAAATGATATTTCTTCAAATGGAACATTTTCCTGGCTGTTAAGAGGAAAATTCATTACAAGTTACACTGTAATTTCTCATGAGGTTACAAAAACCTTCAGAAAACAATTGCAGATACCAATTTGAGTAGATTTAGATACTTTTAAGCAAATGTCCAGAACTGGATTCTATGTACGGACGGTCGTACCACTTTTTGACCTTTCATTAACAAAAAAAATGCAATTTCGTAAGGCTTTTTAAAAAAATATTATCTGGTTTTTGGCACATAGAGAAGAGGGATTAAGTATGTATGGTCTGTTTTGATTTTAATAGATTAAATAATTTTAAACAACTAAAAATGCAGTAGGTCGACAGTGATTTTGACTATGTACAGCTTTGGCTCCTATATGCTTTGTTATATTGCTTTTTTCTGTGTGTTGACTGTTTGGGATTCCTCTCATCTGCTGGTAAGGAGAATACAACAAAAGAAGTCCTACGAGAGACTGACTGCGGTTGTGATTTATGCCTATACAAAAATGAATTGGATAGAGTACGCACAATCTGAATGTATTGTTGCCTCGATGGGGTTTATGTATTGGTGTTATTGTAGAATCTAATCATAAATTTTGCAACCTCCTGCTTCTTTTCAACCCCCTTTTAGAGCCACATACTGTAATTGTTACTTGGTCTAGAAAAAAAAAAGTAAATTAATAGGCTTTCAACTAATTCTATGCATTGTACACGTGAAAGTATTTGTTTTTGAGGTTGTAATCTATAAAAACAAATAAAGAATACCTACAATCTTGGGTGGTACTTGCTCCATATTATTTCTTTGTTTATAAAACACAAAACAGGCTTGCTGTCGGCACATACATTGGACGAATTGAGAGAAAACTGTAAAAGGAATTGTCTTCATTTACTCCCAATAAAAATGTAAATCGTAGCATTTTGTCCAATACATTTAAGTTCGAATCCAAAATAGTGATAGTAATTGATATGGCTTTTATCAAATAGATCGTCAAGTTTTCTATTCCTATCTCTGAAATGATGTGTTGATGCAGGTTCACAATCTAAATACAGTTTAAATTCAGGCGAACCTGCACAGATTGAGAACCACAGAAATCTCAAGACAAGCCTAAAAAAACGTCATTAGGTTATTGAGGTTTATTTTTCCCGTTTTTTTCGTTTTAGTTTGTTAGAGAGTGTCTTCTTTGGTTGATCTTCCTGGTTACCTGCCTGCCCTCATGTGTTCTCAACTGTGTCGTGGTTAGTCTTGTATTCAGCCCTGTGTGTTCCTTCACTCCCAGTTACGTCATTGTCAATCCCTTGTCTGTTTTAGTTCTTGTTTGGTTCTTGTGTTTTGGATTTGTTTTTTATCTTTTTATTATATCCATTTTTTTTTTGCAGTTGGCATTTTGGGGTCTACCTTGATTTTTCCATGTGACAGAATGATCGCCAACCAAACAAGGACCAAAGCCAGATGTGTACTTTTGTTTTTTATTTTTGGTCAACCCCTCTGGTCTTTTTCCATGACTGGTCTTGTGAGTTGCTGCAAGGGTGGACACTGCCCTCCTCTCTGTTCTGGTGTCCGGACCACTACAGGAACACTTTGATCTGTCATGGGTGGTTGCAGGCTTTTGTCCCTGGCTGGCCTGCTTGGCTGGCGATAGTCTTCCTTCCGGGGCCTTCTGGTTTTTGTACCTTTTTGCTCTCCAGTCCGGTGTTTGTCGAGTTGGTCTGCCGTCGAGATGATCTGCCTCAGCTGTTAATGATGTGATGCAAACCTGCGCGTCTCACGGCAAGCCGAAGCATAATCCAGATGGCGGACATGGAGGTACGCGAATGCTTTAAAAGTTAATTACGAAGGAATTAGACACAACTGTCACTTTTAATGTATTTGAGGCGAGATGTTGGATGGGTCCGCTTTCTGAATTGTTGGGTTTTAAGAGTTAGAGTTTGTGTAAATGTTTGTTTTAAGCAGGTCCACTGCGGGCGTGTGATAGCCTGTCCCTGAGTTGACTGCTGCACACGTCATTTTACTGGAGTTAGGGCCCATAGTGTTTGGGCACACTAGCAGGGGTCGTTTCACAGCAGTGGACTGCTACTAAATTTACACGGAAACTCCTTACTCTTTAAAAACACACATATCCCGAACAGAACATCAACATCTCGCCTCAAATTGCTGTAAAAGTGACTTCATGTCTTATTTGTTCGTATTTTATCTTTTATTTAAAGCAATTTGCGGACTTTGATGTCCGCCATCTTGGATTGCTTTGGCTTGCCGTGAGGACGCGCGGTGCAGGTTTGGCATTACATTTTAACAGCTCTGAGGGAGATAATATCGACGGGCTGACCAATGACTGAAACACCGGCTCCAATTCCTGCTCCAGCTCTTGCAGCTTCACGTCCCGGCCCCCTGCTTCAAGTCCGGCCCTACCTACGGTCCCCTCCTCCCTCCTGGTTTTGTTTTTTTGGGACGTTGGGATCCGTCCCTTGAGGGGTGCGAAGTGTAGTAGTAGGGCGTCCCCCAATACTCCAGGGAGGGATTTGGCCCCGCCCCCTTTTCGAGCCCCTGATCCACACTCGCCGTAGCCTGCATCCTATGAGCACTTATGGCGAAGGATATTGCCCATAATTCTTTGCGGTTACACACCAAAACATACTGAAATATTTATGCAGTATGTGTGTAAATAAGGTTTTGCTGTGTTACTTGGAATGAAGCATAAACGTCTGGATGAAGAAATTAACGGATATTGAGTTTTAAAAATTGAATTACTTTTTAAAGCAAGCGTTTATTAACATTCTATTTAAACTTTACACTTAAGTACACTAATCTTAGAAATGTATTAAAAACTGACCAGATAGTTAGTTACCCACATTTAACTTAAAATTTACAGCTACTTCTTATTATAAACAACTAATTACATGTATTTTAACGTGTGTGTAGCAATTAATTTTGTTTCGCAAAGGGTAAGACAAAATTACCCCTTTAATGTTTATAAAGTTTTGCGTCTCGGACAATTGACCATCTCGGACGAGTCCGATGACGTAACCTGCACAGTCGTGCACTGTCCCCAATTTCGCCTTTTTTTGCACACTTGTAACCTGCGCACTCAACCTGGTATGTGCACTTCGAACAATGCCACTTTCATAGAGGTGTGTATGGGTGCAGTTGTGGCGTATTGGGATTGGGCCTTCCTGTGTGTGTTAATGCCATGTCATAATGTGTCTCACCTGTGTCATGGTTGTCTTGTATTCGCCTGTGTGTTCCTTTGTTTTTTGATTTTTTTTTCTCACGTGAAAAAAACATTTATTCCACAAGAGAGACCGCCACAGCAGGGGGGCTCCAACCTGTAGCTTGGGACCCCTTCCAGGTCAGCTCCCTACAGGATATTACAATTCAACCCATGACATGTTGAGTCTAAACATAGGCGTCATACAGTATTAGTATATTTCCACATGTGTCTTCTCTCTTATTTTAGACATATTTTTCTAGTTTATATAGCTCTTATGCTCTTCTATATCAAAATTAGCTCTCTCATTCCTGAAAAGGTCTGGAGACCTCCCCTCGTGCATAGCGCGCTCTTACTTTTGGCAACAGCGTTACAGTCAAGTGCGTCAGTGGTGAGCAAGAAATAGGAGGTAACGGATAGGGCTTCAACTTTCCCTGGCGAATGCATGTTGCTGTCGCTTCTATTCCAGCCATACGTCCTCCGTCAAACAACGACGACAAAAACTACAGACCGGGCCACATCCTGATAGTTCAGATCCGCGGGGGAAAGTTTAAGTAGTTTGTCCGCTCAGGGGCAGGTGGAGCCCGGGGAGAGGACGGCTGCGTAAAGACCGCGGCAGCTCTGGGATGCATCGTGACCGTGACGCGCGTCTCCGACTCTGGACATCGGGGCTCACAGAGCGCTCCGCTGAAGTGAAGGGGACTTGGGTTTGTGTGTGGAGCTTCTCTCTCTCCTCTCTCTGTGTCTCACTGATATCACACTTACGGTTTTGCTTGCGCCCTGATCTTCTCTCGTATGTGTGTCTCTCTCTCTCTCTCTCTCTCTCTCTCTCTCCGCTCTCTCTCGCTCTCTCTGTGTGTGTCTCTCTTTCTCCGATATCACACTGAACGTTGTGTGTCGTGCTCGCTCTCTCTGTATTTGTCTCTCCCTGACTCTCGTCTCCTCTCCCTGCTTTCTCTCTTTGTCTCTCACTCCTCTTTTGCTCTCTCTTCTGGACTAACTCTCTCTCTCGCTCTATGATATCATGGGGTGTTGTATGCTCTTCCGTCTCTCGCTATCTCTGGTTCTGTGTTTCTCTCTCTCTCTTCTCTCCCTCTCCTCTGGTACAGTGATAAAATACCGCCACGTGCGCTCGCTCCTTCTTCCATAGAATTATAAACAAAATAAGTCGCTTGGAATTCAGTGACCGTAAAGGACTGCGCGCGGGTTGACGTTATCACAGGGGCGGCTCCAGAGAAGCATACACCAGGGGGGCCCAAACTGCGGGACCCTTTCATATAACGCCAAATGAAAAGATGGTCTAATATAAAAGTTAAAATCTTTTCCGGAGATGATTGGGTCCTTATTGAGGGTCTTGCAGTTTCCCATGGTTAAATATTTGTGTTGCATTTGAAATTACCTGAGGTACCATTCTAAGATTCCTAACAGCCTGATTCCTATCATGATTCGGTGCTCTCTCAGCTCAGAGAAAACCCCAAAACACCTGTTATTGTTTGTGGTTGTTTATGTTTATTGCCATGGTTAATCATCTCTGTTACTTCTGTGTTTCAGTGTGAGACTATTTCTTTCTCCTTCGTCACATGTTTTATTCGATTCCGCACACGTGTATATAGTCGTTTTTTAAAAGAATTTTGATGTGTATTTTTGTAATTTATCTCTTTTATTTTTTTGATGGCGGATTCTATTTTGACTTGTTTAACTTGTTCTGCACCGAGAGCAAAAGCAAATTCCTAGTTTGTTACTTCCTGTTGGTCATTTATGGCATATAAAAATCATTTTGATTCGACTTCTCTCCTCTATTTTGCCATCTGTCTGTATTCATGTAATCCAAAAAAATAATTATTAAATAAAACGCATTACTGATTAAAAAGACGTTGAGAGGAGCCAGTTGAGGCCCGTGTTTGGCATCTGTGTCTCCTAGATGTCTACCAGGGGACGAGGTTGGTTGGGACGTCCCACCAGGAGGATGACCAGGGGATGACCCTGGACACGTTTTGGGCGGGACTGTATGTCTCTCCACTGGTCTGGGAAACGCCTCTGTGGAATGAGCTGCGTGAACAGTGTGTGTGTAAGAGGGAGGTCTGGGTGGTCGTCTCTGCTCGACGACCTGGCAATAGATAATAGTGCATAAAGTATCAGTGTGGGGGGACAAACCTAAAAATAGACATTTCTCAGCTTTTGAGCATTCATTCTTATTGTCTTAACTTTGTATTATGTACTGATGTATTGTTTATTATGCTGTGCAGCACTTTGTAAACATTGTTTTTGAAAAGTGCTTTATAAATAAAGATTTATTATTATTATTATTATAAACTGTACAATGCTTTCAATCTTACTTCAAGCGGCAATAAAATAAATATATATGAACCAAAAATGTTTGTACCTAATAATTCTTTAATACTATATGTAGTTTATAAATATACATAGGATGATCTCAGATGCGCATCGTAAAACCATTTCAAGGAAAAAGGATGCCTTTCTTAAAACTTTTGATACAACAGAATTGTTAGATTTAGGAAATGTCATGTTGGAGGCTTTTTGACAAGAATAATTGAATAATTGACAGGACAGGGAAGACTATTTAATCGCTAAAGGTTGGGGATATAACAAAAATCAAACTATAATTATAGATTCTACATTATGCAAAACAAATATTATTCAATAACTGCAGACAAACTGGGCATTTTGGACGCAACACATCGCGACCACTTGTTACGTCCAAAATGGCCACCTGGAGCGCTATTAATGGTACGGGGATGAACAGATCGGTGTTTGGTACTGCGGCCTTCACTGGACTAACAAGCCAAGGACATTTCGGGGCTTTTTTGTGACATTGACCCAAATGTAACACATTACTACAGTTCAGTCAGTTGAGCCACATACAAACACATGGACTGTAATTCACGATTATTAATATAAAATCGGAAACATAGTACGATTAATTGGTCAACAATATTATTATGAATCAATAAAACAATACTAAAGTTATGCCTCTTGAAGACATCCTCATTGAGACAAATTGAACTGAAAACAAACATTTTTTAATTACAGTTCAATTTAACCTAAAATCTTTTTTAGTCTGTATGGTTAAGTCTGTATGGTTAAATTCCCAATAATCAAGAATCGATTAGGGCTGTAAAAAGTTGATCATAACTAAAATAGGGAAAATATTTTTCATTAAGCAACCTTCAGTCGCCACATTATTGTGTCAAATTGATCATAATTTGCTAAAAAATATATATGTATATGCATGTATAAGCCCTTATATGTATAAGAGCTGACGAGTTGACTAAAATAGATCATTCTATTTAATATTCATCAATTATGTGCTGCTCTGTCGAAACAAAATAAAGTTTCAGAACAACCCACCATGGCAGAACAGTCAGATCTAAAACAGTACATTAATAACTCCTAAACAGAATAAACAAGGTGTCACCCAGATGCAAACTAGCAGAAGCCAGCCATTTGAAAGGTTGAAACCATACTGTATATTTTAAACACATATATACATATACACATATACATATATATACACATATATACATATATATACACATACATATATATACACATATATACATATACATACACATATATACATATACATACATATACATATATATACACATATATACACACATATATATACATATACATACACATATACACATATATACATATACATATATACATACACATATACACATATATACATACACATATACATACACATATACACATATATACATACACATATACATATATATATGTATATATATATATATATATATATATATATATATACATATATATATATACACATATATACATACACATATACACATATATATATATACACATATACACACATATATATATATATATATATATATATGTGTGTATATATATATGTGTATGTATATATATATATATTTTTTTTTTTAGTTCTTTCTGTTAAAAACAATTATCCTTTAATCAACATTAGTTTACCGAGTTTTGTTTGGCTTGCTGTCAAGATTTGAAAGCGATCAAACTCATTTCAAGTTCCCCCAGCAGAAGTATTGATAAATATTCATTGCTTGCATTTTGAGCCTTTGTAGCTTTTTAATTTAGGTACAATGTCTAGAAATACCCCAGCCCCGCACACTGAGTGGTAATATATGTTTGATTAATTTCATTTCTTTAGCACTAGCTTAGCCAGTTCGACAGCCTGGGCGGTCTTGCAATGTCCTAATGTCACAGAGCTGATTGGCTGTACGGGATCAGCACAGTCTTCCTATTGGCTAAACTCCCTGTCAATCACCCTCATCCCGGAACTGCTCCCAGAATCACATAAAAACATTGCGTAAAATCAATCCCATTCAGCTGAATTCTAACACACTCACTTTTCTTCTTCTCGTCGTTGGGTGCCGTATCGTTGACTGCTTGTTGTGTTTCATTATTAGGCGTTTCCGGTGGAGAATCCGCGTTGTCAGACATCTTCAGCAAACACCATGGGCTGAATAATAAACCCTCCCACTGTTGCCTTCCAACTGCGTACAACCAACACAACCTCTCACCTATTGGACCAATGAGCTATCAATCTGCAAATAACGAAATCTCATTGGTCACAGGCTTTGTAGTGGGCGGTCTGTGTCAAGGAAGTCTGCGATTTACCAGAGTTCATATTTTGGGTAAGTTTCTTTTTTACATTCTGCCTTTCTGAAAATTGCAAGCATAGAGTAAGCGACCCCGTCTTTTATTATCGGAAGCCAACCGTAAATTGCATAACGTGCATACACTTTGATTAAAAAAGATCAACATTCATTTGCCTTTTAGGTAATATTCAACTTGGGAAGAGCTGACCCGGTTGGCACCTGCTTTTGAATATCTCCAAACAAGGCAACAGCAGTGAGATTTATTTTTGCTAACTGAATTATTCTACTGTTAATAGTATTTACTTTGACTTGTGCTTGTTTTCTATTGCAGTGGCGACAATTGGTAGACTGTCCACTAAGGATGCAGTGCTTTTCCTTTGTGACATGCAAGAGAAGTTCAGACCAAATATTTTCCAATTTCCTAACATAGTCAGTAATGCAGCCAGGTTGCTCCAGGTTTGTTAATTACAACAGCCGCATTGCCATAATTGATAGTTATTGTATTGATAAGTTATCTTTTCTGCATAGGCCAGTCGTGTTTTGGGGATCCCTCCTATTCTCACAGAGCAGTACCCAAAAGGCCTGGGACCCACAGTTCCTGAACTCGGAGCAGAGGGATTGACAGCTCATGCAAAGACATCCTTCACCATGATGATTGCAGAGGTGGAGAAACAGCTGCAAGAACTGGGGAACCCCAAACAGGCCATTCTCTGTGGAATCGAGGCCCATGCGTGTATTGCGGTAATTTAATACGTACATTGTTTTTCAGTCGCCTTGTCTCTCAGATCTGTGTTAAAGGTGATCGTGTTCAGTGGGTTGTGTAATGGACCATGACCTCGCTCGATCTTCTGATTTATGAATGGCAATAAAATATGTATGGATTTAGATTTTTCATTGTTCATTATTAGTGCACAACGTATGACCTGCTTGAGAAGGGAATCGAGGTTCACATTGTTGCAGATGCAGTCTCATCCAGAAGGTTTGTTTTTCATGCATTTCGACTCCAAAGAGTTCATATGTAACTTATGGTATTGTTTGTATTTGTCAGTCAAACGGATCGCCTGTTTGCACTCTCACGTCTGAAGCAGAGTGGAGCTTTCCTTACCACTACAGAGGCCGTGCTGCTGCAGCTCGTTCAGGACGCAAAACACCCAAATTTCAAAGAGGTATAAACATTGCATTAGAATAATCTATTAATTTCAAAGCATAATTTTTAACTTTGGCTTTTTATTTGTCAGATCCAGAAGCTCATGGCCCATCCATCTCCAGACACAGGCCTCCTTTCTTTCTTCAGTGCTCTTTAGAAAGTTCTTTTTTAAGCCTTTAATAAATGATAAAGCTGCTACTTAAAGTTAAAGTCTTTTGAATGTACAGTTTTTATCAGGTACAATAATGGCAATAGACGTGTCACTGGAGTAGTCCACAGCTCTGGGAGAAGCCCCATAAGGCGGGAGCAAAGGCTGATGTCACAGGAGGGGAGGAGTGTGTGATGTAATACTTGTGCGGAACGAAAGGGAGGGGAAGGAGAGGGAGAGAGAAAAAGGAAGCAGTTCGAAAGGATTTTGTGTTTATTTTCTTAAAGTTATTCAAACACTTTTAAAGACTATGGAATGAATGGAATATCGTAGATCGAAAGGGAGATCCCTGCGAGAAGGCCAAATGTGGCTCTGTGTACTGCTGTGCACAACTAATGACAACATCAAATATTAACACTTTTCAGGCCTAGAGCCTCGAGTAACAACTGAGAGGTAAGCAAAGAACTCCCTTAGCTTGAAAACACAAAAAGCAGGTTAATTCTACACCTATTCTGTTTTATCTTATTTAATGTAATGCTCGATGTTGCCGTGTGATTTTATGGATAGACTGTACATGAGCTCAAAGTGCAAGAGCAGTTTGACTTCATTGCTACAGTAAAACCCACTATAGGAATTCCCTGCTTTGCACCTAATTTGACTTTTCAAATGCATTTGCCTGTCTTCAGTCTATAGAACCCAAGCATAATGTCATCTGAATTGGACTCCAGTCTCACCAGCATTGACTGGCTGCCCCAACTGGGAATCAGTAGCCTGCGCTCGGGGAAGGAGAGAGGAGGCGGAGGGGGAGAAGTGAAGAGAAGGGAGCGCGTACGGGAGGGCAGAGAGTTCTTACCTCCAGTGCCAGACGCTTCTCACCCAAACTCCAAGGGCAAACCTCCACATAGTTATGCCACGCTCATCGCCATGGCAATAGCAGCAGCCCCTGAGAAAAAGCTCAGTCTGAATGACATCTACACCTGGATCAGCGACACGTTTCCATACTACAGTCGGGCTGGACGCGGGTGGAAAGTGAGTGGAAACAAATGACACTAAATCACTAAACCGGTGAGATCTGACTGAAGAGTGAATATAATGCAGAGATATTTAAACTCTAAGCTTCATCGAAATCTTGATATGTTAATAAGCAAATCACAAAGACTGCAATTACAGGCGATGAAATCCCATGGTATAGTATCAAAGAACTTTAATTTACTGTTTTTTGAAGAAAACCTTTTTTTAGATACGATTGCAGATCGATTCGTATTTGCAATGTTTGTCAGAAGAATTTCAACAATGTATTTAGCAAAATCATGTATACCAAATACTAGCAAAAACTAGGACTATGAATTCATCAATATAATTTTAAAATCAAATGTTTTTTATCACCCTGAAAATATTAAGATCTTCACAAAAAACAACTGTCATATATTTAGAGTCAAAGTAGAAATAGTGAATAACAAGTAGCATTTTAAGAGAGAGCAGATTGTTAGTATATGCTTACACTAGTTTAGTCTTGGTCAAGTTCAGGCTTGGATCCCAGACTTGGACAAACCTCTGGTTGTTTTGTCAGCTTAACGTTTTGTTTTGTGTTCACAGAACTCCATCAGGCACAATCTTTCTCTTAACAAATGCTTCAGGAAAGTTCCTCGGCCACAGAACGACCCTGGAAAGGTACAGGAAGGATAATAAGAAGCCTTTTGAAATGCAAACGTATGCATCAAATGTTGTGTACGACAGGGATCATACTGGACCATGGACGGACCAGCAGAGGATGTGCAGACTAGAGCTCCTAAACGGCCTTATCCTGCAGGAGAGGATGAAGTATGTTATCCTGTTAATACAGATTTATTCATGCATATGACTACTACCGCTCTACTCTGTTCACTAAAATGAAGTTAAAGTAAATATATTTCTAATTTATAGGTTTTTTTAGATTATAAAAGGATCACAGCACACTAGCGATTAGTTGTTTTAGACTCAAGGAATCCACTTGTAACCAGTAAATGATAATTTTATAGATAAAAATGAAGTGTCTAATATTTATTCAATCATTATTAAATAGTCTTGAGTACGATTCCTGAAGGAAACAGAGCCTTTCTGTGTGGAGTGTGCATATTCTTCCAGACCAGACCAGTGCTTTTTCTGGTCTGAGAAATGTTCTAATCTATACATTGTAAAACTAACTAGTTTTACTACTGGTTTTTAACATATTTTTACTCTTTTGTTTACAAACAAAACCCCTATTATATATTAAAAACATGTCTCCAACACATGAATGTTTCTGCTTTGTTTAACCATTGTTCTGACCTCCACAGACTGCAGACCACCAATCAGACCATGGACTTTCCCCACACCATCTGCAAACATCATACTTGGACCAAAACCTTCTGAACACTCCACTGACCGCTCTTCAGCAACAGTCTCCCCGATCGGACTCCCTGTCTCCTCCTCCATGGAAGGTAATCTCTGCCATTCCGGCCCTACAAAGCCTTCCTCAGGGCAAAAATCCTGTAAACAGTGTTAGGGACAATAGGGAACACTGAATGCTTTTTGTTCCAAAGTCCAATTATTTCTATCATTCAATTGACAATGTGAAACTAAAGTCAGAAATAGTATGGAATCCTGGTATATGTGGCCATACCTGCATGTGAAGGCCAGATCACAGTAGACCTCTGAAGCTAAGCAGGGCAGGGCCTGGATAGCGCAGTGATGGCAGGCCTCTGGGAACACCAGGTGCCACGGTGGGGCGGAATGCAGCTGCACATTGCCAGACTGTCATTGCGTCCTCAGGCAAAAAACTTCACCCACATTAACTGGAATAAGTCTGGTGTGTGTGTGTGTGTGAATGAATAACAACATATGAAGCAACTAAGCGTGTCTAATAATTTGATTTATAAAACCAATGCACTATTATTACTATTACATGTATTTCGTCACTGCTTGTAAAACCAAGTGTTTGTGTTTTCGCAGCAATCCTCACCGTACATGAGTGCCCCGAACATCCATCCGCCTGCCTCCACAGTGTCCAGCCTGTCCCACGCCTCGGCTTTCCCCCCTCCTCATCAAACCGCTCCAAACTTCTGCATCTCGTCTCTGCCTAGCTGCACCGTGGCGTCGGCTCTGTCTTCCATCTCTTTCCCTTCAGTCCCTGTTTCAATGTCGTCTTTCTCCTGTCCTGACCCTGGCCCTGCCCTCCCCGCTGTGACTACTGCCCCCTCTGCGGTAGTGTCTTCACCCGCCGGTGGTCCGTCTGCTGTTGAGATGCCTCTGCGTTTCACCTTCGACGAGCTGAACCTCCCAGACTTGTTCGCTTCTTTCAAATCGCTGGTCAAGACGATGCGGGACAGGGGCGGGTCACAGTGTAAGTGTTTTCAGGCTGCAGTTCATGTGACGGTTATTGTGGAGAAGAAACATTACTTGCATATATTAGCAAAGAAATCCCAAAATATCTTTCTCTCTCATTGGCTTGTGATGCGTTACCATTCCTCACACACTGCAATCTTAGTGTTCTAATCGCAACTAGCCAACTACCGTAAATTCCGGACTATAAGCCACAGATTTTTGCTGCACTTTGAACCATACGGTACAGCTACATTTGAGGGTTTTTTTCTGAGTAACAGACCAACAGAACCCAACATGGAAAATACTAAAAGAAAAGCATATATATTGTTTTTTTGCTTCTCTATATAGACATGGAAGTGAAAATAATACCAGTAGACGTTGCTTTCTGGTTTCACTGGAAGATTAAGAACAGTCGGTGACTCACTTCGTACAGTAATAATAAGTCTATTTTGAGCTACATTATTCAGTATCACAATGTGGGATGGTTGCGGCTTATAGTTCAGAAAATACGTTAATACAAGGAATCGTTTTGTTGTTGTTGATTATTGTTAAACGGACTGCAGGTTCTAAAGCGCATACTAAAACTTGCTATACTTATGTAAATGATATACATGCATGATATACATATACATGATAGTGGGAAAATATCAAAACAGAATAAAATGTTTACATATCCACATACATTCTTCTTTTTGACCTGTGAGGCAACACAGAAATGAGAGAAATAAAGGATCTCTTCATTTTACATTCATACATTTTTTGTTTTGGTATTTTTTTCCCCCCTCTTAAAAGACTCCTGTAGTGTATGGAAAATAGAAAAAAAAATGTTATTCAAAATGATCTCACTCAAGAAACAACTTCTGCCCCACTTGAAATGAACCAAGCTGCTTTTAATATATGCCAATCAATCTGCTCCAATGGTTTTTGTTGTTTTAATGGGTTGCATTTAAAAAAACAGACAAATCTTTTTATATTTTGTCTCTAGATATTACCCACTCTTGTAAAACTCTCATGTATTTGCAGCAGATTTTGTTCCTCTGAGCAATGACACCACTCCGCTCCACACGCCGACCCTGCTGCCGATGTCGCCTCTCCCAGCACCAGTGCAGCCAGGCTCCAACAGAGGGCCCCCAACCCAGGCTCCAGAGGCTGACCGCCGCTCACACTGCAGTAGGTCTTTTGCAGGTTTACTTATTTATTATGCGGACTCTTTATGTATGTTATTGTTTTGCAGCAGTGGCGCCGGACTGGCTCAGTAACACGGATTCTCTGAAGGAGAGTTTCCGCATCGCCAGCAGTTTGGACTGGGCCAACATAGACCTCACAAGTCATCCAGGTTTGGACACTAACAAATACATCTTTGCATGAATGAAAATCATCTCACATGGTTCTGTATAATAGTGGTTGAAATGGTGTTTGTTTGCAGACTTGCTGGAGAGTATGCGGCAGGCGGAGCTTTGTGATTGGGCGTTGGACCCGGCTCTCTTCACTTCGCTCTGTGACTCTTTAAATCGCTTTGTCACTCAAAAAGGAATGCTCAATAGTGGTAGTAACTCTCCTTTGGCCCTTGGTTCAAACGCCTCTGTACAAGTTTCACCATTTCCCACACATGCCACCCCCACCCTGGCCAGTCTCACACACCCCTCACCTCTGTCCTTCTCTGCGGCCACAAACGGAGATCAGGTCAGGAAGCCCCAGGGGCAACAGAGACCCCAGTTCATAACCCCTGCAAATACAAATGGTATGTGTACATATTCTTTCAATTCATTAAAGATTGACTTCTGTTCAAGACTTTTGATTTCTATTTCAGCTGCAGTCCAGCATCAGCCCATCGGGCCAAGGCCGCGGCCGCCTCTCAAGAGTCTCCACAGCAACAGCGAGGAGATCCAGGACGACTTTGACTGGGACTCGCTTATTGGTTGACCTGTGGCCTGTTCCTGCTTCAGCTTTGTGCACTGACTGAATCCATGTGCTGCTGCAGCTATACTCCCTCTAAGTTGCTTCATTTACATTATTGCTTTTGACCGTTTCCATGTAGCGTGTAATGTACTCTATTACAATAAGTTCAGACACATTAAACTAGTCAAACATATTTTGGTTTTTTTATTTCATAAATTTCTTTAGATTTTTTTTTTTTTTCCATTTTACCTTTTTAAATGTGAATGTTCACAGTCACCACACAAAATTCAACCTTACTCAATAAAAGATATTTTCATATTGATATAAAATAACAATTTTATCTAAATTAAAAGAACAGCATGTTGAGTCCCTGTTTCTTTCATTCACTGAATCATTTGAAGGAGTTTTGTTTGCTCTTCCTGTTACAGGAGGAGATGAAACATAAGGACCGTGGAGACACTCGCGTTTAACGAAGGGCATGTGGCAGAGAAATGTATGACCCTTATAATACCTCTTCATAAATCTCATGGTCAATACAAGTGACAGTAAAAATAATGTTCTCTCCATTGCTGAAATTAGACACAAAATGAAGACATTGAAACATATACACAGAAACAGGCCTTTGCACAAAGCATACTTGCACCCTAACAAATGAGCATTCATTATTTCATTCGTTCAATTCACACATTCAACAAAAATCCCTCAGTCATTTTGTCATCAGACCACAGATTTTAGGGCTTTTAGTATTATACAATAATCAGGACACAAGCGTTTGATTTGAATGGCATCACTTGTTAGATTTTTCTTGTTCATTTGTTCAAAATAAATTACATTTAACATTAAATTAAAAGGATTTCATGAAACCATGTGACCACATTATGCCGATCATGTGTTCAGTCCATTTGTATCCGCATGTCTGCACTGGGTTCAGTGGTTCAAAGCTTGCCTCGTCCTGAGGAAGAGTAAGTGCAACAGTTTGTGTTCAGTTTGTTAGTGGCCGTGTCTCTTCCTCCATGTTTGTTTGTGCAGAAATAACAGGATACAATCTGCTGAAATCCTTCTCACTTGCAGGCATTCCTTCATGACTTATTGGACTTGAAAAACTAATAATAGAGAAATGAATTAAAACTAAATAAATATTTCTCAGTGACAACAACAACATAGTGAAATGAAAGGAACAATTTAAAATTTGTGCTGAAATTAAATGCTTTTAAAGAAACAAATGACTAAATGTTTCTATTGAAACAAAAGACATTTTTGGACACATTGTGATAGGGGACACTAGGGGGCAGCAGGTGTGACAAAAAAGCTTCAGATGACGTGGTGACACTTCCTCAAAGAAGAAAAGGATTGGTGCTGGCGCCTGTTCCTCCTCCCCCAACTGGCCCCCCTCTTCCCATGACTCCCCCTGCTGCGGGCCCACCCAAAATCAGCTGTGGCGCTGGTCCGGGTCCCAGCAGGACCGAGCCCGGAGGGGCCATTGGCGACAGGCTGCTGTAAGGCATCCCCATTGGGCTGGCCTGCGCCATGCCGAGCCCCATACCCATGGGCCCCATGGACAGGCCAGGCTGCACCAGCCCGAGCATGGGGTTAGGAGGCACCGGGCTGGTGCGGAGAGCGCTCAGGCCGATGGTGGAGGGCTGAGGAGAGATCGAGCTCATTGACGGGGCCACGCCAAAAGGGTTCGAGGAAGCAGGTGTTGGAGACACCCCTCGACTGGAAATGGTACTGCCTGGAGTGACGGCCATGCCAGGGGCCGGAGAGGAACCTGCAAATGCATATGCAAGTTACAATTTTTATTTACAACTAAATAAAACAATCATCCTTAGAATTCCTAGATATGATAACATTATAATATTATTGAGAACCAAGAAACACCTGTATTTTGGAGGAAGGGGTTATGTGCTGAAGATGCAGAGATAGAAGGAGGCGGCGGCTGTTTGGGTTTGGGTTTTGATGATATAAGTGAATCTAGATCCACCAGAGCAGCGTTGGGCCCCAAAAAGGATTCTGGAGTTTTCCGGACAGGAAGTGAAGATCCCAGAGACGAGAGATCGAATGGCACCGGTGAACCTGTGCTGTCACAGGCAGCTGCTGCGGACTCTCGCCGCTCGGGGTCACCTGAAACAAATACTGCTGTTATTTATATTGAAAGTAATGTGTATAAACAAACTATGAACTCTGAGAATCGACTGCTACTGAAGTTCAATCAAAGATATAAAGTCTAGACCCCGGGAAGAGGAGTCTGATGGATGATGATGAGCGTGTAATGTACCTGTGCCGTTAGTGTGTTGGGCGGAGCCACTCCACAGCTCAGAGGTAAGAGCGTCAGAGGCAGGGAGAGGCCCGTCACTCGCCCAGGGGTCTATGGGCCCCCCGGAGGAGGAGGTGCTGGGAGGCACCGAGGGGCCCCATGGGTCAGCAGTGGGGGTAGTCACAGCTACAGGGAAGGGGAGGGTTAACACAACACATTACAGGTACAATGAATATAAAGGAGGAGTGACCAGAGGTGTATACTCTGAAGCTGCTCTGACTATGAGCTGGCCTCTCCAAACCCGAGCCTCAGCTCACAGACACCAGGAGCACAGTTTACTGAACTTTGAGCTTCAGTCTCAGGACATGCCTTTTACTCATCAGATTTCTATGGCATGTGACCAGCAGAATATGAATACAAAGCATAAAAAGCTGATTAAACAAAAAATAATTTATTTCTCTATCAATTATTGCTCATTGCTCACAAATGGTAACTGGACTAATACTGTATGCTATAGAGAACAGTTCAAACAAGAGCTGGTGTTATAGAGGATAAAAAAATTTAAGATTTTTGTTCTGAAGACCAGTGACAGTAATCTCGTAAAAGTTAGTGAAGAGAGTAACTTCACTAACTTCCCTCTAACCAGGGCCCAAAAACCAGAGGCAACCTTGCATTTGTTGTCCATATTAGACTGGTATTAAATGTAAAGAACGTCTGTCTGGGTTTGACGAAGCTGGCAAAGTCCATTACACTTCAAAGTATACTCCTCAGGAAGCTGGGCTGGGTTCAAAGTCAAGCTCTCCTTTGCCTCTTAAGTCACAATTAAACATGAAAACCCTTAAGAGACAACAGAAGACTAGCTTACTGCAAGAAAGAAATCTCAGCTTGACCCAAAGCCGCAGTCAGTCCTGGGCAGAAACGAGAGGATAAATGTTTGGGTTTGGAGACACAGGGAAAGTGACTTTGGCATGCTTGATTCTGCAAACGCAAACTGAATGTTTGTGAATGAATGACAAATGTAAATGTAAATCAATTACACAGATTGTTGTGAAAATGATACCACAGTGAAGAAAGGTCCTCGTTGGTGACAGGACAGGGTTCTCCTCTTCCCTCCAAGCACAAAGCCCCTGAGCCCACAGAGTCTTACCTGAACCACCCCAGGGGTCCACGTTGTTGACCCTGGGCGCCTCTCCCCAGGGGTCCGGAGGCGGCGCTGCAGCAGGGGCTCCACCACCCCATGGATCTGTGTTTGTGGGGGAGGTGGGCGAGGCCACGCCCCAGGGGTCTGGGGCAGGTGCACCCCAAGGGTTGGACGCGGCAGGGGGGCACAGAGAGGGGGGAGGGGAGGGTCCTGCAGATCCCACAGGAGCAGCAGCAGCAGCAGCAGGAGGGGCTCCCCAGGGGTCCACAGCACTCAGCTCCATCAGTGCATTCTGCACACATCAGTCGGGTCATTTAAGGTTTGTGAATTTGAAGAAGACTTGTTCTGTATGTCGCCTACCTCTTCATCCTTGGGCTTCTCCCTCCTGCTTTCCTCTAAGGCCATCTGCAGTCTCAGATCATCTCCTCTGCGCAGACGCTCCTCCTGACAATCACAGACAATCAATAAAAAAACTAATCAGAAATATATATATATAAGTGATTATGAAAGAAGATTTACAGAGAAGGATCAAATCTACTTTTGTCAAAACTATGTGATAATTCATCTGACAGTTGAAAGTACAAATAGTAAGATTTAAACAGTTTGGCAACAATGAAATACAGGAAAGAAGACAAAATTACTAATTCAGTTTGACTCATGCCACTTTTAAGAGGACACAGAGGGCTCATTGTAAATATTTGTCATGCAGACTTTGACCTTGCACGAGATTGAATCATGAGAAGAAATTAACATTTGTGATCTTTCAAATTTGATGAAAAGTCATGACAAATATGTGCGCCTTGATCAATAGGTTTTGAACTGAAGAGACAGGCCAGTCTTTGGGCACACCCTCTGCCCCTGACCTGTTGGTGAATCTCTTGGCTGAGTGAGATTGCATATTGGAGCTCTGCGTCCTCCAGAGGGTCTGCGCTCGTCTGGGGGAGTTCAGGGGTTAAACAACATTAAATGTGGGAAAGAGGAAGACTTAAAGACTCACATCAATGCCATGATAGCAATATATTACATTTTATTGAAATCCAGATCCAATAGTATGTCAAAGTCCAATCAGTCCACTGCAAACAAGTGCACACTGTTCTTGGCCTGCTCGTGGCCAAAACGCGTTGCATATCTCTGTACTAACCCTTTAGGCGCCAGAGTTTTTTCAAGAAAATATACAATTTTGATTTCAAGATTTCAAAAGGCTATAACTTTAAAATGGTTTGAGATAAAGGCATACTGTAAATTAGAAATATCTTCAGTTTGAACCAAACTTTGGGATGGAAGTTGATTCGTCATCTAATTTGCATATTATGACGTCATCAAGGTGGCGGCCATTTTGGAAAATGTGAATTATTGTATAAAGACTTCAAAAAGCTGTAGCTTGGGAGTTATTTGAGATCAGGGAATACTATAAACAGTCAATGTGAAATATCTTTAGTATGAAATGAATTTGGGATAGAAATAAATTCCCTGATCCAGATTATAGATAATGTTTTAGCACTGGTTCGCGGCCATATGGAATTGTATTATTTTCAAAGACCTTCAGTGATCAAGACAGCACTCTTTATAGTTTACAGTCATGAAATCTGGAGATTGGTTTCAATATTTCCCTTTCAGAGAAGTAGTGGGCTTACTATTTTTCTCAGTGGAAATGAGGCTCCAGGATTTACCGTTTAGAAACAGAGATGAAATTAATGGGCACAGAACTTGTCAGATCGTCTCAACAACATACAACAGGCTCTTCAACACTTCTGATCCACTTTTGTGGATTATTTTCTCTCAAGAACTGCCTTGATCCTCATCATCGCTGCTGGTAAAGGCAGTGAACGCGATTAGCTATGTGTTTTTTTCCCGCGGCTCTCCCGCGTCTCCCGTGTTCCCCGTGGATGTCTACCCCCGCTACCTTCTCCCACATGCCCGGTGTTATGATGCCCCTGTCCCCTACACCACGGATCCTGCTTGGCGTTCACAGAATGTTTCTACCGCGGCCACACGGAGGACAAGCAGCCGCTGTACAGGGGCTGATTGTGGACTATGGAGCGCGGTCTCCCCGTCACCAATAATGTCCGTGTCTGCTTCGCTGGACACCTGCGTGTCTTCCTCCTCTGAATCTGAGTGAGCCAGTACCAGACCAAGTACTTCTCTGGTACTGAAGACCTCGTGAGTAAAATAAAAAACACTCTTTCCCTCTGCTCTGCTCTCGCTCCTCTCAGCTCTACCGCTGCTGCTTCGCCTCCGCGCCGCAGGTGTTTTACGAACTCAATTTACTCAGAAACTTTCAATATAACCACACCCACAAATGTTGCTCATATTACAGGCACACATGTCCACTAACCCCTGGTGAAAAGTATTAACAAGATTCTGCACCACATTTTTACATACAGCCTGTTTAAGTGAGCAATGTTGATTTTTATTTTAATGGATATTGCCTCATCTATTTTATGCACACAGTTCTTGTTGTCTTAGGCCAATTCACGATTGAGGTCTGTAAATCGGTCCTGTTAAAGCAGGTGTCACCAACCTTTTTGAAACCAAGAGCTACTTCTTGGGTACTGATTAATGCGAAGGGCTACCAGTTTGTTACACACTTAAATAAATTGCCAGATATGGCCAATTTGCTCAATTTACCTTTAATTCTATGTTTTTACTAATAATTAAAGCTGCACTAACTGACTTTATTTTCGTATTCATTACGAAAATGCTATCCATGTCCATGCAGTGCATTGGGATATACGTCCTTTTGAAGAAAAAGTAGCGCAGATTTGTGCTGGCGTGACATTATATTTTAGATCGAGTTTTGATGAAACAAGGAAGAGAATGTGTTTCGGGTCGCAGATTGTGACCAATCACCGCGGACCACTGGCCCCCACTTTCGTGAGAAATCTACAGGTCTCTGTTAGCATAGACAGCTGAGTTAGCACAACAAGACGAGGAGCTAACCTGAAGCTTCGTCTCTTCGTCACCGGTTACTGCTTACTTAGCGAAACAGCCATCCAAAAGAAAGTCCCGTTCCTCCGCGCTTCCCGGTTCTATCGTTTTATGGTCACGCCATCCACGTGCAAATCCATATCCATGTATTATCCATATTGGGAGACGCTAGCTTCGTCCCAACACTGTGTGTGTGTGGGGGGCGATAGCTTCGTGGGTGCGGGGAGGGGAGCAGAAAGAGAGAGGCCAGCGAGTCCGCGGCTTCAAAATCCCAAAGTCAGTTAGTGCAGCTTTAATGATATTTATTTTGTGGAAAAACTTTTATATTTTCTCTAAGTGCACATTTTTCAAATTTAACAAATGATCACTTCTAAGACAGTCCCATTTAATCGCAATTAATCACATTTTAATCGCATATAAATATTTGACCTGAGAACAGTGAGAAGTAATTTTTTTCACATGGATTTTTAGTTTACCATTGAATAATGACTGAATACATGAGGCTTAAGCAACACATGTTAATATGGAGTTTAAGGGATAACTTCTAAACATCAAATAACGTTTCTGTCATTGCCTCCACACTCTGACGACAACATATGCTCCTCCTCCTCCTCCTCACACTGACGACAACATACTCTTTTTAAGCCCAAAATCCACTGCACAAGCTGTGAGCACTAAAGCTGGGCATGCGCTGTTTGCTAAAGCTTTTATAATACGTTTTTGATGTGTGCATTCGGAGTAAACATCAGCATTAGCAGCTCACACACCTGTGTCTCGCTCCTCCTTCTCCTTCTCCTCCTCCTCCACTCACACAGGAGTCACTGCTCCTCCTCCTCACACACAGAGTCCATCGCTCCATACACAGCCCTCATTCCCGTCTAATTTACTCGAATTTAAAGTTGGTCTCTGCTTGTAATAATGTACTTTTGAACAAGAAAAGTCACGGAGCTCCGGTTGGTGCGTCAGTTCAATTGGTCCGTCTGAAACTTATTCAGTGAGGAACGTTCCGCGGTACAAAAATACATACGATTAAAATGCGTAATTTTTTTAACGCGCTTTTTTGTGTGTAATTAATTAATCTTTATTAACTTGTTAAAGTCCCGGCTCTAGTTTATATGCCATTTGTAAGTTGCATGTAAGTATGATTTAAACAAGAATAGCACTGGTAACTGCTGCCATTTGAGCTATTTTTAGAACAGGCCAGCGGGCGACTCATCTGGTCCTTGCGGGCGACCTGGTGCCCGCGGGCACCGCGTTGGTGACCCCTGTGTTAAAGTGAACTCCGGTTCACTGTGAAGGAGCACAAGAACACACCACAGACCAGCTCCGCCTGGGTTCTAACCAGGCCAAGCAGCTACTAAACTATGCCTCTTTGATGGTCCGTGAGCTGGAGGCCTGCATACTATGGCTTTTCAATAGGTATCTGTTCCTGACATTTCTCTGGGACACAGTACTAGATTCTACCATGTTCTGTAAACACCAGACGGTGGGAAGCATGAATGCAGACAGTGAAGCAGGGCTTTGCTCAGATTGGACAGACTTTTCAAGAGTTTATTTTCTGTGCTATAAAACTGAAGTCTGCTTGTGCATGTTCTTAGACCATGTTGTTTGATTAGAACAAGAGCGTGGACAATATAGATAAACTTGAGAAACGTTTATAAAATGTCACAAATGTAGTCATGAGCCCAGTAATCTGCATTACCTGCTCTGCTTCTTCTTTACTCATGGCCAAAGCCAGCTGCAGCTGTAAGTCCTCTTCTCCGGAGCTTTGGGGCCAGGCCTGTTCTGGATCTGCCCCTCCAGAGTGGGATCCTAACGACAAACTGCCCCCAACGCTGCCCGCTGTCGGAGCCGAAGAGGCTGGAGAAAGCACAGAGCGTTAACACGAGTTAAAGTATGTAGCCTAAATAAAAGTTCATACATTTCAACAATTTTAATACCATTAATTGAATGCAAGCAGTAGTAAAACAGATTTATTGAAAAAAGATTTGAAGTCAGGAAGCACCGAAGGGGTCGTGGATATCTGTATCAGTATATTTTTTGTATTCTGCATATTAATTATTACAATATTTGAGATTATTATATGACAGAGCTCCATCTTAATTGTTGTTTATTGAAATGTTTGACTTCCCATAACTTGGTCCTCTTAAGAAGTTTGTGCATGTACTACTGTTGGATTCGGGAATCACTGGGTTACGTACCACTAGACGTCTGTGCCATCTTTTCTTTGGTTTTGAGAGCATGGATTCGCTCTTCTCTTAGTCGCTCCTCATCTTTTAAAAGTGTTACTAGCTGTTTGGCTTTTTCTCTAACATTAACCCCCTGGGAAGAGCAAGAAAAACAAAGTTAATGGTTTATGTTGTAGGTCACATAGAACATCATAATGAGCCATTTTCTTCATTTAAGTTCTTTCTTTTGCTGAACAAGCTAAAGAATTCATATTGCCTTGTTTTATATGTTTTATATACAGTATTAAACTAACACCTTAAGTTCCTGCATTTGGAAAATCACCTGCATAATTTGATTGAAAGAAAAGTTAAAGCCCATGGAACATTCTCCCTTTTAATATATACAATTACAGCCATATTTTGGCAGATTACAGCCATAGGAAGAACATTCCCATGTGAAGTAACAGGCGTAGTCAGGTTTGTGGAGTTAAAAGCCCACTCACAGTTAGGACACACTTTTATAAATTGTACCATGACGTCAAAAACATTCAAGGTGAAAACATACTATTAAGTCTATTTTTAGGCTACAAAGTTACGTACTAGGGCTTTAAAATCCCCCAACGTGGTTAAAAGAGTCGTTTTCTATAGGAACCTATATAATCAGGAATCATACATTTTTCGGTAGTTTCATGTTTGAGTGTTTCCTAACCCTAACCCTTGCTCCTTCAGGAGGAGTCAGTTACCTGGTCTTTTCCATCTCTGTCGATGTACTGAAAGTCTTTGAGCGTCTGCACTGCGTAGATGTTTTCTCGACACTGTTGGGCCACACGTTCTGACCCGGTCTTGATGAGGTACTCCATGAGCGTCATTGCCTGGAGACACAACCAAATTCTAATACTGACACGTCACCAAGGCGGGTGACAGTTCTGAAGGTGGCTCACAGCCAAAAAACACAAGGAAGCCGAAAAACAACAAGGAAATACATCCGGGAAAAATAAATTATACTAGTTTACATAGTTGCAACTCTGTATTGTAACTATTTATATAACTATTTTTACCTTGTATATTGGCATGAAAATACTACCCTTATCATCAGGATATATAAGTTTGAACAAGCAAAATACCTACAATAGAGTACCTACACTTTAGCATAGTATATAGTGCCGCGCACTGATATGAACACAGTCTCGGCTAGAGGGCGGAGTTATCCATGGTAGTGATGTGTTGCACTGAGTTCTGTGTGAGTGAGTGAACGGCCGCAGCTTTATGATACCCAGATGCCGCAATAAACTACAACACATTTGAAGGTAACGCTACGTGTCGTCAATGACAATACTACACAGAACAACAAACACTACAGCGTGATAGAACGCTATATTCATTGGGTGCGTTCGTAAATATAATCTGCCGCTCTGAAAATGAATAATTAAAAGTGCCCGAGCCCGGCCCGTGTCCAAGGTAATTATACGGTCATCGGCCCGAAGCCCGGCCCCTCGGGCTGTCGGGCCCCTCGGGCTGTCGGGCCCCTCGGGCTGTCGGGCCCCTCGGGCTGTCGGGCGCCTCGGGCTCAAGTGCAGGGCTCTAACCTAGAAGACCTTTTAATGCAGTTTAAGCAAACATGTAACACCACCATCAGTTGGCACTGGGCAGGGGAACATCATACAGATAATTTTTCTGCAGTACACAGCCTTCTGTTTGCATTTCAGATTCACACAGCTAAAATCTGGAACAGTCTTCCTGAAAATCTGAGACAGGCTTCTTCTCTGACAATGTTCAAATGCAGGTTAAAACAGTTCTGTTTAGCCGTGCATACAACTGAGGGATTTTATCTTCACTAGTTTGTATGTTCTGTGATTATTAATGATTGTAATTCCTTGTCTGACTGTCTCCATCTTATTTTATTCAGCATTTTGAGTTGCCTTGTGTATGAATTGTGCTGTACAAATAAACTTGCCTTGCCTTGCGTAAGACCTAAGAATCATTTGAATTTCCAAAAATCAATCAAATTTCAAAGCTTTGGGTTAAAAGAGAGCATTCCCATCACTGGCTTAATACAATAATAATTTTTTCGATATTCATGATCATAAAATAATGGAAATGTGCCTTAGCCTTTTATAATTGAACTGTCAACATTTTATTTCATCTCCCAAATCTGTAAGTTTTAGGTTCTTGAGGCTGTGAATTTGACTCCCCAACATCTCCATCATCATGCCCATCGTCTTCTCCACTCTCACCTTGTACACGTGTCTCCAGTTCTTGCCGTGGTCATTGAGCCGCTTCCACACCATACTCATGATTTCAGAAAAGGCCACTACATTATAAGTCAGATCTGCTATCTCTGACATTAGAGAGCTGCTCGGGCCCCATGGGTCGTTGGACGTGGCCTCTCGAACCTGTGCAGCGTCACACAAATGACAAAACATGAATGAGTTAAATGTTATTGGTGTTACAAGTGTATTCTATTTAACAAAAAGTATTAAAATAAGTAAAGAAATAAAGGTATTAGGACTTTACTGGACGAGTTGACTTCGGGCTCATTCCCACATTTTTACTCCAAGCCTGGTCTCATCCAAAACCAATCCACAGGAATCACTTATATCTTAGTATTTCGTCCCAGGCCATTTCTTCAATGAGATTTGCAATAAAGTAGTAGGGCTTGAGCGCTGAAGAATCACTGTCAAAGCCATGCATACACTGTAGGGGACCGTAAACTCCACACTGAGGGGCTGGGGGCCAGGGGAAAACCGTGGCACGTCTTCTGGACTCACCACTAAAGTTGTCCTATGACTGCTTGCTATGCTAACAATATTGATTTGTTTATGTTATTATGTTTTGGAGCGACCTCACAAGCCTGTCCACTGCGTATGCACACTACTGTCTCATACACAGAACTCAATGAGTCTGAATGAGTGTCGTACAGTGTCCGTACAGTGCAGTTGTACGTGTTTCCTCCTGCTCAGCTTCACATACTGCTCTGACTACTGACGTCAAATTCTTGTTCCTCAAGAGATTTTTCAAATAAAAACAAAGCACAAAAAAAACAAAACAATAATACAATAATGAAAACCAATAATACATCATGAGGGCGACAGTAGCTCAGTTGGTAGAGCATTGACCTTAAGGCCAAAAGGTCGTGGGTTCAATTCCCACCTCTACACCTTCTCCACCGACTCCCACTGATGACTGCTGTCGTTGTGTCCTTGGGCAAGACACTTAACCCCACTTTGCCCAAAAGCCCCCACTGAAAGATGAAGGCTATGCTCACACTCAGAGAGCAGCCGTCCTCCTGTGGACTCACCACCTGCAGAGGGTCAGTGAGGGGCTGGTGCTATGAGACTTGGGTGGCATCTCTGATTGCCACCCCCCTGACCCAGAAATGGATTAAAGGGTAGAAAATGGATGGATGGATGAATACATCATTATTTGTCTACACCGTTTCTTGTTGCTGTGCTAATAAAATTGGCAGATACAAATGTAGACACAGCATGAATTGATAATCTGATTAGCGTGACTCAAATGTCATTGTATGACAAAGAACTGTGCTGGGGAAAAGCCTGATAAGAAGAACTTGATTATGACAGATTACACTTAATATAGTTATGGAGTTTAAACACTTGAGTAAACGAGGACTAAGCCAGGACAGAAACTCCAGGGCAAAAGAAGGACTAAAGACGCAAAGAAACAAAAATTACAAATACTTCTTCTGCTAAAACACTTTCCGAATATTGTCAATGTCCACATACAGACAGACTCAAACAATTACAAAATTGTTAAGTACCAGATCAGGACTTAAAAGATATACAGAAGGATTTTCAAAAAAAAAATGTCTCCACTTTTTGAACAAATCTCTCTGGTCTTATTTGTCGAGCACGTATCACCAGAATGATTGACAATTGGGAGGACCAATAGTCTTTATCTACACCTCCTATATACCTTTAAGTTAAACCAGTTTTATAACATCCATCCATCCATCCATTTTCTTCCCCTTAATCAATTTCTGGGTCGGGGGGGTGGCAGTCAGAGCTGCACCCAGTACACAGAGCACCAGCCCCTCACTGATCCTCCTGCAGGTGGTGAGTCCACAGGAGCTGAGATCTTTCAGTTGGGGCTTTGGGCAAAGTAGGGTTAAGTGTCTTGCCCAAGGACACAACGACTACAGTCATCAGTGGGAGTCATGAAGTAGGTCTTATGGTGGGCCCACGACCTTCAGGCCCAAAGGCCAATGCTCTACCAACTGAGCTACTGTCGCCCTTAGTTTTATAACAATCCGATTGAAATGTGTTGAAAACAGAATGAACAGTTATGATTACAACTGTGATTAGTTCAGCATGTACAAGTGGAATGAAAAGTTAGTCAAATAACCTTGATTTCTGCCTCTGAATAGTTGTGGACAATGTTCTTTACTTGTCGCCGTAGCGATGAGGTCGACATGGCAACCGTCTGACCGAGGAATCCTTTTTCAATCTGAAAAAATATTCAGAAAACAGGAGTTAGTAAGTCCACAAGAACGATCTGTTTTTGTACAACTATCCCTTTTTTTGCTGTTTTGTTTAAATGCTATTAATTATATATTTTTTATATCTATGGCATGGGGTCCAAAAGAAACGCTAAGTACAATTGCTATCTGTAGATAAAATGTATTAGTGAGGGAAAAAAACTGTTCACATTTTGATAACATTAATATGTCTTTGTTCCAAGAATACTTTTAAGAGTAAGTACTGTGTAGTATTTAGTTATCAGTTATCAAGATGCATAGCATGCAAATAGCTTTGGTAGGGGCTTCTCAACCAGTGGTACACTGACCAGCAGGTACTTTTAAGTGTATGTCTCCATTCATCGTTTTGTTGATTCATTATTTTATTTAAATTAGAATGATATCTATGTTAAACGTGCAAAAATAAATCGATTGAGAACAAATTCAAGCCAGGTCAAGCTGTCAATTCAACTGTCAAGTTTAATAGAAATATATATCATTCTAGTTATTTGTGTAGCTTATTTTCCTACACACCATGCCCTCTTTTTAATCAAAGTCAGGCGACTTGAGCCCATCATTAATTTAATTTCATCTAGATTTCTTTAAGTTGCTTAGAACTAATCAACAATTCTTGGGAAAAATGTAGCTGTTTTGGCGGAGCGGCTAGAGTTGTAGTCTTTAAAACAGTTACAGTGCACTTCTATCAATGGAATCAACTTGAATTCTACGTGTAATGGCCAACCTGTACCTGTGCCACTGAGATGTGCCCAAACACCGGTCACTATGGCTGATGCGCTTCAAATGACTATTGCGTCAGCTTTGACCATTTAATGGATAAGTCCACAAGTCTTCTTGGTATAATAAAAATCAACGTGTATTTATGCATCGTGCGAGACAAAACTCCAAAAAAGTAGCGGTCAAAAACCATTGGCCCCTAACGGTTGCACGCCTGAACAGCTCTTTAGACAGGACTCATTTAAGTTCAACCTGCCCCCCCACAGACATAACACACAGGTGCTACCCACAGCCCAATAATTGCACATGTTTGGCTCTTACACTAAGTGATATTTATATTTTGAGTTGAAATCAAAAGTGTTCGTGTTGTTGACAAAAGGCCTATATAAATTACAGAATAAAATCAGATTAATCTTTATTATCTTTACCTATGCCTGAATTTTCAATTGGTTTCATACCTAAACAATGTTTTTGCATGAAATTGTGGCCATTAGACCACCTAAGCAATAAATGGTAGATTACAGCCCTAAAATGTTCATTATTATTGAAATCAAGTTTGAAATAATGTAATAGTTTCCAGTGGCCCTCAAAAGAAAGACTGTGAAACACTGGCTCATGTTGACAGGAGCCAAGTGTCTGGCGCACCTGTTACACAACGACCAAGCAGAAGAAGGTTGTGTTCTCTCCGTGTCTCAGTTCCTCTTCCTTTTACAGCACTCATTTATGGACTGGTGCGGCTGCTCGCGGTGCCTGCGACTCCCAACGGCAACATCGAGTCCCCAGAACCACGGCCACAAAATAATAAAAACTGCAGAGATAGGAATGAAAGATTATTAAAAAGGAGTAAGATTCACAAACTCAGGAGTGCTTTTTCCAAATATTTTTAATGAAACAACTTTTCAAGCAGTGGCGAAACACTTTCCCATTGTGAGCTTGAAATAAAAACTAAACTAATGTGTAACAAATGTTCTCCAGGGGCATCACTTTGTTTTGATCAAATATAGAAAACAAAATATTATTCACAGACCCATCTAAGCAACTAATTGATTAATCAGAATCTAAATTGGCTATCTCATCAATTACCATAATAACTGTTAATTCCAGCCCTAATACATATATAGCTCTTTTCACAGACCAGGGTCATAAAGTGCTTTATAGACACATACTGCAAATATCATGATATATTACAGACTACACAAACGTGTCGCCAACAATAATAAAGACTCTAGTTGTAATTTTTAAGACGAACAAATCAAATTTTTGCATTACAAAAAAGAGCACTTAAATCCTAAAAGTTGTACTCAAAACATAGAACATTGTGGATTCTACGTATCAAGTTTGACGCAGCAATGGGCGATACTGTATGACCAATTTTCAGTAATATGCACAAATGGACACTAAACCTTTCTAGATTTCTCTTTTTCTCATGTAAAGGCAAATTCATGCTCTGTACAATCAACTAGAAGATTAATTTATGCAATTGTTCTTAAAATCTGCTTCAAACTTAATATTTATAATTCATAGCATAATAAAATGGATACGACCTTGCAGTTTTCTCCAAACTGCTCATGAGGTTTACCTTGAAATATGTTTTGTAAAGCCATTTTATTGTATTCAGAATAAATGAAATGCAAACAAAATATACAATAAAATTAACAGCCCAGCTCTATGTTGAGTATTCTAAGTGGAATGTTACTCTCAGTGTGCAGACTAACATGTTACACAATTGGGAATCAGGCAATCATTGTAAAAGTCAGTGTTGAACTCGATGAGCTCTCAGCCAAAGTTCATGCAGTAAAAGGATAAGAAATGCACAACATGTATCCTTCCTGTATCTCCCAACCAACTGTGTTTGACATTGCCCTCTGCCATAATATGTCATGTCCTCAAGTTTACACAGTGACTGGCTAAAGTGAAACCCACACAGTCAGCAAATATTTACTAACTAATCATTATATAAATAGCTTGAGTACAAAGCAGACTTAAAAGGAGTTTCAACGGCAACACACAAATCTGGAAGAACCCATTTGCGTTTATCCGAGAACATAAAAAGAAGTTTAGGAAATAAATATGAACTGAAACTAAATACACGTTCAGCAGCCTGGAGACCGTTTTCACAATCTACTGTTAAAACTTCAATCAGCTCCGCCCACTTTAAAGATAACAGAAACTACACACAGGGCTGATTACAGTGACAGACATGTTGTGGAGACTATACTAGGACCATATTCAAATTGTTAGAACATTTGGACTAAACCAGTGTTGAGCCAGGTCTAAAATTGCACAACACAAGAACAAGCTCAACTAATGGTAAAATGTTAAAACATTTTACAATGTAATGTATTGCTTTTGGTGTAAAATTCACATTAGAAACTATGCAGAAAACGTTTTTTAAAGTTTTTTAGCCCAAAGCAATTATTTCACAGGACAGTTGGATGGAGAGTATGGAGAGATTAGAGAGACATTCAGAGGTTGGGATGGGACCCGATGATGCTGTGGTGGCAACAAACCACATACAGAATGTGCAACGCCTGAAACCACTACATCACTGGCAAACACAAGGACAAAAACAGATGTTAAGACTCTATCCAAGAACCTTCCCTCATCTACATATTAATATATCATTTGGTATGCATTTATGATATTGCAGTTTTATAGGAAAAAAAAATTGCCTGATATGTGAACTAATAAAATGATGGCTGACAAGTCAACTGCTGAAAAAGTTGTTATTTGCAGGCCTGGTGTACTTTTAGTCCAGGCTAAACCTGAGGTACATTGTGCCGCCTCCATATTTAATGTAAACTGTACTTAAACATACTAGAAAGTCAAAGAGAGCCATAGAAGGGGCTAAAAAGTGAAAATGTCAGGTCTGACAGAAGAGAATCGGCCAGATAAACACTTTACCCTGAATGTGGACACACCTTTTTCAGCATTATCAGTGAACCATAAATGACAGCCATGCGATCCTTGACCAAGCAGCAGTGAATGAAAACGCAATGAGCAACTAAACTTACACAGTGCTCAGTTAACCCACAAGTGTCAAAAAATATAACGAAAATAAGGCAAGTGCCGCACACGTATATGAAGTTAACAGTCTGTGGCTGTCATCTCCTGCTCGCAACAGCCACTACCCACACCTGACGTTAGCCTCAACATTTTGCTAACTTAGCATTAAGGGAATAACCACAAATAATATAAAAACTAAGCGACCGATCGCATTAAGTTTAATATTTGTAAAAGCCAAACGCGGAACAAATAGCTAAAAGCGCACAGCGACCCGTGATCATTTATTTCAGTAACTTGTAGCTTCTGTGCTTGCTAGCTTGGCATTAGCCGACTGCTGCTAAATCGTAAATACCACAGGCGCTGCGAGACGGAACACGCTTTTTAACATGCAGGTGCACATTCATAACAATGCAAAAATAGCTCGCTGGAGTAACATGCGACTGCACCAAACTACTGCCCCCACAGATCACTAAAAACATACATATGAAGTTGTCACTGACCCTCTTGTAGCTTGCGCCGAGGAGATGGCCGCACTTCCGCTTCCGCTCTCCCAGCAGCACTGGAAAGACCGCACCCCCCTGCACTTGTTTTGCTCCTGGGATCAAGACGTGCCGCTTGTATTTGATTATAAAAAAGATAATTGGTGTTATAATGGCATGAAGAATCACGCAAACGTATGCAGGGACCATAGACTATGTAGTGACAGAATTTGTGGACTAAAATGATCAAAAGATGACAGAAGAACGCAAACAATGGTAAACTTATCAGACTTATGACTCCAACTTATTCTCCAAAACGCCTGAAAAGCTGATACCCTGTACTGTAATGTTAGGCTCTGATGACTCATTGATTTCAATTAAAAGTGGGAATAATTTTCCAAAACAAAGATCAAACGTCCGCCGACATTTTCTTTGGTAGATTCAGGCCCAGTCCCAATACCCACACTGCACCCTACACACCTCTATGAAGTGTGCATTTGTCTGAAGTGCACACCAGGGTTGGAGTGCGCAGGTTACAAGTGTGCAAAAAAGGCAGAATTGGGACAGTGCACACTGAGTGCAGGTTACGTCATCGACTCGTCAAGAGATGGTCATTTTCAGACCTAAACTTTATAAACATTAAAGGTAATTTTGTCTGACCCTTTGGGAAACAAATTGAATTGCTTCTCACACGTTAAAATACATGTATATTAGTTGTTTTTAATTAGAGATAGCTGTGTGATTTTAAGTTAAATGTGGGTAACTAACTATCTGGTCAATTTTTATACATTCTAAGATTATTGTACTAGCTAAGTGTAAAGTTTAAATTGAATGTTATATAAACGCTTGCTTTAAAATGTATTAAATTGTTAAAACACAATGTCCGTAATTCTTCATCAGACGTGTATGCTTCTTTCCAAGTAACAGCAAAACTTATTTACACACATACTGTATATATTTTTCAAAATTTGCATTTTCCCGTCGTTTTGGTGTGTACCGCAAAGAACTATGGGCAATATCCTTCGCCAGAGTGCGCATAGATGCAGGCTACGGCGAAGTGTGGATCAGGGGCGCAAAGGGGGCGTGGCCAAAGACCTCCCTGGAGAATTGGGACACCCTACGCACTCGCACCCTTTATCGGGAACGCGCAAATGAGGGGCGCGAGGGTGGAAGTGCGAGTATTGGGACGGGGCCTGTATACAAGTGTGTAGCTGGTGTTTGGAGGTTGGGTCTAAGTTATTGGGAGAACTGTTTCTACAGCGGAGGGAAATGCTATTGAGAAGTAAAGGACTGAAGCAGAAAGAGCCAGATGAATTCATGCAAAATTTCCAGCATCTGAGTCAGGGCCAGATTAACACTTTGTAGTACCCTGGGCAACAATATTCAAGGGCCCCATCATCACGACCCCAGGATCACCATAATATGGTCATATATAGGATATATTACTGTAATATACAGTAAATATACTCAATACTTCAAATCCTAACTGTCATTAGGTGTATTTTCATTTACAAATATTTAAAGCTCATAGAACTACGAATGCACTACTATGTCCCCTATCAAAGACATTCACTCACATATGATGCTATGAAAACAAAACACATCAGCATCTGTATAATCTGGTAACATTGACCCACTACATTGAGAGGGAAGGAAGTATCCTCCATTTTCACAAAAAATGAATAGATAAGCAACCACTTTTAAACCATTGTTTATTTAACAACACTTATTCCCAATAGAAATGTATGGAATAGATAGAGCTATCACAGAAGACCACAGACAACAGATCAAGCAACATTTTGGTCCTCTGCTCATTGAACTTGTTTTAAAATATAACAACATGCTATAGCACAATTAACCAGTCAAACATTTTAGTGCTACATAAATACACTACACAATACTAAATACACAATACAATTTTCTGAAGAAGACGAGATAAAATAAATGGTATATAATCTGGCAAAACACACAATTTTAATCCTAAATAATGAGGAAGTGCATGTTTGCTTTCATTTGGCATCTTATACTGGCTTTTTTCTGGACTTTGACTGTGCAAACTGATGTATGACCTCTTCGAAATCAAGGCCACTAACAAGTTCATGTTCAATGGCTAAGAGAGAAAGTGCAGAGAGCCGTGTCTGAGACATTGTGGTCCTCAGCTCATTTTTAACTCGTTTCAAAACAGAAAATGACCTCTCACCCTCACAGTTAGATACAGGTAAGGTTAAAAACAGTCTTAGTGCAACATAAACATTCGGAAATGTTGTCTTAAGTCCATGTCTGTCAAGAGCTTGCAGCTGCTGTACAGGTGAAGTTTCATACTGCACAAAGTGCTTGAACTGAATAAGTTCATCTGACAAGGAACTATCCAGATCTGTTGGATAAGTGGAGCTCAGTTTAGCATCTCTTACACGCACATCACAATCGTCACAGTCCCTCTCAAACAAAACCCCAAAGAGGTCACACACATGTGAAAGAAAAAAAAAACGATGTCCAGAATCACTGTAAAACCTGCTGCTCCTCCTGCTGATGTTTAGACACAAGTCCTGTGTGTGTGCAGATGTGATCTAAAGCCAAGGGCCGCTAGAAAAATCATGTTTTACATGAGATTTTAATGGGAGACGCGTTGGTGCCCTAACAAAATTAGAAAATCTGCTGCGCTCTAATTTAGGATGGATTTCTAATTTTGTGCGCGCACCAACGCGTCTCCCATTAAAATCTCATGTAAAACATGATTTTTCTAGCGACCCTTGGCTTTAGATCACATCTGCACACACACAGGACTTGTGTCTAAACATCAGCAGGAGGAGCAGCAGGTTTTACAGTGATTCTGGACATCGTTTTTTTTTTCTTTTATAAAGTCTCGCGTCTGGCCAAACCAGCACAGAGACCATGAAGACAAACACATGCATGTGATTTGTGTTGCTCTACATCAGTCCTCTGGCCCGTACTGTCCTCTACACTGCTCCATAGACTACACAGGGAGAGCATCAGAAGACGCGGACCTGCGCGCACGGTCAGTGTAGATACTCCAAAAAAATGTTACGCGCAGAGAGCGCGCAGTAAACGCGTACGTGCTGTTTACGCCTACTGTGTAAATTCCCCGTAACAGTATTTTGCTCGTGCCCTTGCTGTCTGGGCCCTTTAGATGGGCCGCCCATGACGGCCCTCCGTGGGCCCTGGGCCCAGACAGCAAGGCCCTTTAGATGGGCCGCCCACGGAGGGCCCCTGGGCAATTGCCCAGTTGCCCGTATGGTTAATCCGGGCTTGTGCTGATGGACCACCAGATAGTGACCAATTACACATATATTGTAATTTTGGCAAGATTCACCTTTCAGAGTGGAGTTTGCATGTTCTTCTTGTGTCTGCGTAGGTTTCCTCCAGGTGCTCCGGTTTCTTTTACTACATGTATATATTCTGCGGGAGACAATAAAGGAGTATCTGATGTTATCTTAACACTAAAAACATGTACAAACGGTAAAATCCTCCAGCTCTGATCCTGATCATGCGCATCAACATCTGGAGCTGGGTCCATGCTGCTCCGGACAGAGGCCCTAGTGGCAATGAAGGATGCAGAGGACACTATTACCCATAGGTACAATAAAGTATAACTAAACTGAATTTACTTATTGAGTGTAGTAATTTGATTAAAAACAAAATCACATGAAAGGGGGTAGTGGGTCTTGTGCAACCATTTTGGAGACCTCTGATCTACAACCTCAGTCCTGGATCTACAGCCTCAGGACAATCAAGAAAGTATTCAGAATACACACTTTGACTGCCAAAAATCTATTCTAATGTGGTTATTTACGTGTGTGTGTGTGTGTGTGTGTAATGTGTAGAACCATTTATCAGTGGACATGGATCACCCCCCTCCCTAAAGCCCACTGTCCCAGGACCACAATGGACGACAATAGCGGTGGGGGAGGGGGAACCGGCAGCTGCTCTCAGTTTGCACACACAAGAGGAGCGGGGCCAGTGCGGAGCCTTGTGGGACACCTGGCTGAGGACGCTAACGGGACAGGGAGGGAGGAGGGAGGAAGGAGGAGGGGGTGAAGAGAGAGGAGAGATGAAGAGAGGAGAGGAAAGAGGAAGAGAGGAGATAGGAAAAAGGAGAAAGGTGGGAGGGGAGGGGATAGGGTAAATATGAGGGAAGAAAGAAGAGGGAGGAGAGTGGAAGCGAGGAGACAGTCTCACTCTCTGGTCTCTCTTTCTGGTCTCACTCTCTGGTCTCTCTTTCTGGTCTCACTCTCTCATCTCTCTATCAACTGTGGTCTCATTATTTTATCATAAAGGTGTCTTGAAGCGATGACAAGATTACTTGCATGCCAAAACCAGATCTTGTCAGACCTCTGAAACTAGGCAGGGCAGGGCCAGGTTAGTACTGTGATGGGAGACCTTTGGGAACACCAGGTGCCACAGTGGGGCGGCTGTGGCTGTAAAGTGCCAAACTGTCGTTGTGTCCTTAGCAGTGTTGAGTGTAACGTGTCACATAGAAACAGGGAAAAGTAGAGTTATTCATTAACTGTTGACAATTCAGTAATGTAAAGCCATTTCCGTTGCAATGTTACTTTTCAGTGATGGGCAAACAACGGCAACGCCATTTATCGCTCTTCCTGAAAAAAACTCCTTCAAAACACTGTGTTGGAGCGAGCATCAAAATATCTGCTCTGGTGATAAATGTGTAAGTGTACCCGTCGTCATCGTTGTTCACATTTGTTCTCGGCTACTGCGCATTGTTGTAGATTAACCACACCAGAGCTTCTGGAAGTTCATTCAGTTTCCTTCAGGTTTCAGTTGTTTCAGTTTTTTCAGTTTTTTTCAGACAGAACAAAGTCAGGACATGGTTTTTATAGTCATTCGTTACGTCACACATAGAAAGACATACGTGTCGCATCCAGAGACAATCAGAACATATTTAGAGTCATAACATGGATACACAATCAAAGTCCTTGTGACAGTGAGGGCCAGATATTTTGTCTTGCTTCTGTCCACCTGCGTAGGCCATAGCTATCTATTCTCCATAGCATGTCCAAATGTATGTGCGAGAAGGTGGTGAGGCAGAGAATTCACACCTTTTCCTTCACACGGCTGAAACAGCTGAGCAACGCTTGAGAACCAGCCGTTTCCATGTAAACAGGAGGCCAAACCGATACCCAACTATAGGGTTTTACTGTCGCATTGTCTCCGTATAAACGGGGCCTGAGTCTGCTGCGTGTGTGTGTGAATGGTGGTTGGAGGGGTCAATGGCACATACTGGTTGCCTCGCTTTTGTCAGTGTGCCCCAGGGCAGCGGTGGCTACAGTAGTTGTTCATCACCAATGTGTATGAAAGAATAATGACCTGTGAAGTGTTTTTGAGTGTCCTGAAAAGCACTGTATAAAAGAGGAGGAAGGAGAGAGAGAGGGAGACAGGAGGAGCATGGCCAGTGTGGAGCCTTATGGTACACCTCGCTGCTGACACTAATGGGACAGGCCAAGGAGGGAGGAGGGGGGAGAGAGGCAAGAGGAGAGGGGCCAGTGCGGATCCTTGTGGAGCACCTTGTGGACGCTGACCCTACTCTAAAGTAGACAGGACAGGAGGATGAGAGAGGAGGGGGAAGGCAGTGGGACAGGAGGGGACACCAAAGAGCTTTTAATTTATGGGATAATGTTACAAGTCGTCCCTCACACTATGTGGTTATGTTTGAGATGTGGTCCTGAAGATTATTTGAAAAAGTAAAGGCAAGGCAAGGCACGCTTATTTGTATAGCACAGTTCATATTCAAGACAACTCAAAGTGCTTAACAAAACATAACAAGGCATTAAAATCACTAACAGTCAGTCCATCAAAAAGAAAGAAGATGCATTGCACAACTGAACGGATCTGTTTTAACTTGGAAAAATATAAAATGCCACAGAATAAATGTCTGTAAAGTGAATAAATAAACCAAAATCTAGAATGGGATTTTAGTTTTGAGGTTTTTTCTCTGTAATTCATGAAAAAATCTGCATGAAACAAAAACTCACAAAGTTCCACGTCTTTGTCAGCACATGATATGTCAGTCTCTGGTCTCTCTGATTTCACTCTCTAGTATTCTCTCTGGTCTCACTCTCTGGTCTCTCTATCAACTAAAGTCTCAGTATTTTATCATAAAGGTGTCTTGAAGTGGCGACAATATTCAAAAACAAGTGCACAAGGTTGATGAAAAAACAGGACATTTACCTTTAATTTCTTTCAAAAAATACCTTTTCCCCATAGACTGGCACCTGCTGAAATACTGAAATACATATTCATATTCCTCAAAAACCAATTTGTTCCAGAACTCCCAGGTCTCTGGGAGTACAAGCATGTGGCTAGACTCTTTGTGAAGCTGAGGCCCTGTAGTTTTGGCCTCTGATGACTCATAGCACCACGTCTCTCCGTCCTCCAGTGACAGTGTCGGCCCCCAGACCCCTCCCCTCCCCCACTAGGACCACTGGGACATGTGACCATCTGCCTGAGCGAACAGGTGTGTCCCGGCCCAGGCGCTCTGTTTATGCTGGCGTTCAGGCCTAATGGCGTTAGAAAAGTATATATTAAAGACTCAAACTATGACGGAAAATACATACATCTTAGCTTTGATTGGTCACTTATTTTAAACATAAGAAGAAATAGAGTTTTACATCACCAGATAAAGCAGCTGGACCTGTGCACAACCCTGTCTCAGTATAAATACACACCACTCTTGTCTCAGTATACATGCAGACCACTCTTGTCTCAGTATACATGCAGACCACTCTTGTCTCAGTATAAATACACACCATTCTTGTCTCAGTATACATGCAGACCACTCTTGTCTCAGTATACATGCAGACCACTCTTGTCTCAGTATACATGCAGACCACTCTTGTCTCAGTATACTTGCAGACCACTCTTGTCTCAGTATACATGCAGACCACTCTTGTCTCAGTATACATGCAGACCACTCTTGTCTCAGTATACTTGCAGACCACTCTTGTCTCAGTATACATGCAGACCACTCTTGTCTCAGTATACTTGCAGACCACTCTTGTCTCAGTATACATGCAGACCACTCTTGTCTCAGTATACATGCAGACCACTCTTGTCTCAGTATACTTGCAGACCACTCTTGTCTCAGTATACATGCAGACTCAGACCACTAGTATAGTATAGATACTGTATATAGTACATATATATAGTATATAGTATGTGTGAGTGAGTATTCTAAATATGTGTCTATTTTTAGCATGGCTCTACCTGCTCACCGAAATAGATTAAGATTAAGATTAGGAGATCCTTTATTTGTCCCACAGTGGGGAAATTTTGGTGTTGCCTCACAAGTTATAAAACAGTAGGAAAGAGGAGCACACGGCACACGTTAAGTGAACAATAGCTATACTAATTAAAATAAAACATCAAGGCAACTATGACGGAAATGCACCAGCTTGTCTTGTCTCTTTTTAAGATTAAGAGACAAACGCTCCAGACACTTACAACATTTGTGCAAATCGGACAAAATGGGTGAAGCCAGTTGTCCCATTCTCTGCCCTCACATGTAAACGTTCTGAGTGTTTATCCACAGAGAGAGTGTAGGAAGCAGCTGGAGCACACACACACACACACTCTTCTACTGCAGCCAGGCACACGGTGTAAAGTGCCCACAGGTCACAGAGGTCAGCTCAGGCCGCGTGCCCCGGGTCAGAGAGAGGCAGCCCCCCCCCCCCCCACACACACACACACAGGCACACACCCCCCACCTGCTGTGAGGAGCACTCAGGATCCACAGAGAAGACTGTGGTGTGCAGACCTGATCCCCTCTGGTTTCCGTCATAGTTTGCCTTGATGTACAGAGTGTAACGACTGAACACATGAGCTCTTGACTTTTTATCATTTTTTCATGACTTTATTATTCTCAAAAACACAATGTAAGTTTTTTAATGTATTGTTCAAGATGCAGAAAATGGCAGTGTTCATCCACAGCTTGTCATCACTTATCTCTTCAATAACCTCCAGCACAGGTTTTCTGCGACCCAGCCTCGGACAACTCCAACTCTACCACACACAGTCCACCGTCAGAAACAATATCAAAAATGATGAAAAAACAGCTCAGTTACTTCCTGTGGAGGAGAGAGAGTGATGCCCTCAGCAAGAGCGAGTGATGGGAGAGAGGTGTGGGGTCGGAGAATGATTGGGCCTATGTTTTGGTGTATGCGTAGGCAAGTTTCAAACACATTTATCTGATAGAACTGCAGACAGGAGCAATCTGCTCCTAAGTCCAAGCAGTGACCGATGGAAGATTCCCCACACAGCCTGGTAAGCCTGCGTGTGTGTGTGTATGTATGTGTGTGTGTGCATGTATGTGTGTGTGTGCGGTTGTGGGTCTGTAAATGTGTGTGTGTGACACACACAGTGCAGGTGTGAGCACAGAGTGTGCCGGGTCACAGGTCAGGGGCAGCACAAAGACCCACAGCAGTCCCCAGCTGCCGGACCCTCCCCCAGGACCCCCCTCTCCACTCTACGACAGGCGCGTGAATGGGAGTGTGCCTCTGCTTCACCCCCCAAACCTCCCCTGCTGGAGGGTCTGGATGAGGGCCATGAGGACAACAGCGCCCTCTACCTCTGATGCAACATGTAGAAGGCTGCGTCCCAAACCCCCCCTGTTCTTTAAAAAGCCATAAGGTGGGTGATAATGTAAATATAGTAAATACAGCGGATTGTGCCGTGGGCTCATTCCATAGACTGTATATACAGTAGATTGATTATCAGCCAGCTCAAAGAAGCCCAATAGGGAAGTGCTGATGAATTAAGTTTTGGCTCCCATCGGCTTACATTGAAAAGTAAACTCCTCTAGCTCAGGAACATTCACCTTAGCAACCCCCTTAGCAACATGTCTGCCCCTGTTAGGCCCATATTAGGAAGATCACTCCAGCTTTAGCTTAAAGCGGATTCTTCCGCATTCGGCAAACACTATAGAGCCGTCAGCACTCGGCCCACTCCTGCAGTCTGTGGTCTGGACCAGGTCTGAGCCTTACGTGACTTTCCAGCGGTTGGTTTCAGACTGGACTCATAAAAGAAAACACAGATTCTAGCGTTCAGGCATGAAGCTGAATGTGACTCAGAAATTGAACAAATACGAGGATGTATAAAGAAAATTTATTAAAATCAAAATGTTTATGATCCCAGGTCAGACCAGGTCTGGACCGGGTCTGAACTGGTCTGAACTAGGTCTTAACTAGGTCTAAACCAGGTGTGAACCAGGTCTAACCCAGGTCTGAACCAGGTCTGACCCTGGACTAAACCAGGTCTCACCCTCTCCGTACCTGGAAGTTGCTTTCGTCCTACATTCTACAACCTAATTCCTGCACTGCGTGGTCTTTGTTCTGTAGCTTACAGTAGGTTCTTAGCCTGTGCGTCCAAGTGGAGCGGATCCCTCTCTCTGATTCTCCCCGAGGTTTCTCACTTTTCTCCCATTGGGTTTTAGAGATTTTCTTGTCAATGCAGGAGGGTCTGTTGGACAGTTAGTGTCTAACAAGAAGGACTGTGGTGATGATCCAGGACATTCTACAACATGTATGGACATTTATCAACATTCATGGACATTGGTCTCTCCCTATGGACCAATACATACAGTATGTGTTTTATATGCGTTTGAACTGTTTGATTCTCTGATTTGTGTTGGTGATTTCAACGGTTTTGTTAAGTCCTCTGAGAGAAATACTTTTGGGATTTAGGGCTCTACAAGAATAAATTGAATTGAATTGAATTACAGTGTGAATAATGGACCCATACTGTACTCAGAACATTTCACACCAATGAATAAAGTGTGTTTGCTAAATAAATCGGACACTCCTAATGCTTAGTATACAATATAAAACACATGTCCTCCCTCAGCCCCACAGTGCGTCAGAGGTGAAAGGGACCACAGTCTGTCCTGGGCCGTATCCCCGGACTCCCAGACCCCCAATCCAGGTGAGGAGGATAGCGGTATCCTCTCTCTCACATGGACTCAAACTCGTCCACGCGCTGCTTGGTGTTGCCCTGTCGGATCTGCCTGAGCGTCTTGTACTTGTCCCGGCCCGCACGCACGTTCTCAGCGTGGAGCAGGTCGTTGTGCGTCCTCTTGGAGTGGTCCCGGGCCGCCTCCAAGTCCGAACTCAGCGCCTAAACACACGGGGGTCACACATGACATTTATGGAATTTATCAACGTTTATGGACATTGGTCATCTGCCCCTAATGGACCAAAGGCTCTGTGTGTTTTATCATTGCATTTCCTATTTTGACTTGTAATGGAGAATCGATGACTTTGTAAAGTCCTCTGAGTTAACTATTGTTGTGATTCAGGGCTATACAAAAATACATTTAATTGAATTGAATAGATGAGAACAGGGGAAACAAAAAGGACATCAAATGAAAGATAGAGGACCTCTTAAGAATAACTGCTGAATGACATCACCAGGTGGGATCTGGTAGAGTCCTGATCGAGTGCTAACGTCACCATACTGTTTCACTTAATTTGGAAGAGGCTAAGAAGAGCAAACTCAGAAAGCCATTTTGAGCAGGAATGTGGAGCCAAATGCCTGCACGTTGTCATGGTAGCAATCTGGTATCTGTTTTTACAAAGACTATAAAAACAGGACCATGGAGAGCGCTCTCCAAGTCCAAAGGGTGAGTGTAACAGAAACGGTTACTGAGTTAGTAGAGGAGTCAATAGCAATTGTTTATTTGGCTTCATTAAGCTAGCAGGTTAGCATTGTCCATCTATATACAGTCTATATTTCAGAGACAAGTAAGTGACACAGCTACCGTCTCATGGAAATGATCACAGAGCTGCCAGATCAGCTACACAGCCCCATCTTGTGTTAGGACACAAGCACTGCACTTACAGTTGGACACAGCATATACAGCGTTGTGTGTGTTTGAAGATGTATACATGATGAACAAAACAATGTCCTGGATCATCACAGTTCTTAGACGCTCCTGCTTCAGCAACTGTGTAACTATAAATGAAACTGCTCTCATACAGACATTATAAACATGGCTCAAAAAATGAAACCACAGAACATGATGTTGACTTTGGGCATTTGATTTTCACACACGCTCAGCAGTTGTCTCATCAGGATCTGTTTACGAGCAGCTCTATCACTGTAAAATCGGCACCAGCTTTGCCACATGGACTGGTTTTTCACTCCTCAATCGGTGTGCACGAGTTTACATGCCTCTTCAATCAATTGAATCCTGGATGACTGGATTAAATTGGAGTAGGAGGTTTAGAACCATGTAAGCTAAATGTCTGGCCCTATTATGAGTGAAGCTAACGCTGCCCGACCAAATGGCCTTATAAGGAAATCGGCTACAGCTAGCTTATGTTAAAATCGGCCTCTTCCACATTCGGCAAACACTATGGTAAAGTCAGCTTTTGATCAGTCTAATCCCAATATCGGATGTATGGTGTGTTTGTGTGTGTGTGTGTGAATGGATGAAGGGTGAAGGGTCATCAACATTGATTGATTGATGTTCCAGCCTCACACAGTAAATGCGATCTTGGGACCTGTACCTGCAACTCCCTCTTCCTCCGCTTCTCCCGGTGGATCTCCCGTTGGTCACTGCTTTCCCTCGGGGCCTCCTCCTCACTCTGCTCTGGGACCGGTGGAGCCAGAGCCACCTTCAACTCTTCACGGGTCTTCTCCAAGTCCTCCTGCGCTGACAGGGCCTGAACGTGCACACACACACACACTATCAATCAATCAATCAAAGTTTATTTGTAGAGCGCCTTTCATACACAGGGCAACACAAAGCGCTTCACAGTCCACATCACAAATCATCACATAAAACAAACACCAGAATCACAATTAAAACATTAAAATCACACAAAAGATTAAAACACAATTAAAACATTAAAATCACACAAAAGAATAAAACCATTAAAACTTTCAAAATTACACAAGAAATTTAAAAAAATAAATAAATAAATGACAACAGTGCATTAGAAATGGAGATAAAATCCTTCAGTTGTATGCACAGGCAAACAGAACAGTCTTTAACCTGGATTTGAACATTGACAGAGTAGACGCCTCCCTCACATTTTCAGGGAGATTGTTCCAGATCTTAGCTGCATGGATCTGAAACGCAGCCTCCCCATGTTTGGTTCTCACTCTGGGCACCAGCAGGAGGCCAGTCCCTGTGCTCCTCAGAGTCCGGGCCGGTTCATATGACACCAACATGTCACTAATGTATTTTGGTGCAAGGCCATGGAGAGACTTGTACACAAGCAGAGCTGTTTTAAAATCTATTCTCTGAGCCACAGGAAGCCAGTGCAGAGACCTGAGGACCGGACTAATATGGTCATACTTCCTGGTTCCTGTCAGGACTCTAGCTGCTGCATTTTGGATGTACTGCAGCTGCTTACAGGTCTGTTTGGACAGACCTGTAAGCAGGCCATTGCAGTAGTCTAGCCTGCTGGAGACAAATGCATGGACAAGAATCTCCAAGTCTGCCCTGGACACTATATTTCTAACTTTGGCAATGTTCTTCAGATGGTAAAAAGCTGTTGATGTTATTGATTTTATGTGGCTATTGAAATTTAGGTTGTCGATATATGACAATGACAATATCCACAACAGATGTCAAGGATTTTAAATATCTAGCATGCACTCTTTGTGTTTTGGATTCATTTTGCCATTGATGTCTTGTTATTAGTCAAAAGTGTTCATTTTAAACATGTACCAGTCCCAGGACTCAGATGCCTCTATGCTGGACCTACTTTGTGCTGCCACTCTGAGGCCTCATCCTCCTTCTTCTTCTTGGCCTCCTCCAGGAGAGCGATTTTAGCACTGAACTCTGCCAGCTCTGCCGCCTACACACAGATACGCACACAGACACAGACACAGACACAATACAAGATCACTCCAGTTTTGTGAAATTCCCGAGGGGACATATGAACATCATATGCTTGAACTACCACTAGAGGCAGTGAGGAGTTACCAGCTGCTCCTGGGTCTTCTTCTGGTCAGCAGCCTGTTGAGCCAGCGCAGCCTTGGCCTCCTCTGCTGCCCGCCTCTCCCTGTCCAGCCTCTGGGCCTCGTCTGCAGCTCTGCCTCTCTCCTGCTCAAGCTGGAGAGCCCTGCGGGTCTGCTCCTCTAGTTCTGTACACACACAGACACACACACACACAGGTATGTATGACTACATACATGGTGGTGACTATACTGTAGCCACAGCTGCCATGAGGCACACTGACAGAAGCGAGGCAACCAGTATGTGCCATCGGCCCCCACGACCAAGGCAAGGCAAGTTTATTTGTATAGCACAATTCATACACAAGGCAACTCAAAGTGCTGAACAAAACAAGAAAGCATTAAAATCATAAATAATCACAGAACATTAAAAAGGAAGATAAAAATATAAAATCCCTCAGTTGTAGCACAGCTAAACAGAACCGTTTTTAACCTGGTTTTAAACATTGTCAGAGAGGAGGCCTGTCTCACATCTTCAGGGAGATTATTCCAGATTTTAGACCACCGACCATTCACAGAGTATAGTTAAACAAAGTCAACAACTTTGTCAATAAGTGTTTAACTTCAGCCAAAACCCTTTCAGTGAATTGATGTCAATGCTTCTTCTGTTGAAATGTATTCTGTAACTGACAATAATACTGACTGAAATAAATTACTATTACTCTTATAATGTCCCCTCCTCCTCTTCACAGAAACATCACTGTTACCTCCTTAAACTCCCCCTTTTCCCTGTCTTACTATGAAAACGTGAATTGTCCATGAGCAAGAGTAACGGAACGATAGCAATCATGAAGCCTCCCCTCCTTTGCATGTCTGTCTAATTTGTTCTTCACTATTTTAATAAACCAGACAAGCTTTTTCCCTCTGTCCTTGATCATTGAAAAATACAGATGTACACCACAACCTCAGCGGTACCTTTCTGGGCCTTGTGCGTCTGCTCCTCAATGTTCCTCAGCCGTTCCAGGAGCTCTTTCCTCTCCCTCTCCGTCCTCTCGCGGTCTCGCTCCGCCTGCTCACGGGCTCGCTTCTCACTCTGCAGCCGTGCCCTGTCACAAACCGTCACAACAGTGGGACACAAGAGGACAAGTATTCGGAAAGGTTAGCTATAGCATCCCTCCACTGGCTCCCTGTGTGTTTTAGAGTTGATTCTAAGATTTTACAGATTACTTTTAAAGCTTGTTTAGTTTTGGCACCAAGCTACATTTCTGAATTTTTACCCCCTACGAGCCTTAGATCCTCAGAGGAGATCAGGCTCACATCATCAGTTCTTCTTTTAAAGCACTTTGTCTTTTAAACCTACAATAAACAAACAGCTTTTAACTGTTTGTTATAAACTTCAATTTGATGTATTTTTGTTAGTCCTAAATCACAACAAGTGTTATCTTGAAGGACTTAACTAAAGCGTTGAATTTGCCAACAAAGATCAGAGAATCAAACAGTTCAAACTCAAGAAATGCATATAAAAAGCATATAGAACTTCACATGCTGTATGTTCTTGTTCTACATTGTCTGTGTTTTGTCTTTGTTGTTGTATGTCCTCTGTCTGCTTTATTTGCCTGAATTTCTTTATGATAACTTAAATTATTATGTCTGTTTTTATAGACTTGTATTGTTTTATGCAGACTGTGCAGGACTTTGTAATTGTAGTTGCTCTGCTATTGTGGTTAGCCCACGTTTCCTCCACACATTTCACTGAATTAGCTTTTGTTTCTCAAAAGTACCAACACAACTTCCACATTTTGTCATCTTTACTTTCATAGACATAAACATTTCAATTTTGAATTATTTCAAATATTTCCTTATTTTTTTCATGATTCATTATTGTTTACACACAAGTAACAGACAACTGGGAAGTTCGGCGTTGTACGTTAAGAATGTTGTTACTTCTCCATCTGCTTGTGGTGCCTCTCCTCGCGGGCCTGGGCCTTCATCTGCTGGACCTCAATGGTGTCTGGCTTCCTCCTCCGCATGTACAGCTCGTGGTTGCCCATGCACAGCAGCAGGATGCGCTTGTTGATCCTTAACCGCGGGGCGTAGAACTCGAAATTCTCATGGACACAAGACACACACCAAACACAAAACTTAGCGACTGGAGCAGAGTCACAGCTCACTTCTTCATACAGTGGCTGTCCCTCCAAACTTTCATCTCAAACAAGGAGAAGACTGATCAGAGATGCAGCCAAGAGGCCCATGATCACTCTGGATGAACTGCAGATAACTACAGCTGAGGTGGGAGAGTCTGTCCATAGGACAACAATCAGTCGTGCACTGCACAAATCTGGCCTTTATGGAAGAGTGGCACGAAGAAAGCCATTTCTCAAAGATATCCATAAAAAGTCTCTTTTAAAGTTTGCCACAAGCCACCTGGGAGACACACACATGTGGAAGAAGGTGCCCTGGTCAGATGAAACAAAAATCGAACTTTTTGGCCACAATGCAAAACGATATGTTTGGCGTAAAAGCAACACAACTCATCACCCTGAACACACCATCCCCACCTCAGCTGTAGTTATCTGCAGTTCATCCAGAGTGATCATGGGCCTCTTGGCTGCATCTCTGATCAGTCTTCTCCTTGTTTGAGATGAAAGTTTGGAAGGACGGCCAGGTCTTGGTAGATTTGCAGTGGTCTGATTCCATTTCAATATAATTGCTTGCACAGTGCTCCTTGAGATGTTTAAAGCTTGGGAAATCTTTTTGTATCCAAATCCGGCTTTAAACTTCTCCACAACAGTATCTCGGACCAGCCTGGTGTGTTCCTTTGTCTTCATGGTTCTCTCTGCGCTTTAAACAGAACCCTGAGACTATCAAAGAACAGGTGCATTTATACGGAGACTTGATTACACACAGATCAGATTCAGATTCAGATTCATTTATTTGCCATTTGCAGTAAAACCACATTGGAAAACTGTGCAAGACTACCCCGGTGTGCGCCAGACAGAGAAGACGACACACACCGGTGCATTCTATGTATCATCATCAGTCATTTAGGACAACATTGGATCATTCAAAGATCCTCACTGAACTTCTGGAGTGAGTTTGCTGCACTGAAAGTAAAGGGGCCGAATAATATTGCACGCCCCACTTTTCAGTTTTTTATTTGTTAAAAAAGTTTAAATTATACAATAAATTTTGTTCCACTTCACGATTGTGTCCCACTTGTTGTTGATTCATGACAAAAAAATAAAATTTTATATCTTTATGTTTGAAGCCTGAAATGTGGCGAAATGTTGAAAGGTTCAAGGGGGCCGAATACTTTCGCAAGGCACTGTATGTGACAGAAGTCCACCAACATGCTGAAGGCCGACTTAATCCAGACCCAATCCAGATACTATAAAAGATCCATGGTTTGGAGGTGCTGGTGTGCGTTGATTCTAATGCAGCATGTAAACACGTCAATTCGATTTGAATGAGACAAAATGTGTGCTTACATTTGCGATTGTGTGTTTATAATGTCTGTATGAGAGCAGTTTTATTTACAATCATTTTGAGGAATAAGGGAAAGTTACGAGAAGCCTTTGAAAGCGTCCTCAGGTCTGGAGCCTTGAGGCTTCTCCGTGGGGCCATAACTCCACACATCTGTATTATAACATACTCTGTATTGTTATATTTTGGAAACGCACTCAGTGGTAGAAAAAAGAATTGCAGACCTACAAAAAGGGTAGCTCTAACATTAGTTTCCTTCTATAGACCTGTCTCTACCGCACATGTCTCACCGGAGCCTTCTTGTCGATGGGTTTGATGACAAACTTCTTATCGGTGAAAGAGATGTTCCGGATCTCGCTCCATGGAAAGCCAATTTTAGGAGACAACCTGGAAACAAAAAGTAAAGTACATTGGTCTCTTTATTTATCTAGAGGTTGTGTTATATAACATACCTGTATTATACTATCAACCTGTTCAGGGACTATTGGTGGAAACTCACAAATGTTTATTGTCTGTTGTCCCCCATCAAATAAATACTTCGGAAAAAGTAAAATCCCTCAAACACACTTTATACACTTTTCTAACCACCCAAACTCACAACAGCTTAAGTGCGATCATGGAGATTTCAAACCTGTTTGTTGTAGGTCTGAGCGCTGTTGCAGCTGTAAAAAGCTGTGCATACACTGTCATATACAGCCACAGAGGACACCACACTGAAGGGCAGGAGCAAGCTGTTTTTAAAGGTCCCATATTTATTTCAGCCCACACGATTTGACTTAAATTTGCTTTAAACATCGAAACAACGGCCAACAGAAGCCTGCCTCCAGGAGGTGATAGACAGGGGAAGAAATCAAAACAGCAAATCAGCGCACACAGCCTTTCCCAGAGAACGGTCCTGTGTCTACCACAGTCTGTGTTCACTTCTATAGTGTTTTTCTGCTATTTTCAGCGACAATTTTTAGCATCATGTCATCAAAGGCAGCCTTAAACTAGTGTGCATGTGTCTTAGTGTGTATGTGTTTTGTCTGTAATGTAGTGTCATCAAATGTTTTATTTTATTTACATTTAGTCTCAAACAATTCAAACTCATGATGAGCAATAGAAGCAATAGCAGCCGCAGAGGCAGCAGCAGTAGTAGTAGCAACAGTAGGCCTAGCAGTTGCAGCAGCGGAAGCAGTACTAGTAGCAGTAGTAGTAGCAGCAGTACTAGTATTAGCAGCAATACTAGTAGCAGCAGCGGAAGCAGTACTAATAGCAGAAGTTGCAGCAGAAGTTGCAGCAGTAGTAATAGCAGCAGTTGCAGCAGCAGCAGTAGTAGCAGCAGTTGCAGCAGTAATAGCAGTAGTTGCAGCAGCAGTAGTATTAGCAGAAGTAGTCGTAGCAGCAGTTGCAGCAGCAGTTGCAGCAGCAGTAGTAGCAGTACTTGTCTCCGTGCTCATAGATGTTTAGGCCTAGTGCGTCGACCCCGAGCCACAGCTGCGTGCCCTTCTTGTTCCTGATGTGGAAGTAGTTGACTCCGTACATCTCCAGGTCCTGGGCAATCTTCAGGTACTCCATCATGGCGTCCTCCCTGAGGATATAGAGTCTATAGGTTTACACGTTATATGTTTATTACTATATTCTAGATATATTTTTTATATTCAGCTTAACATACTTTATTTTCAAACCTAAAGTTGTGCCATTATTTGCTATGTATATTCACTTGTTTTGTGTGTGTGCTCCTCTCCCTTCCTTCTTGTGTATCCTGGCTGGGTGTGGCATTCCTGCAGCTGAGCAGCAGCAGCAGAGCAGCAAAGCAGCAGAGAAGCAGCAGTAGCAGAGCAGCAGAGCAGTAGCAGAGTAGCAGAGCAGCAGAGCAGCAGCAGGAGCAGCAGCAGTAGCAGTAGCAGCAGCAGAGCAGTAGCAGTAGCAGAGCAGCAGCAGTAAAAACACTCAGTAATCCAGCTACTTGTGCAAGTTTGTGCAAATTGTTACAAACGTTTTTGGCCCCAGATTGTCTGGGACTTCTAATCATTTCTATTTCTGGCTCAGGACCTACTTGCTAGCCACTATTCTGCCTGCCTGCCATTTACCTGTCCTTAGGCACTCACTCACCTGCTCCTCTGGACTCTCTCCCATCTTTGAATAAACTTTGGTAAACCGTCCTCATGTTTAGTCGGTATTGTGTCCTCTCCTACAATTTGACATCCTCATTCCTACTGTTCTGAAACCTGTGAGGCAAAACTGTTGGACGAAAGGATCTCTTCATCTTAATTATAGACACTGGACAGTGGTTGGTACATAGGGTCAGGGATTACCGCAGCAGGCCGGTGTGCTCCATGTGCCACTTCTGGATCCTCTCCTCCCACTGCTCTTTTGTGAGTTTGTGCTGCTCCAGGACCCTGCCGTTGACACCACACACGGTTAATTCACCAAACTGGCATTTAATTGTTTATGATATAACTAACAAAATTATGGATAAACACGTACGATGGATCAAGATACGTATCTAAAAAATGTCTATAGTGGGAGAGGCAGGGAATTAATTATACTCTGCTCCTTTAAACATGTCTAATGTAATTCTGCAAAATCCATGGAGTAATGGACATGAAGACTTGATTTTAAAAATAAATAAATCACATTAAACAAACATATATTTGTTTATATGAGAGCAGAGTGTGTATGTTTCCATCTAAACTCCAGGTGAATTTATATCAGTAATTAGTGTGGCACAGACAGAAGATTCGGGAAAAAATAGTGATTGTGTGATTCACTTTACTAGACCACTAAGAATGCACATTACATACTGTTCCTCTAAGACAGTGTCTCCCAAAGTGGGGTCCGCGGCCCCCTGGTGGGCCGCGTGGGTACTGCAGGGGGGCCGCGGGAGGTCATAAACAAAAATAAAAAAAATATATAATTATTTAATGTTAAATTTATAATGTTTTGTTTGTAATATTAAAATATTTGTGTTCATTATTTGACTTGAATAAGCCACTGTAATCATTTTTGTATTACAATGTTTGTAGCAGAGGCTATTTCCCCAAAATAAAATAACCAGAAGAGTCTATTCTTAATGTTGTCTTCTTGGTTATTATTTTGGGGGGCCACGCAGACCCTTCAGATTTTTAAGGGGGCCTCGGTGTTACTGAGTTTGGGAATGGCTGCTCTAAGACATAACCAACATTATCTGACCAATCAGATGGCTTGTATTGACCCCATGCATGTGACGTCCCGGCCACGCCTACTCTCCATGACAGACGGCGGAAGTCTAACTGCGACCCTACGGAAACCGGACCAAAATAACCTGTTTCAGCGAATTACAGCCAAAACTGTGATATTTTGCAGTGCGGTTGATTGTACTAACAGCCAAGGACATAAGCCAAATGTGTCTTTTTATCTGATACCTCCTCGTCATGAAGACAGAAGACGACGATGGCCAGCGGCAATCAACCAAAAGGACTGGGAGCCGTCCAAGCACTCCCTAATATGCAGTGAACACTTTTTACAAGATAAATCAATCACAAGTTTGTATTTATTTTATTTCCATTAATCTGGAGGACAATCACACAAGTCAAACGTGTCTCTTACTATTGTCCTGTTTGTGCGCTGCAACATTGAAATTTCCCCACTGTGTCACGAATAAAGAATCTCTTATCTTATCTTAGACGTCAGTTGCGTTTTTCACTATTTTCCTCTCCGTCAATATGTATCATGTTTGGCTGTAGACAGAAAAGCCACAGAAAAGTGGACTATTGCTAATGCGCTAATGCTACCAGCAAAATGTACATATAAATCTGCTCCAGTGTAAGGGAATGCATTATGATAAAGATCATGAGGGGTGAATTCGGGCAAAATTAGACATTTCATTTAATCAATAAAATGGACTGGGGGGAGAAGGTACGGGTCAACATCCAGTTCGGCAATCCTTAACTTCTCCAAATACCGCTCTTTATGAGCCCTGACAGGATGTCCTACTTCCACCAATAACGTAATCAAACATGTGCTTGAAGCAGCCACTTCTCGATTTAGGAGAGGAGTCTCAGTTTTTAAGAGTTGTAGTCCATTTTGCTCTCGCCGCAATGCTAGTTTCCACTACTTCCGCCTTAAGCTCATGCACAATCACGTGACTGGATGACGTCGATGCATCTGGTCAATACCAGAATCCTGCATCAGTTTGAGAGCGGGGCAGCCTCGCTCCTGATGACTATAGATGCCAGTCCGTACCTCTGTGGCAGTAGTCGCTCAGAGCTCAGGTAGCCCGGTCGGTGATTTTCCTTGTTGTAGTCTGCATACTTTGCCTGGACCGCGTACGAGGCCAACAGAACAGCCGTCTCCGGGGGGCAGTAGTTGTCATCGTTCAGGACGGCCTCCTTCACCTGCACAGAATCATCCGCACTGATTGAGGTTCAGGCTGGAGCGCCTTTGTTCTCCTGAGGGCATCATCTCACTGCTATACACCTGTGACTCTCACAGTGAGTATGCAGCGCGCAAAAGGTGTTTTTGCTAAAAACAGCTCATGTCCGGGCTGGTCTGAAGTGTTCCCTTGACCATCTGGATGATTCAGAAGAGGCATGGCCATATCACATGGTCAGATGAGACCATAATAGAAAAGTTTATACTTTTGGTATAAACTCTAGTTGTCTTTGGAATTGGAGGAATACAGAGTTACATTCTAAAAACACCATGCCCACTGTCAAGCATGGGGGTGGAAACATAATGGTTTGGGGCTGCTTTTAAAGTTCCACAAATTAATGAATTAATGATTTTGTGGATTTGGTTTTCACATTTGTGTACCTATGATGCAAATTAAGAACTTGGACCATCTGTAAATGCTCATTAGCCCCACTGTCTCTGTTGGGTCTAAGCACCACCACCACCATGCAATGTTCCAGCCTATTTGAATAAATACCCTCATTCAGCCAATCAGCTCTCAACCAGTGGGGGAGGGTCCCAGCTCAAAAGTGGCCAAAATGACGTGCGCTGACATGCTTGCAATACCACCCCGGGCCGATGGGGGTGGACCCAGAAGTAGAATTAGCCAATGCTAACACATAGCATTGGCAGACCTCTCAAAAACGTCTTTACAGGATGGACCAAAAGTTGGCTCTTGGCCCAAAGCTCCGTTCCACATGTGTGTCAATGCTGAGGGGGTGGATTTTTTTGGTCCACTCTAGTTTACTTGCTGTGAATTTTTTAAGTCTCTCGTTCAAATGAATGGAGTTGCGCCGGCTGACGCATGCGCAGATGCGTTTTTTCACAATTTTCTTGTGGGCGGGACCACTCGTGGCCATTTTGGATTGCTCCAGTAGAGCACATTTTTTGGCCCATTAGTTAGAACGGCAGAGATAGGCCTGACTCTGTCCATTAATATATACAGTCTATGCTCTCAACCCAACCTCTCAACCCATTAATCAAATAGTGACTCACAGGGCTCTGTAACATAGCATGTGTTCTAAAAAGACATGTATTATTTACTCTATAATTTTACTTTCACACACATTCTGTGGGAAGAAACAAGAAGAGTAGCAGCAGTACCAACATTAGCAGTAGCAGTAGCAATAGTAGCAGTAGCAGTAGCAATAGTAAGAGTAGCAGTAGCAATAGTAGGCAAGAAGGTTCTGGGTTCGATTCCACCTCCAGGCCTTTCTGTGTGGACTTTGCATGTTCTCCCTGTTACTGCATAAGTTTCCTCTGGGTCTGCTCCGGTTTCCCGTACCACTAAAAACATGTACAATAGGTCTGGCATGCGTCCCCTGTCTGGCCCCCCGCTCCCATCTCTGTGTGGAGTGAGAGACAAATTCCAACAACAATTAACAAAAATTACTAGTAGCAGTATCCCTCACCTGCAGGAAGAAGAGCCTCTGTGTGATCTCCTGGATGAGCTCCTCAGACACGTCCTCTGGGAAGAACTTGACCCTGAACTTGAACTGCAGTGGGTTCTCCTTCTTCACGTCCTGCTTGGTCACCTGCACACGCCATCCAAGGACACGTCTTAAAATCATCTTTTGACCATGCTACAACTCCGTTCCTCATCAAAAACAGACCTGGGCTTGTTTTTTGCTCATCATCTTTTTGGATTTAAATAAAACTATTAATGGTCTCAAATTTTTGCCAAGCTGCAACGACCGATCCACATTATAACAAGATAACACTGGTGTGTTTCAGGACTGATTTTTGGGTTCTCTTACTGGTTTTAAAATGTCTTAATGGACCTTTCAGAATTACTATTACCCTGTGAACCTTTCCGGCCCCTGCGGTCTTCTGACAGCAGGCTCCTGCTCCAAAGTCAGGATCCTTCCAGCTCTACGGCCCCTGTCTATGGAACAGCAGCCAAAGGAGCTGAGGGCCCTCTGCTCAGGGCAGCAGAGAATGTTCATGTTTTAAGAGCAGGCTCAAGACAAACCTCTTTATATGAGCTGCATTTATGTCTAACGTGTATGGAGTGACGGATTAATGACATGTGAAGCATCTTTGAGTTACAAAATAAAAACCACAGATTTGTTCACCTCAAAATGGTAAGTGTGTCACAAACAGACCTACAGTAGCGGGTTAGCATTGTCCATCTTTATACAGTCTAGTGGCGCAGAGGTATCACATGCAGCAGAGGATCTTGCAGAGGTGCTGCGTTGGCAGAGGCCTCTCGTATCACATACCTGCTTCTGGTGCTTGAGCCAGGTGACGTATCCTTTACTGTCCACGTACTGCAAGCCGAAGAACCACATCTCCCTCAGCCCCACCGTCCTCACCACCTGGATGTAGCAGGACTAAATACATGTGTGCCGACATGGTATTATGGCTGTACAGCTGGGGTACCTAACTTTTGAACCAAATCATATTGATCCATGGAATTTAGTCCATGTCACTAGTTCCTGGCTCTGAAACAGTTTGCTTCTTCACTAGATCTCACAGAGGTCTTTTTTGGCCTCACATAAGACACATAAGGCTTTTTCAGAAAGAAAAGTGAAAAGGAAAGGACCTCCCTCACTCAGCCAATTTGTGACTCACAGGGCTCTTTCTGAAATTAAACAAAAATATTTATATTTACGTAGAAGAAAAGGTGTAATTTCATCCCTTGGCTATTTAAAAATAAAAAAAAATAAACTAAACATTCTTTTATATTGGGCCAATTTAAGTGTCATAAAAATGTGTTCATAATAAATTGTGAGTGATGTCATTGGAGAATTCTAATCTTCTTCTCTGTACCTGGTCAAACAGCTGCTTGCCGGTGGTTTTGGGCCGAATGGCAAACTCCAGCTCTGCGTCCATGGTGGTGACACGCACGTTCATCTGCAACACAGTACCAGCCTCAGAACCTCTCTCAAATGTATTTTATAGAGAAAAAAACTTAAGGATTAGCATAACAATGAAAAAGTGATTAGGGTGCACAAGAGTTCACTGTCGAATAAACATCACCATTTTTGTAATTGGAATCAGAAAACCACAGATCAAGTATTTCAGTTCTTCACAAACAAAATGTCTCTTGGTTTTGTTGCCAATACCAAAGACAATACTGGCCCTAATATGCATAGATCAATAAATAAAATACTCCATAGATCTATAAATGTATAGATCTATTGAGCCCTGTTCCACCTCAGTCCTGACCACTTCACACCCAGGCTCTAATTACCTCCACTGACTCATCATTTTCATTACACAAATGAAAAGTTGCTGTTGAAATATTGATAGGTCCTATGTTCCTCTGCCCGTGCCCCTGGGGGACTTCCTCTTCGGAGGGCGACATGTGCGAAACGCTGAGGCTTTAATAATTCAGGAGAGCTCTGCTCCCATGCATCTCCTCATGCACACATCCAGAGCAGGGTCAAGGGCTGCTGTCAGACTCATTATGACTATATATGATTTCATATGTAGCTCCTTCTAATGTTTTGTCTCTCCAGCCCAACTCCAGGGATCCAACTGACAGTGATTTTTAGGTCTACCGTGTCTAGTCCGATAACATTTATATGCGTAACTTTCAAACCATACATGGAACTAATGATCTATCTCAGTTTGCTTAGATCACTAGATTTCACATGCATATATTGTTTTGCTGTGGTCTGATTTGTTCATAATGTTTTTCCCTTTTTGTAACAAAATGTATTGAATATATTGTTACAACAGACCGACGCAGCTCCTGATTGGCTGTCGGTTACTCAGCTGTTGCTACTTACAAAGATTGCATACATTTGGCTCCACATTGCCGCTCAAATAGTCTGTTTGAGTTTACTCTAATCTGCTTCTTCCCCATTAAGGCAAACACTTGACGCCAGACCTCGGTCAGTCCACTCCGCATAAACAATCTATGGTGTTGGCCATGTTTGCACACACACGTGAAGGAGCATGGATAACCACAATAAAAAACAGTTTTTGCAAATGTTTACAGGCGGATCTTTTGTGGTTCTGTGTTCTTACCGTTTTGGGCATCTTGACTGCCACCAGGAGGATCTCTTCATCCCACATTGTGCCTGCTGTAGGATCCACACCAGAACCTCCTGAGGAACATTGCTAACTTTTAATTCTACTAAGACCAGATTAATTTTCCTAAACTTTTAAAAGAAAGATTTTAGTGCATTGTGGATTGTCAGTGCGTTTGAAAATCCCAAACGTTTATCAAATGAAACACACTCACTCAGCCGTGTCTCACAGCAGACCCAGGATCAGTCCAGTGCAGCATGGGATGATTTGTCTTCTCCCTGAAATTCACATTCAGAGTCAATGTTTTGGTCATTTTGTATTAAAAACCTCATTAGAATGTTTGTGCTTGTAAAGTACAAATATAAAAGCACATTAAAAAGTACATAAGAAACAAATGTCAAGAGAAACAACTCAAAAAAGTGCTTCTACAAGGGAAGAAGCTGGAACATTGCTTTTCCAGGGCCAGATGAGTCACTGATGATTCAAAGAGCTCCATTCTAGATTATAGAGAAAGTCTAGATTTATACAGGCGCCACCTGCATGTGAAAGTATATCCTGCATACAGTATATCCCACCAGACCTCAGAAGCTAAGCAGGGCAGGGCCTGATTAGTACTGTGATGGGAGACCATAGGGTGACTGCTGCTGTCTTTGTGTCCATACGCAAGACAATTCACTCATATTGCCTTGTAGAGTCTGGTGTCAATGGTTGGGGGTGGTCAGATTGCACATACTTCTGTCAATGTGCCTCAGGGCAGCTATGGCTGCATTAGTGGAGTATCACCACTGTATATGATGCTATATAGAATCGATACATTATTATAACCTTTATTGCTGCACCATTTAAGGTTTGCTTGTTGGTTCTGTTACTGTGTGGTTCGGTGACACCACAGCCAAAGAAAGGAGAGCTCTAAACAAGGTGCTCCGCTCTGCAAAGAGGACTGCGAGCTGTGAGCTTCCTGTTCTGGAAAAGTCATGTTCAACTTCTTCCCTTTGGCAGAAGATATTGTTCGTTGAGATGCAGGACATCACTTTTTTCTTCTTCCACATTGTTATCAGTTTGAACAGAGCACTTAATGATCTTGAACTAATTAAAACTGTTTTGGCTAATCAATTTCACACTGGGGACTTTATCAAATGTATTCCAATGTGGTTTTACTGAAAATGGCAAGTAAAATGAATCTGAATCTAAAGAGTTACCAGAACTCACTGCTCATGCCCAGGGTTTGATTCTACTTCTATTTCTATCTCTTAGAATCAGAAACAGCTTTTTGTTTGTTATTTTTCTTGCCTGAGATGTTACTGCAGTACAGTGTTCATGGTTTTGCACTAGTCCAGACCAGAGCAGAGAGGATTCATGGTCAGAAACAAAAATTCCCTGGAGGAATGCTAACTTTTAGAAAAATGCGTACAAAGCATTCAGCATCTCACTTTGGTTCAGAGAAGATAAAATGGTCCGAACCAAGCGGCGACACCACCTGCAGTGACCTAATGTGATGTTGCATTTTAATACTATTGTTAGTTATTTTTAGATTTATCTATTTATTTGTTTTGTTTGTTTGAATGAATGTGCTGCTACTGGACATCTGAATTTCTCCTACGGGGATCAGTTTTTGTCATTTAAGTTGTTTTAAGAATTTTTATTGAATTTTTGAAAGGCAAATATTAGCATTTTAGCTCAATAGCTTCCAGGTCATGTGACCTATTGACTCCAAATCAGGTCAGGATCATAGTCCTTCACTAGCTGCAGGGGGTACACCTCTTTTTTGTCATTTAAGTATTTTTAAGAATTTGTAATACATTTTTAAAGGCAAATATTAGCATTTTAGCTCAATAGCTTCCAGGTCATGTGACCTATTGACTCCAAATCAGGTCAGGATCATAGTCATCCACTAGATACAGGGGGTACACCTCTTTTTTTATCATTAAAATGTTGTAAGTATTTTTAATGATTTTTTTATATGTAAATATTAGACCAGCGTACATGTCTTCGCGTGTTTACCGTACTGTGTGTAGTAGGGGTGCACTAAAATGTTGGAGCGGCTTTCGAGTCGCTCTGAACCCAGAGAGAAGGAGAGGTGTACCGAGAGGGAATGACCGTTGAATGTCTGTCGGATATCCAACTTCAAACTAACTTCACCGCGGTCACAGGCCGGTACAGTAAGTAAGTAGTAAGTAAGTTTTTATTTATATACCGCCTTTTCACTGCAGATCTGAGTCTCAAAGCGGTTTACAATTGTTAATTTTGGGCATTTGTCTCTCACTCCACACAGAGATGGGAGCGGGGCCAGTACAGGAGGCGCATGCCAGAACTATTGAACATATTTTTAGTGGTAGGGGAAACCGGAGTACCCGGAGGAAACCTACGCAGACACGGGGAGAACATGCAAACTCCACTCAGAAAGGCCCTGGTCCGACCGGGATTCGAACCCAGGACCTTCTTGCTGAGAGGCGAGAGTGCTATCCACTCAGCCACCGTGCCGCCCACAGCTATACAGGTACAGCTATACCAATCTAAATATCCACACACGGGGCGACAGTAGCTCAGTTGGTAGAGCATTGGCCTTAAGGCCAGAAGGTCGTGGGTTCAATTCCCACCTCTGCACCTTCTCCACCGACTCCCATTGATGACTGCTGTCGTTGTGTCCTTGGGCAAGACACTTAACCCCACTTTGCCCAAAGCCCCCACTGAAAGATCAAGGCTATGCTCACACTCAGAGAGCAGCCGTCCTCCTGTGGACTCACCACCTGCAGAGGGTCAGTGAGGGGCTGGTGCTATGAGACTTGGGTGGCATCTCTCATTGCCACCCCCCTGACCCAGAAATGGATTAAAGGGAAGAAGATGGATGGATGGATGGATATTCACACACATAACAATACTGCCCCTCAGGTAAGCCTTAGCGGCATCAGGATGGGTCAAATGCAGAGGATGAATTGAGGATCATTAAAGTGCACCTTTACCTTAATCATATCATTTCCACTGTGATATAACAAAATACACAATCAAAGCTTAACGTTGTGATTATCAATGGTGTGTTAACTTCACTGTAGGGGTCGAGTCTACATGCAGTAATTGCTCAGCTGCATGGAAACAGGGCAGGGGCAGGACAGGTAAAGCAGGTTCACCTGGGATGGTGTCAGATTTCAGTGTTGTCTTTGGATCAGCCCATTCAAATGCTAAAACGCCAACCTAACATCTACTCCAAAAGTTAACAGGAAAGACTTTTCATACTGGCTTTGGTAAGGTTCAAATAATTCTAACCTAATTGTTATAGTTGATTGTACAGGATTTACAGTTGTTAATGTAACCGCTTTGGCTCTGAAGACAGGTGACAGGTGTGGCACTTGAAAGAAGCATTGTTCACGAGGTACTGAATTTCATATTCTAACCTTCCTTCCTTATGCTATCCCTGTAGTGATGGCACCAAAATATGATGGCTTATCTCACTGTAAGCTGGCCCTGGTTTTTGCTGTGCTCACTGATCTCCTTGGAGCAATCTCTCTTTTAACGGGGGTCTTTGCATCACTGGAGATCCAAGGGCAGGATTTTGGGGACTTGTTGGTGTACACTGGAGCTCTGCTGGTGCTGATGTCCCTGGCTGGATGGGTGATCTGGTACAGTGGGAACATAGAAGGTCTCACGTCCCAAAAGGAACTTGGTGGAGCTATGGGTGGTGCTTTGGACCGCCTTGCCCGCTCACTGAGCCGCAGAATACGACTTCCAAGAACACGCAGTAATCTGACGTAAGAAGAACTAGAGCTGATCATTATAAAGAGACACATGTGTCAATTCATGGACAATGTCTATTTCACGACTAACTGCTATTTAAATGTTGGAGTCATTCATGTGTATTGCTTCAACATTTTGGTGAACATCAAATCAAAAGGCTCCTTCTTACAATTATTATTCCTTCTTGTGTAGAACTGCTTAAGCTACTGACTAGTCTAGTACTCTAAAAAACCATGTAAAAAGTTCTTGTTCAATTTTACAAATCCTTTTGCAATGTGTGTAAATATTCTTAGCTCTTGTTCAGTTCTCATGCCTGGAACGTCCCGTGCCCAGCCACTTATCTGCTGTCATTCCGACAAAATCATTTCTGACATAAAGTGATATATTCATTTTTATTTGTCTTTTTTGTATTGCATGAATTGTAGTGACTTACAAAAATAAAAGACAAACATATGTATTTTTTAAAACATTGTTTCCTTAAGTATCTAGGGCTCAAAAGCAATATTAAGATTTTCATTGTAAAAACAAGGTGACGATTATAAAGATATGCAGAATTTGATTCTAAACCTGAGCAGACAAACTACGAATCAAGAGCATTTTACTCAAATATAAATAATTTATTGAAGACTGTATGATGGGAAAATAAATGGATATATAGTTGCACCTGTGAAAAAGCCCCCCAGAATAATATTCATGATTATCTTATTACATTCACTGCAACATTCTTTAAAATCATTATAAGCTTCAAAAACTCCAAATGATTGAATAAGTTACTATTGGGTTAAAGGGACAACATAAAATCAAAATAAACATTGAATACTGACCAGCTCCTTTTCCAAAAAAGCAAGAGAAGAACCATATAGCTTTACCCAGCCACGACAAGTGCATCTTATTATTGAGGTAAACAAATAAAATAATATATATTTTAAGAAACTGTCCCCAGGGATTTTTTTTATTGTTTGATGAAGCTAATTGAGGCACTATCTGAAAAGTTCTTGCATGGACTCATATCCCAAAAGTGCATCAGAGGGCAGGAGTAGGCCCAGAGGGGATCTGCCAGAGGATCAAGTGACTGCGTTCAAACCGCTGGGGTGAGCTCTGGATCACCTCATCAGAGTCCTCGCTTGCATCATCACCTAAAAACACAAGTCAGTACAAATTCGGACCCAACAGCTTTTATGTAATCGATGTTAGAAGACTGACCGATCCTGAAGTTGACGTATCCTTCACCACCGCTAATAACCAACTGAGATGAAGAGACTGCACTGTTGTCAGCTGTGGTCATCAAACAAGCTGTGGATTTAATAAAGAAACGCAAGTGCATGTCAAAAAGTAGAAAAATAATGCAGCTAAGGTCCAAGTCCAAACCATGAGTTTCAAAGTAGTTCAAAAATAGCTGATTAAATGATATGAATGATATAAATGTGTATCTGTAAAAATCAGAAAAACTTCGATAAAAAAGCTAAGGTTAGCGTTACTCAATCTGTATACAGTCGTGCAGGAGATGAACATATTCAGTTAAATTATTACGTTATTCATAAATAAGACAAACATTGTGCACCTATTTTTTTCTCAAATACGGCGAGTTTAGGAGAAAGATTGCATGATTCTGGTTGCTCAATTTGAATGCACATGTTGATAATCAATATTGAGAATAATTGAGATTATCCGGATTTTTGGCACAACCCAGGACAGGTTTTAAAAAAGATTTTTTTCAGCCTTATTTTCACATTTAGAATTTAACTTCCCATAAAACTTCAATGTACATAGAAAATATATGACTTTAAATTATTCACAATAATTAGTCAAAGTAGAAATAATAGAGATGCTTACATGGAGCAGGGATGATAAACCTCACGGCTTGTCTGTGCCCATGGTAACACAACTGTGCGGCTGCAATAGAGCAGTATGGAATAGAAATGGCTTCTGATGCTGGAAAAATAATCACAAGAAATTCACTTCTGCCACTCAAACACACCTATGTATAATGACAGCAAACCTACTAATAGATAACGGTATGGAGATTACAGCGCCACCTCCTGTCCCAACCCAGAGCCGACCACAAATGATGGACAGGGAGGAGATCTGAAGAGGCGATAGTGTGAGGAAGGAGGGGCCTGAGAAGACAATCAGACTTATTAAAATGTTTGTAAAATACAAAGATACACTTAATACTATATTTCTGTGCTTTATTTTGTGTTAATCATCTTCTATTTGTACTTTAAAGCACTAACAAGGAGTCTTAGAAAAACATGGCATTAGTGCAAATAAACTTGAAACTGTACATCTGTACATTAGCAGCAGTATGTTTACATCTGTACATTAGCAGCAGTATGTTTACATCTGTACATTAGCAGCAGTATGTTTACATCTGTACATTAGCAGCGGTTTGTTTACATCTGTACATTAGCAGCAGTATGTTTACATCTGTACATTAGCAGCAGTATGTTTACATCTGTACATTAGCAGCAGTATGTTTACATCTGTACATTAGCAGCAGTATGTTTACATCTGTACATTAGCAGCGGTTTGTTTACATCTGTACATTAGCAGCAGTATGTTTACATCTGTACATTAGCAGCGGTTTGTTTACATCTGTACATTAGCAGCAGTATGTTTACATCTGTACATTAGCAGCGGTTTGTTTACATCTGTACATTAGCAGCAGTATGTTTACATCTGTACATTAGCAGCGGTTTGTTTACATCTGTACATTAGCAGCAGTATGTTTACATCAGTACATTAGCAGCAGTATGTTTACATCTGTACATTAGCAGCAGTATGTTTACATCTGTACATTAGCAGCGGTTTGTTTACATCTGTACATTAGCAGCAGTACGTTTAGTAGTAGTAATCTTTATTTTTAGTAATCTTTATTTATATACCGCCTTTTCACTGCACATTGGAGTCTCAAAGCGGTTTACAATTGTTATTTTTTTATTTGGGAGTGGGGGTGCCAGTACAGGAGGCACATGCCAGACCTATTGGACATATTTTTAGTGGTAGGGGAAACCGGAGCACCCGGAGGAAACCTACGCAGACACGGGGAGAACATGCAAACTCCACTCAGAAAGGCCCTGGTCCAACCGGGATTTGAACCCAGGACCTTCTTGCTGAGAGGCGAGAGTGCTATCCACTCAGCCACCGTGCCGCCCACGGTACATCTGCTAATGTACATCTGTACATTAGCAGCAGTACGTTTACATCTGTACATTAGCAGCAGTATGTTTACATCTGTACATTAGCAGCAGTACGTTTACATCTGTACATTAGCAGCAGTACGTTTACATCTGTACATTAGCAGCAGTATGTTTACATCTGTACATTAGCAGCAGTATGTTTACATCTGTACATTAGCAGCAGTATGTTTACATCTGTACATTAGCAGCAGTATGTTTACATCTGTACATTAGCAGCAGTATGTTTACATCTGTACATTAGCAGCAGTATGTTTACATCTGTACATTAGCAGCAGTATGTTTACATCTGTACATTAGCAGCAGTATGTTTACATCTGTACATTAGCAGCAGTATGTTTACATCTGTACATTAGCAGCAGTATGTTTACATCTGTACATTAGCAGCAGTATGTTTACATCTGTACATTAGCAGCATGAGGCTCTGGGACACAGTGACTCAGTAAAGCTATTTGCATGTTATTTGCATGTTCTCCTCGTATCTACGACTAAACACACGTACAATGGGACTACTGATGATAACTAGCCTTGATCCAATTCCAGTAGCTAATCGTTAATACCTACTTCCCATTCAAATAAATCAAAAAATGAACTATTAAAGAAGGTATCTGCAGTTTAAACTAAAAACACTAACCTAGAGTTTTCAGGACCAAGGCAGAAAAGTCCACTTCTTGCAGCGGTCGCCCGGAGCTCCAGTCGTAAAGCCGGAGGATCGGGTCGAGTCTGCAGGCCGTCCACACACCACTGCCTCCAGCACGAAGGAACCGCACCTGCTGCTCACTGCGCTCAGACACCGAGAAGACGTGCTGCAAAACCAAACAAACAGTACAACAACTACAGGCTTTGAGAAAAGGACTGTGCTTGTGTAAAAACATGCATGTGTACATCATAGAGCTGGGCAAACAACGTCAAATTGATTCATATTTTCAGAAAACCTAGAAATATACCTAAATCTCAGCATTGTCAAGATTTACTTATACTACAATCCACATAGCTAGAAAATAAGCAATCATCATTCAGGCAACTTCAGCTATCAAATCAGTCTTGCCTCTTTGTTTTTAAGCTCTGAACCTGGATCAAGTCAGAGTCCAAACCTAGTCTATTTTTCTAACATCGAGTTGTAAAATATTAGTTGTTTACTTTTACAGTTGTTGTTGATATCAAGTTGATTTTTTATTTTTTAAATACATTTTTAGGTTGCATATTAATGTATACTAATATATGAAAATACTATACTATAAAATGAAAACCAAGATATTGTTGTATTGTATTGATAAACTGTATTAATCATGAATCAAGTATTTATTCTTTTGGGGCAAAACTCCCTCCCCCTCCATCTCAGAAACTCGGACTCCTTCAAAAAACAGCTCAAAACTCACCTTTTCCTCCGAGCATTTGACTCTTAGTTTAAACTTTCTACCCTTCTTCCTCACTCTTAGATTTTTAGTTTGTGTGTCTGTCTAAACGTGTGTGTTTGTGTCATGAATTTGTGAAGCGTCTTTGAGTTCTTGAAAAGCGCTATATAAAACTGATGTATTATTATTATTATTATTATTATTAAAATCACCTCGCACTAATATGCGACTAAATGGGACAAGTTGATAATTATTATCCTCTTTTGGCTTTCTGCATTTAATGTTGAGCGGCTGGGATTGGGAGTGCAGCTGCTCAGTTCTTCACAGAGCTGAAAAGACTCACTATTCCAGTTTTATTGTCAATATTATTACCTCAGTTTTTCTGTTGTCAATGTCAACCACATGGACTTTATTCCAGTATCCCACCCACATGCGACCAGCTTTTGCAAGGCAACATCTGATAGGCTGCAGAGGAGTTGCTCCAAGAGACATCACTGCATGAGATGAAAGGTCCCATCCACCTGAACCAAAAACTCAAACGCATTAAACGAGTGACAGCAGTGGAATTAAGAATCATAATAAAAAAGTTATTACCAAGTGTGGGTGAAAAAAATGCTAAAGAGCCATCAGCTAAACCTGCAATGACTTGATTCTGTGTAAACCTGTAAAGATCAAGAGTCACTGAATGTGACAATACTTTTTAATACACAAACACTGACTTACGTTAGTGAATGTACAGCTTCAGAAAATGAAAGAGATTGTAGACAGTGCCTCCTGCTGGTCGATGCTGAGTGTATCAGGACACTGTGGCAGAAAAAGAAAAACAGACGTGAGGAATGTTTCAGATGCAGTAAATAAAATCTTTCTATGTGGATTTTACCTTCCCTCCTGAGTTCCAATCCAGACAGTTCCTTGATTGTCACCTAAAGACACAGGGAACAGTGCAGTGATTAAAAGACAAAGCTATAGAAGAGTTATTTTCTGGGTTAATCCTACAGTAATACACTAAAAAACGATCATTAAAAAGTTTATAGTTTATGGATTTACCCCTATTTTGCTTCATTAAACATGTTTGTAGATATTTTGTAAGGATTTTCATAAATTGTGGGCCTACATGTTGTGCCTGTAAGGTTTCACAAACATGACCTTCACTTAGTTACAGATTAGATTTGTTGAGAATGACAGTAAGAGCAGATGTGTTTTAGCAAAACAATCAATGGCTTTTAAATAATAAAATAGTTGGAACTCTTATATCCATATTTTTTTTTAGATTGTAACTTAAATATTATTTTTATTGTTTTATTGTGAAATACTATGCAAGCTACTGTGACAACACAAATTCCCTTGTACATCAATAAAGTCTGTCTAAGTCTCAGTCCCCAAAGCAGTAAATAACTTTGACTTTCTTCTCTTCAAATACTAAGGAACATATTTGTGCTGTGAACAAGAGTGGACACACCCCAGTTTAAAATGTACAGTAGATCTGACAGTGTGACGTTAGCAGTGACCTGTAGGGGGCACAGCGCAGATGCAGAGGGCAGGAGACGTGGGAGGGAGTGTGAACTGGTCCAGGACTGTGTTGGGCCGAGCTGGGTCAATCACTGTGATCTCACTGCTGGAGGCTGGACCAGACACGAGCCACACAGAGCACTGACAGAACACACACACACACGATGACGCACAACAGCTAAATTACCACCACAGCCTGAGTTTGTGTGTGTTATTAGAGGTTCACTGCAGGTGATATTTAGTTTGACATAATTACAAACTCACAGAAGCTTCTCCCGAGACTTCAGGTGGAACAGCAACTGCACACTTCAGCTATTCAAAAGGAAAAGATAGAAAATACCCTGAAATTAGCACTGTAATTAAAACACATCTACAGTTGTATGAAATTAGCCTGGCCAACAAACTTATAAATAAAAGTTAAAATATCAGAAAATACCTTTGCAGTAGAATCCCGCTGATCAAGAAGTCTAAGCTTTACTAAAACAGGGAGATCTTTGGGCTCAGGGACAGGCTCTTGTGATTCCTATAGTTTAAGATTGAGAGTCAATAAATATATATATTTGATTCTATGACCAGTGCTTTGTGTGAGTGCATCACCTGAGTGTTTGCCAGAGGAACACTCCAGCCGTGAATCTGGCGTTTTCCCAGTTTTCCCCAAACGTGTGTCCGGATTTCCTTGTATTGCTCCCGCCGTCTAACTCGTGGCAATGACGCTTGCAATGTCGACCTGTCGAAGAAGAAGTTAGTTGGCTCCTAGAGATCCATTTAACCTTTATTGTAAACATAAATACTAGTACAATAACAGCTTACTCTTTCTGGACAGGACTTGTGGTTGTGCGCTTTTGTGGAGAGGGATAGGCGGAGTTTGCTTTAGGATACACAAAGGATGTAGGTGGGATTAAGGGTTCTTTGGAGATGCCAAATAAGCGATTGAACCTAAAAAGAATAATATCAAATAAAGCATATGTAAACGTCTCATTATACACTATTGCAGTCCTAACAAATATTCTGTAGTTATAAAAGGTTGCCACGGCTACAAATGTACATGTATATATCAAACTTCAACCAAAAAGTCAGATAGAACCCTATAACAGTAATTCTGAGTCTAATTGAAAAAGGATTGTCAACATACTTTCTCCAAACGCTTGCACTTTTATCGCTTGTTATTCTCTCCTCTCTCGAAGATCTAAAAATAAATAAAAAAAGTGTTCAAAGTTTTTTGTTACGCATACAATATTACCATGGACGGAGTCATTCATATGTACAATACCTGACAGTTTGACTATGCCTCATGGCTTCCTGCAGCTCAACCAAACGCTGCTTGTACTGGTTTTTCTCCATGACGACTCGGGCCATTTCTGATCGTGAGAAGTGACGCACAGATGTGGACTGGACAGCAACAGCTTTAGTGAGTGAAGAAGTACAGGTGAAACAAGAAATTTACCACAATTCAGACTCACATCTGAATCTGTAGAACGGAAAGTATCCAGGTCAGCTTTAAGTCTGCAAAGATAAAGTAAATGATCATTGTTTATTCATTTTCACGTGTGATATACAATGAAGGCCGGTCAGAATCAGTGTTGATATTTGCTGATAAGTATCGTTATCAGCTTTTGTGGTCTGCTGCAACCTTTTAAGGGTGTGTCTACTTAGTGGTGTGCAACTACTCTGTGAATTGAAAATAAATTGAACGTGAATTTGATGTCATTATGAAATATCCCAAAACTCTAGACTAAAACTATTCAGAAAAGAACCTTTTGATTTCTTCTTCTTTTTCTTTCAGTCGATTGTCTAAACGCGTCACTGTTTCCTGAAGAGAGCCCAGTTCCAGTTGCAGAGAGGAGCGGTCATCGGTCAACTCCGCCACTCGAGAGATCAAAGATTTCCGAGCAGCGTCCACCTGCTCACTGTGACCAAAGCCATGCAGTTGTTAGAGCCATAATATGTCATAGTATTCTCTGATTAAACACAACTCACAAGCTGATTTTTAAATCCTCATATTTCAAAAGAATCTCTTCAAACTGGTCTTTTTCTCCTGCACAAAAAAGGGCCAGAGATTAGCAAACGACAAGTATATATATTTACCAAACTAGTAATTATGTATAAGGAACTCATTTTCAAGCTGCAGTTGGGCCAGTTGTTATCAAAAAAATCCTCACAAAACAGGAAATGAGGTTTGCTTTCACTCGCACCTTTCTTTTCTAACTTCTCATTGTTAGGTAATTACAGTATTAGAATGAAGAGTAGAAGTAAATTGTCCTTTTAGACATTACATTGAATAAATGCAGTGCTTGTGATTTGATAATGTGGATAGTTAAACTATTTCATTTTTTTAATGTTATGTTTGATTTTGTGTCTATCCATTTTTTTGTCTTAGTTTTGTTTAAGCTTGTTTTCCTATTTTAATTTGGGACAACAACAAAAACATGAAAATACATAGATTTTTAAAAAATCTTTAAGAACAACCATTGCAACAATGAACAAAAAAGGGGATATTTAGATTTGCATTATAATAAGCGCAGGTGAGTTGTATCTATGCTTGTGATTTTTTGTACAGTGTATTGATTCGGTGGTCACCTCTGACGCTCGCTCCTTGGTCCACACTCTCCAGATAGTCGCGGCTCAGCTCCGACAGCTCCGAGAAAACAGAGTCTGTGTTGCGCAGCTCAAACTCCAGCTCGTCCTCCTCAGAATCCTCCTCATTGCCTCTCGACGGCTGCTGCTCTTTGGGATCGCTCTCGTCTCTTTGCTCCTGTTCTTTCCTGATCTCATCTTCCAAACTGGCTTCAAATCTGTCGTCTGCTTTTTCTTCTTCTTCACTGATGGAGAGGCAGATCCTGATGAAATACAAAACAGTTAAATCAGCATAACTACAAGAGGCCTGAAGTTTAATTTTATATTTCTATAAACATTATACCATTAGGTTAAAAGTCTTACGTTATGGACCAACAACTTGATCAAGACCTCTCCTATTTTTTAAGACCAGCTGTAAATATGTGTTATTTGTGTTTTCTGTAAAACTGGCATTTGAATTTAGATATACTTTTTCCATCTAATTATTTTGGAGGTTTAGTTATTCTGGCACAATGATAACTCAATATTACCTTTTATTTTATTATATGTTTAAAAAAAAATGTTTCTCAAGCCATACTTCTTCAGCAAAGCAAAGCAAAGCAGGCTAAGGATTTCCCATTGTGGAGGCAATTCACTGTTGTATATGGTAATATGTATAATGACTTTTATTTTATCTAGTAAAAAAGAAAGTCTTTTAATTCCTTATGACACACTATCTTTGCCAAAATGCCAGAATAAAAAATAAAAAAATCTGTAAAAAGTGTTAGCGGGAACAATATGAAGTTAGAACGAGATTTTCTTTCTCCAAATAATACTAAGGCAAATTTCACAAGAAACTAGAGGTTGCCAGTTAAAATTCCTCCCAGAATTTGACAGGGAATAATGATAAGGGGTGCCAACAAACTAATTAGTGTTTAATGAACTAGTGCAGATAGAATATTCCTTTATTGCAGAGTGCGTAATCAAACCCATGTAAACACGACTGCATCACTGCACATGACAATACCCGGACTGGCCGCCTCCATGGAATCGTGCCAGTTCTGGAGTGGAGGTGATGATGTCGTTGATGAACTCCTCTGCATCATGTTTCGCTGTGACGTACATGTGGCTCCGGTCTGATCCGGGCTTCACATCTTCTAACGTGGGTGGACCGGATTGCGAGTGCGGCCGCCGAATAAGCTGCAATAACAGTCACTTCATTAATTTGAGAAAACACACACTCAAAACACCTACTAATAAATGCATGAAACGACAATATGGAAGTGCAATACAGGCAACAGAAGAATAAAAGCAACAAAAGTATTGATGGAGATTAACACATGCATACTTGGTTACCTTATCATTGTGACTTGACTCCTTGAGGGTAGTTTTCTCAGAATTCTTTGGGTGTATGTGATTTCTGCAAAACAAAAAAAGGAAGAAATCTTGGGTTCTAGTATATTCTGATACATATTATATAACATACTGTAATACACAAAACAATCATAACCTTAATGGAGACTCCCGTTCAGACTCTTTCCTCTTGTCCAGCATTTCCCGATATGTGCATGTTAGCTAAAGATGTAGTACCGTAGTTAATACATTTGTAACCTGACTTGTGAATATGATCTATTTTTAAACAGTGTCTGACTTTGGTGTGAGAGTGCCGTAGTGCGCTTAGTTCTCTACAGAGATGTGCCTTTTGTTCCTCCAATGCTACCACTGCAAGACATAAATACAAATGGTAACATTTAGACTACTCATTACACATCATCATACAGAGAGAAGCAATTTTAAGGATGTGAATAGTTTCAAAATTATTTCAAGATTATTTTCAGAAAGTGATTGACTTAATCATAGTTCAACTTTCTGAAAATATTGGTTTTTTCACAATATTCACATTTTTATATCTGTAGACAATGAGAACAATATATCTGTGGGTCATCCTTAATCATTTAGACTGATTTTAGCCATGGTTTATAATCCCCAACAAGGCCTGTTTGTTTCAGGCTGTGATGAATAGACTTGCAACCATGGGTACAAGGACCACAGGGACTATGCATTTACCAAGGGAATCTCAGAATACTTTCAGATTAAAAAGAAAGGCATTGAATATAAATTGCTTTTTGTGTAAAACTAATACATGTAAAAAGCATTTAATATTATTTTTGAAGGATATACTTGGAGATAACATCACCATAACAAGAATTGTTATTAGTCACAAATGATACTCTTCTAGTTACGTCATGTGTAAGAAGAAAACAACAACCTGTATAAATTATAGACTCAGAACATGTTGCGAGTCACAGTACGAGCATCTTCATGGGTACATCCAGGTAAAATGAACAGATCAACTCCTTCGCATTAGTCCCAGTGTTAAGTTTACTCACACTGGTCGGCTTGCTCCCTCGCCTTGTTCTCCATCTGCTTTTCTCTCCTCTCTCGCTCCCTCTCTCTCAGCCTCATGGCTCTGCGCTCCTGTTCCATGTGATCATCCAGCTCCAGATATCTCTAAAGAACAAAATGTGTGCAGTGCTTATTATAATAGATCCATGGCGCAGAGGTCTGCAGCGTAAGGTGTACAAACATTTGATACATTGTTTAATTCTTTAAAAAGATGCACTGGATTTAATAGAAAAGCATTATAGTAATGATGTAAACTTCGAAGTAATTGGTAAACAAGTGATATTCAGGCACCTTTGTAGGCACTAACTATGATTCTTACCTTAACCCACAAGAGTTACTGTATTTCAAAGACATGCAGGAGCACATTATTGCTGCATGGATTACGACAAATTTGAACTTTTTGAATACGAATAAGATAATCAAAAACATATGCTTATTTTCTTTTAGCCATTATTGCCGACCTCTATCTGTACTATAGTACTTCCAGGTCATGAAACATAAGAAAACTTCAACATTGACAAATAAGAATTAAATCTAGCGGCACAGGGTAACTCACAGACACGTTCTAACCTCTTGGCTTTCTTTTCGTAGTGTTTTCTCAGTTTGATATCGCTCAAGAAGATCCTCCTTCTCTGCCTTCTCTCGATTGGCATCCTCCTCTTGGTCGCAGAGCTGAGATTTGCAGTTGGCCAAACTCTCCAAAACCCAAACAAAAATGGGGACCAGGGACTCCACCACACCCTCTCCATGCAGCTCAATGACAGCCTGTAATAAGCAATACATAGAAGATATTGTTGCTGTCCAAGAAGCTGTTAGTATTTGTTTTTGTTTTATAAAATGACAAAAAAAAAGTATTGCATGATATAAGAAATAAAATAAATTCAACAATTGAGGTTTGTCAAGTAAATAAAATTAGGTTAATTTTAAAAACTACTGAAATTGAAAAAGGACCAAATCCTGAATTCAAGTCATTTAACAATTCACAATATAAGATTTTGTTTGGATAATGTTGCATTGGTGTCTTTTTGTCATTGTCACCAGTGTAGAAGTGTATTTCATGTTGTAATAAAATCCTCAAATGTTTTACCTGTAGCTCCGAATACAGCTTTCCGGCCTCTTCACTGACGATGGTGGGGTCCAGCTCCATCTCTCCAGCCGCACACAAAACTCGCTCATTGTATTCCATGGTATTACTATTATATTTATGCTAATATTATTTGTATTTGTATTACCATGTACTTTTCCTGTGTGAAATTGGCTCTCAAACTAAAATAGCATAGTTTCTCTGGAGATTCCACACCTTTAGCTCTCGCACAAGTATGGTCTTGTGCAATGTTTTATGGTCCATTCTGAAAAAGATAAAAGAAGAATATAATAACTTTTAAGCACACACTTCAGGATATATTCTTAAAAGTTACAATATGAATTCAATATATTCTTTCCTAAATCAATATGTTCCACATGCCGATTTGGCTTAAGGAAGTAATAGGCTCATAATTGGTCTTGTGGCTTTTATTATCAGGGGCCAGACATAGAGTAAAGTTGGTTACGAGCAAAGTCATCTTTATATAGCAGTTAAATAGAGGAACATGACCATTTAAAACCACACATTCTACTGATAAATTGAGATAGCATACAAACAAACAAGCACAGCTTTATAACTGGTGAAGCCATGTACGCTATCTTAATATAAAGCAGTTATTTTTGGTTTTGGCTAATCTCCTGTCTACAGTAAGTAGACTTACATAAATATCATATACCAATGTCAGACTGACGCACACAGGTGGTTTTATATAAACTACAGTACAAGCCATTACTTCTCTGTATTGTCCATGAAACTGTGCCAAAAAGGAAAACATCAAGAAATTACAAATAGAGTTACAAACAGAGTCATGGAGCAGAAGAAGGGGGTGTGATCATTCTCTTAAAACGTTTGGAGAAAAGATTGAGCCTGAGCCAGGAATGTCTTAACCTCTTCATTCACTAGATTTCGAAATAATATTATTATTATATAATAATATATTATATAATATAATATATTTTAATATTCACAATGTGTAGGTTAAATCAAGATGGATATTTTGCCAAATGGCTCAGCCCTAACATGACTACTTGTGACCGACACTTAAAGCTTTGTTTGAACACTTGGTGTGTTCATTGGATAACACTCGAACACTTCTCTCTTATCCTATTTGCTGTAAAACCAGGCTAAAATGAAATAATATAGAAAAAAATGCACTTGGTTCATTGGATTCTCACAGCCATGAAAACAACATTGACAAATCTTACACTAAAGACATCTTGAAAATAATTTAAATCCAATTGTATATTTATACTCAACCTTCAACGTAAAGGGGTTTGTTATCTCACAATACATTGGTTTGTCTAAAGCGGAGTATCACCTGCATATACATTATCTTGCATAGCAAATAAAGACTGTTTGTTAATAAAGAAATATGGTTTTATATAAATTTCTGAGCCTGGTTTAATAAAGTTTTATTCCAAAATAAATATTCAATCAGAGCGAAGGTTTACTGAAAGCATTGCATTTAAATATGGCTCTGTTTTTCTCATTTCAACAGATATAATTTGATTTACATTCATAATGACTTTACCACCAGTCGTTAGTACTTTCTTACTAATTCTGAAACCCATTAATTAAAACAAACTAATGGTATTAAAAACAAACATACAAAAAATAAACTTGCTCCTATTCACCTGCAGTGCCTTGCTCTAAAGTTATACTACGCTACTGTAATGAAAAACACCAAATGCGCAGATTAAACGATATTCGTCCACAGTATCTGTAATCGTTAACCAATAACACACAAACGGTGTTAATTATGACAGAAATGCATCAATAGCCCACTTCATAAATTAGTAAAAGTGACTGAAAACTGACTCCTTGCACAAGTCAACTGAGAAGAACTAGCTGTTCAAAACTTCATTATATGATTTTATGGTCGGTTGAACACATAGAAACTTACCTAAAAGATATCCACTAAGTTAATTCGCTGTTTTAAGTTGTTTGTGGATGTTGGCGTTTAGGAGGACATATTTTTTTCCCACATAAACGCGCTGTTGTGAAAGGAGGCGGGATCAAGTCCGGTAGTTCTAGTTGTAACGAACGTGCGTAAGGGCCAATCAAAGCGCTGAGGCTGATACTCACAGCCAATCAACACAGTGAGTAGGCGGGACATGGGCAGTTTGTTTTCGGAAGTGGAAAACGGACTTCGCTGAAACTTGAACGGCGACACGTGATGAGCAGACGGTCAGGTGATGTGTCAGATACCTGCTGAAATGCCGCACATACCTTTGGATAAAGAGCCCAGTCCGACTAGTTTATGGATAGATTTGCTTTGGATACGTTTTTATGACAATTATGTCCTAATAAATCCACTTGACTAAGAAACAACAGGTGTTTTAGGTTATTGACAGACATAAATACAATGTAGCCGCTAGCTGGAAAAAATACGTTATAAAATCAGTCTGTAACTATACATTTGTTTCACACCACTGAAACTTATGTTTGCATTACTGACCACATATATTATGCGTGAATTGTCAGTCAAACAAGTCGATAACTATTATAACTTGACTTGTGGTCATTATCCACATATTTATCTCATTACACGCACACAAATACTGTTTTTATTGTTATTGTTTTTTTTACATAAAAGTACAGTCAACTCTATTCTCCATCCATATTGTACACCCATACACATCAATATAATGAGTTCATGATTGTCCAACGTTGACATAAACAGGCGCAAAAGACATGTTTGTAATTACACTTCTGACCAACAGAGGGCGACATCATGTGAAGAGATCCATGATGAATGAACAATTTATCATAGCTCCACTACCACCATAATCATGACTGCCACACATGGATCTATTATAATAACACACAGGTTATGCATCCATCTTCGTTCATATGTTTTTAACGTGTACACAAGTAGAAGTATGTATTATGTAGTTTAACATTTTATATAACAACCAATAGGTGAAAGTCAAAGCCAGAAATCCAATTAGAACCAACTAGTCAGCCAATTCCTAAAACTGTACACAACGACATTATGGTATTATTAGTCAAAGACTGAGATGGCTACCTATATTTAAAAAAAAAAAAACATTATTTAATGTGTAGAAGCCAGATTCAAATTAACCTTGACTTTGTCCTAACTGATGGGAAAAACTACCAAAAGCTTATTACAAAGTTTAAATTTTATCAATTTTTACTCCATAGTTTTGTACACTATCACATGATTCCACAGCATCGTATTATTGTGATAAAAACACCACAATATGAGTTATATAGGGGAGTTGTACATCTCAGAAAGCTTGAATAATATAATGTCCTTCTGTTGCTCATTAGATCAAATAAAAGAAGTGAATAGATAAGATAAGAGGAGAGAAGTGATCCTTTATTCGTCCCACAGTGAGGAAATTTCAATGTTGCAGCGCACATACAGGACATAGTAAGAGCAAACATGGAGCACACAAAATACACAATATCTGTTATGTTTCATAGCTAGCTGTAAATGCTTCAATATCATCATATTGATATATTTATATCTGTACACATAGTGTAAAGTTACATACATATAGGGCAGGATAATTGTAGATAAAGTGACATTCAGCGGACATTCTGAAATTGCAGTTTAGCACATTGCACATGATTGCAGTATTAACTTATTTACAGATGAATGACATGTACAGGCTCAGCAGTCCTCATTGTACAGTCTGACAGCAGCAGGAAGGAAAGACTTTCAAAACCTCTCCTTTGTTCTATGTAATAATATATGGCACACATGACTAGTTTTGAAATTATTTATGGACCAATATTATGAGCAACAATAGTCTGAAGGGATGTAATAATAATAATAATAATATCGGTTTTATATATAGCTTTTTGAAGGAACTCAAAGAGGCTTTACGAAGGGAGTAGAACAATAAAGTGAAACTTGGAATTGGAGACTTTCTTGCATAAATAATAATTGTTTTCATATTATGTGAAAAAAATAAAACCACAACATACAGCCGTTACATAGATATCATTTTATCATACTTTTACATACATTTTCATACTTGTCTGAAATGCTATGTGTATGGTGAATAGATAGCTATGGCCTACGCAGGTGGACAAACGCATGACAACATATCTGGCCCTCACAGTCACAAGGACTCCATTGTGTATCCATGTTATGACTCTGATATGTTCTGATTGTCTCTGGATGCGACACGTATGTATTTCTATGCGTGACGTATCTGTGACGTAACAATGACTATTAAAACCATGTCCTGACTTTGTTCTGTCTGAAAAAACTGAAACAACTTAAACCTGAAGGAAACTGAATAAACTTCCAGGAGCTCCGGTGTGCCACGATCCCGTCTCAGTGTGGTTAATCTACGACATGTGCTCAGAGCTGATTAGCTGAGCTGTCTTAGAAAGCTGATCTAATTGGCCAAATAATACATGCATGATTTAAAAGTTAGGTACCCCAGCTTTAAGAAAGACCAACCTTGCAAATATTAATATTGTGGCCTTAGTTTTTACTTCACGGTATAGCGGTTATTGTCCCATACCTATTCTGAGCAAAACACAAAACATTTCAAACTGTAACCTTCTTTTTAACATCGCCACTCTCTTCCACCAGCACTTCTTTCCCTTCTCCTCTTTGTTGACACGTCATTTGTTTCCTGTGTTTTCTCAGGAGATAAAATACCACCACAATTCCCACTGTGATTGAGCTGAGAGCCAAGATCACCAGTCCCAGAGCCAGCGGGTGAGAGATTCCATTCCTGGAGTGGTTTGTCTGGTCCCACACCCCAACGCTGATACAACTCAGGCTAACCAGGGCGCCCCAAAATCCAAACGCCAACAAGCAGGAGTTGCATGAGAGCTCCACGCCGCCGGTCACAACGGTAACTCCTGCCACAGACACCACAGCTGCAGGTAGAGTCACTGTCTCAGCTCTGGGGTCATAAGTAACGGCCGAAGAGGAGGGATCGGCCTCTAAAAAGGCAGGGTTCAGGATTTCCATCGCCGCAGTTGTGGTGTTACGATGTCAAAAGGCAGCGGCGCTTTTGTTCTAGGAGAAATTACATGAAATATTTGAAAACAAAAGTAGATGACAATGGTAACACATTTTGATCACAATTAGATAGGAAGTGTATTTTGATTCAGAGATACAATTTGTTTGTCCCCAACAGAACAAATGTTTTTTAATTACATTTCTGTAAACAAATCAGAACAAAATAGGCAATCTTTATCTTATTATGAAACATGTTCTATTTTGCACACTGCGAGCTGGTTGGTGTGAGGGTTGCTACTCTCTTTTTCACTGAAAAATGTTAATCTATATTGACAGAATACATGCATTTGAAAACTGTTGAAAGCTGGAAAACATGGATTTATTTCATTGTTTTTGTACACCTATGTAAACACATATGTTACACACATTGACCTATTTGTCTCAAATCTTTATACATTACAGAGAAATTATGACAATTTCTCTAGTTACTTGTTCTGGTTTAAGCCATATATACTCACATTATGTGGCTAGTGACTCAGGGACAGAAACGTTTATTAATGCTGAATCTCTGAACTCTTTAGACAGGGATATGTTAAATCTGTGGTATAAACATTTTTATTTACAATATGTATGGATATAAAAATAGAAATAATAAAGACACAAAAGCAGAATTTTGGTCCTAAATCAGCCCATTTTACATCTTTCTTGGACCTGACTTCCTCTGTCTTCATCAATTTGTGGAATGTCGCACCCATGTTGTGTGTTTGTGCACGTGTATTGAGATATGCAAAATATTATTATCAATATATATTAAGGCAAAACCAATCAGTTCAATTTAGAGTTCTATACTGTTTTATACATTATATAATTTACTGTGTTATTTGAATTTACTGTGTTAAATATGCCTTGTCTCAACACATTTTACATTCGTTGATTTTTTTTACCCTTCAGTTTGACCCGACAATAACATTTACATTTAAAAGACCCTCACTGTAAAAGACAAATAAAGTATAATTAAAAAAATGTGTTTTACCGTGGCGTGAGGAGCTCAGTAAAGTCATGCACGTCCCACAGAGCAGGAGGCCTCTGCACTGCTGTGTTGTCAGAGAAATACTGTGGAGTTTGGGGACAAAAGAAGCAGATATGGAGCTCACAAACTGCTGCCATCAGATATGACAGAGTTTAGGCCTGACGATTCTCAAGATTGCGAGCAGTTTGTTTGTCCCGCTCCTTCCTCATGTTAAGAAGGATGCTCATATCTGTCATTAACCACCATTACCAGCCATTACCAGGTATTTATTTAGGAACTACTCCCATCCTGTTTGGCTCTCTCTTTTCAATGTACAACAGCACCGTCACAGTTTAGACTTTGTTTTGCTTAAGATTCTTAAAATTCTTTCCCAAGTAGCTTTGAAAATGAGGTAATCGGGTAAATGTTTTGTTTTGACGTATACCTCAAAAATGTCCATCGCAATCGCATAGAAACACAGATTTCTACTATCTGAAATGAATTAAATTAAATCATTACATGAGCAAGTTAACAGGTTTGTCCTCTTCTCTTATTTAATACGTAATAATAATATTTAATACATATTGAGTCGGAAAAATGATCCGACTGATACTATTTTGAGACCAGTTCTGAAATGCGTATTACTTTAACATTTTGCATTTTAATCTCCTCTCATTTTTCTGAACCTGTTTATATTATTGAACATTTCTGTGAATATGCCATAATTAAGATTATTTTTCATGCGTCGTCTGCTGTTTAAACATTACTACAACATAACAATATGACATCACGGTATTAACACCATTCACATACAGGTCAAGAACACAGCAAACGAATAACTCAATAATTCAATATCGGTTCCACAGATTCGTTAAAGTTTTATATAAACAGATTCAATTTTTAACTCTAATTGCTATTCAGTCACCTTGAACGACCATCAATGACTTTATTTATCGTTGAGTGGAACAGTTCAATCGGTGCTTGTCTACTTTGGTTTAGCTTAGGTCTGACATCCAGCCAAATGAGTCTTTGCCAACAAGTGAATAGATAAATGCCTGTTAGGTTTAGATTTGTTGACTAAACAACACGGGAAAAGATCTAATTGCCATTTTCCGGAACGTGTGCGTAAAAGTCTAATCACAGGGTTTGGACATCACAATAACAAGCCACAAAGGAGACAATGCAGTTTGCTGTTTGATGAGTTTATATGTGCTTTCTGTGATATTGGCCTTATCGATAAATCACAATCAATGACACAATCACTGATCAATTACTGGAAAAGTTTTCAAATATTAGTTAGTAATCGATCTATTGGGTTTTGTACCATACCTGACCAAAACATGCTAACATGAGGTTATGAGCTATAAACCTTATTCCATGAATTTAAACAACTAATCAATTAATCGCACAGTTTATTCATTATCAAAATAATTGTTAATTGCAATCCCAGTACTGTCATTATGATAAAATCTTGCTTCCAATTTTCCCATGATACCTAATTGTACAAAGTGTAGGCATAGCAGGTTTATTCATGTAGCGCAATTCTCACGCAGAGCAACCTAAAGGACACTCTACGTGGCCTGAAAACCTGTGCAGGGAATAGGTCACCCGTGTTGTATAGGATTGTGCCGTTGAAGGGTAATTCTATTGGGCGTGGGTGTCACAGGTGGATAATTGGATGCTGAAGTGGGTGGGAGCGGCCGCAGGAAGACTAATCCGATGAACGGCGGCAGGAGCTTGTTTGTGGAGCTATATAGAAATACAGATGATGAAAACATAATCCTCAAACATGTGTATGGGAAGCAACTGTACTTTCACATGCAGCTGTTGTAATTCACAAAGGACACCACGCTAACTTGTGCTGATTTGGCATGGTGGCCCAGTAGAGTTTGCATGTTCTCCCCATGACTGCACAGGTTTTCTCTGGGTGCTCTGGTTTCTTCTAAAAACATGTACAATCATTCAGGGTGAATCAAAAAATGTGTGCCTGTTAAAGGTGTATGGAAATGTTTAGCGGTAACTAAACCTATTGTTTATCCTTTAAACAAAAATGATGTTATTCACTTGAATGTTGTATATCACGACTAAAAGAAGGAAAGACAATTAACGTCTGTGAGTGGCAATATTTTTGTTGTTGTCTATTTTTATTACTTATGGAGATGTTAGCTATGAAGTGAAACATATGACGTTTGCTGAGGCCTTGAAGGAGGAAACCTACGCAGACACAGGAAGAACATGCAAACTCCACACTAAAATGCCTGGAGGTGGAATCAAACCCAGTCCCTTCTTGCAGTGAAGTACAAGCACCAACCGCCGCCTAAGTCCTTTTATTTTTGTAGTTTTATACTGTTTTTTGACACCCAATGCCCTCAGAACGGTCTTGTAGGATACTGTATGTATATTCATTATGCATTTGAGCACAAATGAATTCTTTTCATTTTCATTTCATTATCTTCTTTGTACCCATTCCAAAATAAACCACAAGTGGAGTTGCCCAACTTTTTGATGTCTGAGGACGTAAAAGGTGCATGTGCATTTGTAGCTCTCAGTGGGTGGGTCAGAGGCTTTAGCAGGTGGTAGTCTAATATTAGAAGTGGCTGGTTGCTAAACCTAAAGAGGCCACTGCTGCAAAACACACTAATGGGGTCAAACTTCGAAAAAAAAATGTTAACATGTGTAATGATGATGAATTTAGAATCCAGTCTGATAACAATCTTTAAATAATATATATATATATATATATTTGAATGAATGCCAACATATTGTTTTAAATACGTTGAAAATTGCAATATTTTACATCATTGTCATTGACTAATTATGGTATTTTCATTTACTGCCCTATACTGTATACTATGATACATTTTACATACAGGTGTCTGATGGAAAAAAATGCCCAGGTGCATATTTCAGTCAAAGCTCAGTCACCTTTTAAATCCCGCATTAACAGAATTAACCTCATGGTTGATGGTAGGTCGGTCGGCTTATTCGTCCTATCTTGTTGAGGCAGACGCTTGATGAACAGCCATTTTCAGCCCAGACATCGCACAGGTAAGTTACTACTACAGCTATCATTATTTATATTTCTTTTAAACACGGAAAGCTAATATATGTATGTAAAACCGAAATTTACTTCTTTGCGTGCAGGAGGAGAACAAGAGAGTGGGAAACAGGAACTTTTGGCTAAGAAAGGCAGAATTTGAAGAAGAAAAACTCTAAGGGGAAACGCTTGAGTTTGGCTCTAATTGACACAAACAGCATTAAGAAAAACAAATAAATAACAACAATGGGAAATACCGCAAGTAGCGCTATGTCAAAGGAGATCCTGGAGGACTTGAAGCTCAACACCAAATTCACTGAAACCGAAATCAGTCAGTGGTACGAAAACTTCCAGAAGCAGTGTCCGTCCGGCCGCATCACACCAGAAGAGTTCGAACAAATCTACATGCGCTTTTTCCCAGAGAGCGACGCAAAAACCTACGCCAGGCATGTGTTCCGCTCTTTTGACACCAACGACGACGGCACTTTGGACTTCAAAGAGTACATTATTGCTTTGCATATGACCTCCACTGGGAAGACCACTCGCAAACTGGAGTGGGCCTTCTCCCTCTTTGATGTGGACAAAAACGGATACATCACCAAGACTGAAGTCACTGAGATCTGCCAGGTAAGAATATGGCAATTATTTATTTAAAAGTGATTTAAAAGCCCATTGTATCAGTTTTTTAAAGAAAATATGTGACTGTTGTGATGTTTTTTGATTTCTGAAGTTTGTAGAATGTTCTGTTCTGTTTAGTTAATGAGTCCTTGTTCTAATCGAGAGTCAAATTACTCCAACAGTTGCAGCCACACACTAATAATCTTTATGAGAGCAGGTTTAGCCTCAGATCAACATGCACTCTTCTCTTATGCCAGGCTACTCTGGTACAGCCGGCTAATAAAGTGTACTTAATGTCTCGGCCTAATCCTAACCCTAATTCGTGAAAGTAATTAAATCAGTTTCCGACTACTGTTTTTGTCTTTTTCTTGTTCCAAACTTTAATTTATTCTGTTTAAGGCAAATGATATAGAATTGTAAGAGGTTTAGACAGATCAGCGGAGGAATCCAGCTGGCATTTTAATAGGATTCGACCCGAAGCCAACTGGCCCTTGTCCATATGCGCTGTGTTTACAACAACGCCACAAAATAGCTGTATTTTGAGAAAAACTAGTTTAAAAGTTGACATTTTCCAAGCAAGTCGCAGAATAGAACCCAAATCAACAAATATCTACAAGAAAGACATAGATAGTTATAGGAGGCACATTTGAAGAATAGTAGACAAGACGTCAATTTTAGTTTATCCCATTATTTTGGATGTGTGTTTGCGTTCTCACTGACATACACAACAGCAAAGCCGAGACAAGACTGGAACTAAACTGAGACTAAACCAGAACTAGACCAGGACTAGTAAAAGACCAAAGCAGGTCTTCAAAACAACAAAAGAAGTCAAATGTGAATGCAACTACATGTTTCTATTATATCTTCATTTAATTCCTATCTGCAAACACAGCCTCCACACACATAATATAATTTATGATGTAAATATCTCTGTATTTTTTAACCCACAGTTTACTTCACAGCTCCTCCTGTGAGCCCATCAGGGCCAAAGCAGAGGCTACGATCCCACTGTTTGGCTGCGAGCCTGAGTCCTGGCTGTAATCCACGTTAATCTAGGTGTCTTAAATGTGGCTCTAAATGGGACACACTTTAACCTGAAAGGCACAGTCATTTACAGTTGACGTCATTTGCATTTTTCCCCGTGGGAAGTTAGGCCACACACATTGTTTTTATGAGTGAATAACACATCTTGCTTTTGGTTTGCTTTTGTATGCTTTTTTAAAAATCACTCTTGTGTGTTCACATTCGCACAAACCACATATAACTATTGAGATTCAACCCATAGTTTTATTTATATAGCACATTTTATAAAAAAAAAACTTTCCCTAGTGCCCTGCTGAACATGAATCCGAAACTTAAAAATTTTAAAAAGATGTACGATAGATCAGGAAACGTAGGGAAGCCAGGTTGCTGTATAAGAACTGTCTCAACCTTTGCATCTAGACGTTTAATATGAAATGTATGTGTCCCTTTCATATAAATAAATAGGTTACAACAAACCAATTAGTCAGTACAAATTACTGATTTAAGCCCACCAGTTCAATAAGACCAGTCAAATCAAATATGAAGGATGAAGATTAAATAAATAAAACTCATGTGGCGTTAAATGCCAAAGACTGAAGCAGAGACAGGCCGCGCCCGCACCAGGATCAAAGCCGGACGATCCGATAATACAGGCTAATATTTTAGATCACTTCAGATGTTTAAGCCCAGCTTGGTTTATGCAAATAATGTTGTATGTTGCAGTACATTGACTGGTTGTGTTGTACCCAATCCCCTCACAGGCCATCTTTAAGCTGATCCCAAAGGAGGAGCAGTGTAAGCTACCAGACGACGAGAACACACCAGAGAAGAGGGCCAACAAGCTCTGGTCATACTTTGAAAAGAAAGACAATGGTAAGAAGGTCAACACTATCATCATCTCACAGATCGCTACAAGAACATAACTTATGCAAACAATAGAAGGAACCGCTTTAGTCCTTGGGTCAGATATGACATATTATGAATGTAGAGATATTAAAATGTAGCATTCCAAATGTGTGCAATTATGGTGGCATTGTGAAAGTTGAAAAGGCAGGTTTTGGAAAAAATTTAAATCTATTATTAATCTGGAACAACATACGTGGATTTCAATTTTGGAGATGTTTTATTTGGAGATTTCTATAGGCCTCTGACCCCCATCTGACCTTATGCTATCATCAAATTCTGCTCTTAATGCTTTCCCTGGGATTTTGTTGGAAACTATGTGTTGGTAAACTAATGGATACTAAAGATAGTAAAGCATTCATTAAAACGATTTCTTGGAATTAGCTTTATGAAATTGTTCCATAGCTGATTTATTTTTTAATATTTATTTTTTACCAATGCATTTCTATGGACATTTTGAAAATCTGATCTTCATTTATGTTATACATGGACATACCCTGCAAAAAAACTATTTCAGTTACAGTTGTGTAGTTAACTAGAAACATTAACTGCTGTGGTAAGAATCTGCACCTCAACGCCCTTGGCAGATTCATTCTCAAAATGGAGCCTATAAGAGCTGTAAACGTAAATCTATGAGTATTTGAATGCATAAATAATACATTTAAATTACAACACACTTTAACTTCAATGTAATCTCATAGTGCTATAAGTATAAACGTTTTAGGTTTGTTTTTTAGTTTTTCTTCAATCTAGTTTGATAATAAATAAGTTATGACACAATTTGTTTTGGTGAGCCCACCAGAAAATAATGCTTTGGTTGAATGTTATAGGGTGTGACATTCCACTTTTCTATCTGCCCTGATGAAGTATTATACAGTATTATACAGTAGAAGGTCTGTCTGTGGTGATCCTTCTTATGTTCCTTACCATGAAACATTTTCAGATGTGCGTGTACTGTATGCCCTGTGCCCACTGTATATCGCATGTCTTGCTGTCTTTATTTCCTTCTTTCTGACATTACATGACAATAATTTAAATGTAAGCCGCGGACGGTACCTCTCGGCAGCATCTGTTCCTCAATCCTGTAGATTAAATGTCAGTATCAGATGTGAGGCTTAGCAACATTACAACAAATCCACCTGCTCTTATGTCATGAAAGATTTATAATGATTTACAATGTTCTGTACAATGTAGACCTTAGCTGACTCTGAATGTGCCGTGCATTGGCAGATAAGACAGGATATCTGAGCTGTTAAGTCCTCCCCATCCTCATTTCGGTCTATAGGGTCTTAATTAAAAATATTCCTACTGTGTGTTTTTTCAGAGCGCCTGGCTGAAGGAGAGTTCATCAAAGGAGTTATTGAAAATGATAATGCAATGCGTCTCATCCACTATGAACCCATAAAAGAATAAATGTATTTCCCATGTTCCCCCAGTCATGTAAATATACCCTACATTTTGACATGTTTTTTCAACAATTGTAATGAGTTTGTCAAACATTTTAACTAGAACCGTAGGTACAAAATGGATAATACAAAAATAAATGTGTGCAGTTGTACTTCATGGCATTTATTGGTCAAATCAAAATACTTTTATTTAATGATTGTAGTTTTATTTTGGCCAAACAATTGCTTAGCTTGCTAGAACTTTTTACTCTAACACTATTGAATTGGTATTGGTATCTTAGTGAATGGAAAATTAATATATTTTGATGTTCTTGATAAGTACAACACTTTTCTTTGTTCTTCAATTTGACCACAAATGTATTTCAAGTGAATAAAGCCTTTGTTTAAACTAATGGTGTGTTGTCTTTTTACACTTGAAAAGTGCCCTTTCCAGAGGGTCCACCACCTGCTCGCCTCCATGCTTGGAACGTTCCACACACATTTATCTATCTGGGTATTATTGTCTTCACTTAATAAATCTTACTACAAGCAAACTTGCCTCTCCACAGAGCTGATCTGTGGTGTCTTGTGCTCGTCTACCTGTGGACAGATATGAACAATGCATAGACTTGATCATGTGTGTCAGTATTATTCCTTCAGTCCACACCACAGTCTGACAGAAGCGAGGTTTCTAATCCATGCATATTCAGTTCAAGTACAGCTGTGGAAGTCGACAGATGTTTTAGTTTGTTTGTTGTTTTGTTGTACTAACCTGCGAAGTTCAGAATAGTCAAGGAAACATACTTGGACAATCATAGCATTCCACAACTGCTTTCTTTGGGAACTTCCATAGACAACAGACAGCAATCCATAACGTCATAATCAGGTCTTGTTGGATTTGATCAACTCTGCACTGGGACTCATAAACAGGTATCTCTCTTACAGGGACCGTATGTAATACTCTTAGTGGTCTAATAAAGTCATTACAATTACAATCAAATGTATGTAACACACTGATTACTGATGCAAACTACCTTCTGGGGTTTAGCTGGAAATACTACACATTTTTTTCATCTGGTTTCATTGAAATAATTGTGTGGTGCTATTTTAAGTATTTGACTCTTATCCAGAAAGTGCATGTTAACATGTTTTGAGTATTCCTTATCTAATAGAAAGCTTTGTCTGAAAATGGCATTAGTTGTTTTCCTAAATCGTTCTGACCTTGTGCTCGCGTTCATTTCTTACAAACTTTGGTTTTCTGACCCCCTCGCTCCCTGGCCCTCGATCGGCTTCCCTTCCGTCTTTATTCATTCTACTTCTTCTTCAGTCCAACTCGGGATTACACATAATCTTCTGTTCGACCTCGGCGTGCAGACTTTTTCAAAATCTCTGTAATCTTGCCATCTCTGTGACTTCACTCCATTTGCACTGTGCGTTATTGTCCGTTTTCCTCTGACATACAAAGTTAAGTTATGAGAAGAATGTATTGTGACATTTGAAATGACACCATAAGGTATTATTATTTTGGAAATCTGAATCATTTTGTGTTGAATATAAAATACACGCAAAAAATAGATTCTAGATTCTAGGTCATGTAGGTTTCTGAAAACTGTTTCCTCATTTATTCACTCAAAGTTGTATTTATATTAATTAATTAATTATATATAATAATTATGATTTTATTGAAAATGATTTGATTAATAAATCAACACATGAAATATTGATGCATTAATCTTAAATCAAGATATGATGTGTTGCGAAGGCTTTTTGGCACACATTGAAAAAAGAAACACTCTTTACATTGAATTGTATCCATAAGTCACATAGTTTTTTGTCATTACATTTAAAGTTAAATGTCTGTAAAGGGATAAGCAGATATCTCTTCTCCCATATTTCAATCTGGAAGAAGCTTTGTTTCTTTTACTCATTGAGACTAAAGCAATTTGGCTATTTGAAATATTCAACATAATAAATATGTATGGGAGTAATACAATATATAATAGACAATTGTACATTATGTCTTCTTTAATATCTATCCACATAAAACAAACAGCACAAAGTATTGTTGGTTTGTTAAAATGGACTGGAGAAATATCTGTTTTAAACATATAATTCGGCAATTAATTCCGTAAAACATTCGACATGGAACCAATGTAAATCCATACCATAAAAGGTCAAGTCCAACATATGTGGATTTCCTGATATATTTATTTATAAAACACTGTAAGTGAATCATGCAAGCTCATTTAGTCCATCTGCTTTGCAACATGTTCAAAAGTCCTCAAATTGGCATCCATAGAAGCAGTCAGACTCATATCTGGAAGATAAAATTTCCACTATACTCCTCCATGAGGCACTGAGAAATACCCAGACAGAGCATGTCCTTAACGTCCAGTTTGTCTGGTGCATTTTTGCTTTTTGTGGGCTTCAAGTTTGTTCTGTTCCACATTCATTTAAAATTGTAAAAGGCCTGCATTAGTCGCAGCAGAGTCCTCACAGCAGTTCATTATCAGATTTCTCAACAGGGAGAGTCAATTCGCTCCCCTGTACCTTCCATCTCGTCCATCTCTCTCTCGCAGTCCTCGCAGCCTTCGGGACCACACCCTCCCACTAACACCAGCGTAGGGACGTCCCCATTCCCGACTCCCATGACATTTCCATTGGGCGCCCAGGCAACGTCCATCATTCCCTCCGGACACTGTAGCAGGCCGCTCACCGAGTAGAGTCCGCCCCCAGGCACCACTTCGTCATAGGCTGGGGCGCGTGCGGCTGAGCGGGCCTCCTCCAAACGCATCCTCTGTCTCCGCCTCATTTCGATGATAGTTTTGGTGTAGGAGTTGAGAGTGACCACAGCTGCACCCATGCAGCAGCTGAAGGACACCCAGGCCATGCTACAAAGAGACAGGACAGAGATAAGGTACAAGAAGATAATGACCCACAGTCCCCGTACTGGGATGTGCAAATATTGAGTTGTAACTGTATCACGGTGTTCATTTTAAAGTGGCTGTATCTTGGAGGTGCTAGGTTAAGATTCAAAAGGGGTTGACAGCGGATCCACAACTTTGTGACATCTGGATCGAGCTTGTGTGGTTTTGCAACAAGGGCCGATTGGAATCAGAGATGGCATTTCAAACCATTCAACCCTATATGTGGAAAACGTTATTAGTCACCTACGCAAAGGACCAGCCATAGTCCCAGGACTGAGGTCTCCAGTCTTTAGGTCCAACAATGACTGTCATCTGGAACACTGTGGTGAACATCATGTGAGCCACCATTCCCAACAGACCTAGATGAGGCAAGTAAAATATTAGGATCATGATGTGAAAATAGAAAAATGTCAAAACTTCCGTTAAAGCTTACCTGATAATACTGTGCATATGGCAGCAAATGCGTTGATTTTGAGTGAGTGCATTTCTTTGTGAGAGCACAGAACTTCCAGCCACATCAATAAAAAGCCCATTCCCAAAAGGCCAATGTAGGTGAACTCAGAGATCACAGACAACCAGAGAACACCTGCCAGTCAAAGGCAATATGAAATAGATAGTCACGGGGTAGATTGTGAATTTTATAAAACTCATCTGCAGACCAGTCTTACCATGCGTATCTCCAGGAGTTAAATCGATGAAGCTGCGACATTTCTCTCCTGCAAACCAAAAAGAATGTATGACTGTTTGTACTTTGATCTAAAGTGATTCTTTAAGGCTATATCCACACGAAGACAAAACACTTATAATTTCAGAAACTTTTTCTGTAAACACGGAGTTAGCTCAGTAAATGTGTGCGTCCATATGAATGTAGCCAATACGCCTGAAAACGCTGTGAAACTATGCCAGACCTGTTGGTGGCGCTGTGACGCAATGACGGGATCAAGCCCAAACTTCCGTGGGCATGCGCGGAATTTTGTAAACAGACAACATGGCGAGTGGGCGAGCTGGTACTACATTAGTATGGACGGACGATGAGGTTGAACTGTTGCTTCGGGTCGCACTGGATTACAAAACCAACAAGCTACATTGTTGTTGTCATTATTTTCTGAGTGCGGCGCATGCGTGCTTTAACAAGAGGCGGGGCGATGACGCAAGCGTCTCAGATACATTGCGGAGAGGCAGTAACCACGGAGCGGCATATACGGAGTTTTGAAATCTTTCCACTCTGGGACCTACTTTCAAAAATGTTCGTTTACACCCCCCCAAAACGCCGGCCTCGTATGGACGATACACTGGATTGATAAAGTATTTTTGCGTTTAGGCCTGAGCTTGACTTCGTGTGGACAGGGCCTAAGGCACTCACCATCGCTGAGTTTCTCGCAGCTCTCCCAGAAGCCTGTGTGGAAATATCGGAAAGCAAACTTGTCCTCTCCGGTCTCCCAGATGTAGCTGACAGCATTGGCCAACTGCCTCTGCCTGATCCTGGCCAGCTCGTCTTTCCGTGCCGGGGACAGGGTCCGGTTATAGGGGTTCTGGGTTGGGCTCTCTATGGGGCACACATAACACCAAAGATACTCTTTAAAGTTTAAAGTATCTCTGCATCCTGTTCGTGGACTTCAGCTCTGCCTTCAACACGATCCTGCCATCCCTGCTCCAGGACAAGCTCTCCCAGCTCAACGTGCCCGATTCCACCTGCAGGTGGATCACTGACTTCCTGACGGACAGGAAGCAGCGAGTGCGTCTGGGGAAGAATGTCTCGGACTCTCGGATTATAAATACAGGAGCCCCACAGGGCTGTGTTCTTTCTCCCCTGCTCTTCTCCCTGTACACCAACCACTGCACCTCCAGCCACAACTCCGTGAAGCTGATCAAGTTCGCGGATGACACCACCCTCATTGGACTCATCTCCAACAACGATGAGTCCGCCTACAGGAGGGAGGTGGACCGGCTGGTGTCCTGGTGCAGTGGTAACAACCTGGAGCTGAACGCCCAGAAGACAGTGGAGATGATTGTGGACTTCAGGAAGAGCACTGTCCCCCCGCCCCCACCCTCCGTGATGGACTCCCCCATCACCTCTGTGGAGTCCTTCCGTTTCCTGGGCACCACCATCACCCAGGACCTCAAGTGCGAGCCGACCATCAGCTCCCTCATCAAGAAGGCCCAGCAGAGGATGTACTTCCTGCGGCAGCTCAGGAAAGCCAAGCTGCCTGCACAGATGTTGGTGCAGTTCTACACGGCCATCATCAGGTCCATCCTCACCTCCTCCATCACCGTGTGGTTCGCTGGAGCCACAGTCAGGGACAAACAGAGACTACAGCGCATTGTGCGCTCTGCAGAGGAAGTGATCGGCCGCAGCCTTCCATCGCTGCAGGACCTGTACGTCGCCCGAGCTCGAGGCCGGGCTGGTCGGATCACAGCCGACCCCTCTCACCCTGCACATGGACTATTCCAACCACTCCCCTCAGGCAGGAGGCTGCGGTCCATCAGGACTAGAACCTCCCGCCACAAGAACAGTTTCTTCCCCTCTGCTGTTGGACTCTTGAACACTTCTTAACCTGTCCCCCCGCCCTTTATAAAGTCACTTTACTGCCCATCATACGTCACTTTACTTCACTGTACTGCTGTCACCTTACATTGTGTGCACCATGTGCACTTGTACATTGTAAATAGTAACTGTAACTCTATTTTAAATTTAAATGTAATCCTTAGAAGTGTTTTTTATTCTTTTTTGTTTGTTTTTATTATCTCTTTCTGACTGTTGCACTGAGCCAAAGCAATTTCCAAGTCTGTGACTTCCTTTTACTTACGTGGCAATAAAAATGATTCTGATTCTGATTCTGATAACTTTCCTGGTGGAGGCTCCGCTTTTTGCAGTAATCCGATACCTGCTTCTTGTGACATGTTATTGATTTGGTTGAAACGTCACTCAGTTTAGTTGAAAACTTGTACATTCATTAAGTATGGAAGATTTTGGTGCTTTAAAAACGGATAGTATTCTACAGTGAGGAAACATAAATTGTACTTTAGCCTAGTGAAGTCACATGATTGTTTCTAATGTAAACCTAAAGTTGAACGACAAACCACATTACATAACTTTAGGAGAGTCAATTGTTTGCTCGGGTCCATGTAATTGTCAGGCCTAGAATGTTCAACAGTATTAAACACATTAAACATTAAACATTAGTGGCATTAAACACAACATTTTCCATCTACATTGGAGACAAGCGTGTGAGTTTACAGGCTAGGATATAGATCATGTTTGCAAAGAGGCAAGGTAAAGGAAAAATGTAGGAAGCAGTAAAAAGACTTTATGTTCACATTTTATACCACACTGAGGTACATTCCAAGCAAATATCAACATTAGCTCTGTTTCGAGCTTACTGCTCACATCTGTACACAGCACACTTGTGGGTCAATTACAAAAAGTCCAGCTTTCAGAAACTTACGGTTGCCTACAATGATGCGCTGAGAATAAAAAAGCCCAGATGGACCAGAGCCAGTGAACTCTTTGTGTCAAATAGAGTAAACACTTTGCAAGCTGTCTTGAGAAATTTGATGTTTAACTTTATATGTCGGCTGAATGATTCAAAAAATGCTGTGATTATTTTATTGTCCAGTGTTGTGTGCAGCGAGGTACGATACAAGTCGCTGCTTTGGAAACATTGGTATGACTGCCTCTGGAAAGTTTAGAGGTTTTTATTGTTGTTTGTTTGTTTTATTTTTCTTTGTCTTGTTGATCTGGACCTCGAGTCTGCTAATAAAGTCATCATCATCATCATCATGGCAAAATGAATCCAATACCTATAATGTTAGATAGTGTTTTTATTCACGCTAAATGAAAAAGAAGACCTATTGTATTGTTATACTGCAATATTCTCCTTATGGGACATATGTTTCTCATCTTATTTACAATAATAAATGTTAGAGCTCTATAGCGACTGTTCTAAAACTCAACAGTATCACATCTCATTCAGGCAAGTTATCCTTTTCACAGGCCAGGTTCACACAAAACGCTTTACAATTGTTGAATTTAACTTGCTAAAATATACAGTAGATCAACTCAATGTTAGAAAGGCAACGGAAATCAGCTGATATGATCTCAAAAAAATGTCATGATAGAGCCTCAGACACAGCCGCTCCTACGTTAACTCAACTCTCACTATAGTTGACACTACATTGTCATTGCAATTAAATAAATAAAAAATACACTTTTCAAGTATATTACAATTTTCACCACTTGGCGCCCTTACCACTGTCTTTGTGAGAAGGTGTTGGATAATTGGACTGGATCTTGGGGAGATTGTTTTGTGAACTTCCGGTTCTCCTGGAACTTTTGTATTGAATAATGTGTATTTCTTGTGGACAATGGTCTTGTGTTGTATCTGTATTTTATATGTTGAATAGTCTCTTTCGTTTAATAAACTGTTGCACACTGCACATCTGCTTTGTAATGCCCAATCAAATAAATGAATACATGATTTTGTAAAAGGTCCTTAAAAATGCGCTTTTTAAATAAACATTACTTACTTACTCACTTACTTACTTACACACACAAAATCTTCAACTGCAACGTGACATCGTCATCACCGTCACTTTCTGAATGAAGCAGAGGCTGCATTTGACCTCCTGGATTAACCCTAAACCTTAATTGTGTTCACCGTTTGGGAAAGGTATGAGCAAAGAGGGATTAAGAGCAGCTAAACTGAGGACATTGGGTTTTTATGAACTAGGAGACAGATCATCCACAAGATTATTACTTCCATAGCCTGTTATGTGGCATTATAAAACAAGGCCAAAATCCAGCACCTTTGGGTGTTTCTTTGCTTTATTCATTTCAACCTGTGGGTTAGAAACAAGTCCTCTTTTGTTACTACTTTTGTAACTACTACTTTATCAGCAACGTTATTATTTCCTGTGTTTCAAGAAAATGCTTGACTTACAGCTGGGGGGGTTGCTGCTCACTACTTAGCACGTGCATTATCTATTGGCCCCCTTTCCCAGTCATTGAGTTTTCTGCCAAATACTCACTGGAGTCTCTCATCTAAGTATACCGAAAAAAGTATGAATTGTCAATTTGCAAAACATATGACATTTTAGTGCTATACTCTTGACAATGAGCAGCATTCTTGGGAAAATTCATTCAAACCAAACATGTTGAAGATTGTAGCTATAGGAAAACAACTGTTTCCAAAAATGTTATTTCTGATGAGAAAAACATGTGGGTATTTTAGCATAAAACTGCTTAATTTAAAGGAATGAGAAAAAAAACCTAACACATACAAAGTGGGAAAAATCAATAGGTAAATCTGTACTGCACACATGGACTATACAAGGGCTGATCACTAGGAGTAAAAGTGTGAGCTGTAGTGTAGGAGAGCTTACCTGTAGTGTAAGGCTCACTGTTGTTCTGCCCACAGTTCTTCATCTTGACGGGCGACAGGCACAGCGGCTTCACCACCTTGTGCGTCCCCTCGCACCAGTAGGACGTGCACAGGGCCAGGATGGACAGAGCCAGAGCCAGGGAGGTCAGGGTCAGCGAGAGCAAGGAGCGCTGGCGGCGGGACAGACGCTCCAGCATGGCGACACAAGCGGTGAGAGGAGCCACCAATATGTGCGCCGTGTGTGTGTTATAGGTGTGTGTGTGCAGTTGTGCGCTTCATAAACACACTTGGAATTGTGTAGATTATGGTGATTTTGATAATACTACAGGAGAAGTACAGCCCAAAATCAAAGCAAGGGTTGTCTCAAAGAAAACATTTGCTGAGTACCAACAGAAAATGTAAAAAAACTAACTATGAAAACGGTCATTGGTCCAAAAGTATGAAAAATAAAACCCCATTGTTCACAGGATTTAAGCAGATAAATATTCCTGAGCATCCTGTGCCCTAAGACCGGTCAAGGTTTAAGTCTAAATTAGTTTTAAAGTCAAATGCAAGTGCAAAAATGCTAAGTGAAAACGCATATTCTCTTCATTAAACAATATCAAAATACAGCAGTTGTCACCTGTAGACCAATGAACCAAAATGTCCAATTGAGAATACCTTTACTTCAAAAATAACACTATATTAAAGTACTTTCTGAGAAGTTACTCATAAAAATCTAACTGAATAAATACCAATTGCTAATAAAGCTTTTTCTCAAGTTAAAAGTAGTCTCACCAAAATGTAACTGAGTAAATATAACTCCAAAAGTAGTGGTATTGTATAAAAATATGCATATTCCAAATAATCATAAAAGCAGTCTCGTAAGTAAAATATCTCACTCCGTACCAGAACTTCTATACTATAAAATATAAGTTACTGAATGCATCTTATGGCTACCCACCTCTGAAAAATCAGCACAGGTAGAGACACGGCAGCGGATGAAGCCAAAAGTACGGGACAGATGCTTGTGAAGGGTTTAAGACCACATGAGCTGCCAGGTTTAAATGAAACATGGGCAGATATGTGATGTAACAGCAGATGAAAACCCGTGGACAAAACGATACTGTCAAGAAGGAGTAATTAAAACAAGGGAGGAGGATAAAGAGATGGGGACGAGGCAACCCAGACAGATGGAACAAAAAGTGAACAAGGGGGCGTTTAGGTTCACCATGAGTTGGGCAGGGGGCAGCTTCTCACTGGACTTTAAACGGCTGCAATTAATCTAACGCATTAAGAGGGGCAGCAGAAGTTACATTATACTGAATGGTAGAATACGCATTACAACATTGTGTATTTTTAATCAAGCTTTGATATCAAGATGATTTTTAAAAGATGAAGCCATTGAAATAAGACTAGGTTTTAGTTCATCCTCATCTATCGTCTATCTTTCAAATTCATTGCATTCATATATTTTCTGTTTTGTATGGCCTTTTGCATGGCACTGGTTCTCAATATGTTAAATCAGAAAGAAGATTACAGTACAATAATGACTGACCCATGAGAAATTTCTGCGAAAATGAATGCTTTTACAACTTCAGTTAAGATCTATATGTCCCTACTCTATCTGCATGTGGCTGCTACTATTTTTCAAGGGTTGCCGTAAATCTCGCAAACATTTAAGCCTGACCATGCTGCTCATTGTGAACTGGACGGGCAGGCGGTGAATAAACAGGAGTAAATTACTTTTCGATGAAATTACATCCAGAACACACATCTGAATGAAAATCTTCTCTGGTAATCCGTGCAACTCTGCTATAATCTATTTATGTTAGGTGTGTTTTGAGAGAAGCTTCTGTCCACGCTCTCCCAGTGACCCCAGCCTCTGCAACAAAGACACACAAAATATGCTATTTAAGTAAAATAAGACAGGACTTGTAGTTTCTAGGAGACATATTTTGAAAACATAATTAATATATGAGAAATTACTGAATTATTATAGAACTCCTTTTACCTTCTTTTTGGTCCTTATATTTCTAAACCTGTTTAGAGCTATAGTTTGATTAATGTATTAAGTTGTTTTGATGTTTGTTAAAAACATAATCAGATAAATAATTGCAGCCACTAAATCTTGAAGCCCTGCCGTCAGGCCCATTTAAAATGCTCACAGTAGTTTCAATATATTGCTAATATTTTGTCTGTTAATGGTAAGACTGGACTATTGAGTTTATAGTAAATATAATATGCTGGAAAAGAGCGAATACAAAAGAATACAAAATCTATATATATAAATAGTATATTTTCTTATATGACATCATGTTGTAAGCCTCTATGATCTAGAATAGGAATGGGAGGATGGATTTCCTTTACATATGATGCATTTATCAACTATTGTCTTTTTTTCTTTTTCTAATTACAGTACATCAGATATTAAACCATTGAAAATTATACAAAAAAATCTTTTCAAAAGTCACAAATTCTTACAAAGGGGAGTCAGGGCCCCCAAAATTGACTTGAATCAATCTGCAACCCATGTTGTTTACCTGCATTACTGTACGCAGTGTCAAAGAGCACAGAGAGAATCTTTTAGAACCGTAGTATTTCATCGTTGTGTCTCCCACTCCCACTGGGGGTCCCACCTCTCACTTTGAGAACATGCAGCGGTTTCCATTCACAAATATTAGCACAGGTTGCAGATTGCAGTTTTAGTCATTTCATTTTTGTCATCATGTGTTGGACATATAGATGTGTATTTACCGGTTGTTCTCTCCTTTAGCTTTACTAACATAATGTGAGCTGGTTCAGCAGGATCTAGCTTTAAGATTTTATAGAAATAACATTCCATCAATGGAGGGAGCTGAGTATATTCATTTACAAAAAGAGAGCAGTAGCCGGTGTAACTGGTTTAAATTTAAGCCAGACATTCTGACCCAACAAAATAAATAATAAATTGGATATAAAACTATCCAACTGGGCTCGAGAAAATGTGTTTGTTTTTTTGTAAGGACAAAACTATTTCCAGTTTTTATCTGATTTATTTGTTAAAAAGATATTTTAGATTTCATATCGAAATGACAGTTTCCAACAACTACTACTAAATGAAGGAATAATAAAATGGAATGTAGAAGCAGTTATTGAAACAGTTGACCAGACAGCAATAAGTCAATTTGCACTTACCATTGTTTAGACTCAGTCAAAAATATTCAAGAAGATGAGGAAATAGAAAGCAGCGAGGCCGCAGGACACAACATTTCTATTTGACAACTCTTTGTAGAAGAAAAGCCACAAAAATCCCTGTAATATGTTTCTCTCCTCGTGTGCACCGGTCTTCTCTCCGGGGCTGATTGAGCATCAATGACCCCTGTCTCCAGAGGCGCTCTAATCCTGCAGCTCAACGCTCGCGAGAGGACGCAACCTCAAACTACCAACCACTACTCTCCCTTTCTTAGGAATTCATGTCACTATCCCTCCCATAATCTCTGAATCCATCTGCTGTTATTGTGCCTGCGTCTTATAGACCCGGTCCCTTATCATCTCTCATACTGCATTTGGAATCAGTCCATTTGGAATGTTTAGTCATTTACCCCTGAAAGGCAATTAAAACACATGGGGATTAGTAGTCAACATTTAGTTGTTTAGTTGATTAATTGATGGTTCTCTGACCAAACGTTACATTAGTTATTACTGACTTTCAATTAAGAAGGTGAAAACTGTACATTGGACAACACAGCTGTATTTGCTTTGATTTTGATCGATCTCCATTCAACCATGTATTTTCAGAGTTTCTAAAACACTGAATCCATTATTATTATTATCAATGGGGGCCAGAGCATTCAGCCACTCTGCTCCTAAACTCTGAAACACTTTTTAAAATTGCTTATTCTTTGTCAGTTTAAAATGTATCCCATTCTGTACTTTTAGCTGTGTGTGATGTTTTTAATATATTGTAATGTGTCCTTGGGGGTCTTGAAAGGCGCTGTTATAGAAATCTTTTAGTTAAACAATGTGAATTAACAAATAGTTATGAGTGTAAGTTATTAACTAATAGTCAACTCTGGATTCAGATACAGGCCATTATGGTCTGTTGGCAGCAGATCAGTGATAGATGGAGACGTGCTGCATCATGTCTTTGACCTCATCTGGGTCATAGAACAATATGTTCAGGTCAAAAGCAGATTATTGCATATATCAGAGTTGCATCAGCGTAAGGACGTGCAAAGAGAAGACTTGAGCAACACGTATCAATGTTGACTTCATCTATGTTTATTTATTTATTTAAGGATAGCCCCATTGAGATAAAGGACCCCCTTGAAAAAGAGATAGTTTATCAAAGAAAATTAACAATTATATATATACACATATACTTACATACACACACATATAGTATATATATATATATAATATAAATATATACATACTGTACATACACACATATATACATATATATATATATATATATATATATATATATATATATATATACACACACACACACACACACACACATACATTAGTATATTGTATTTCATACACACACACACGTATCTTAATCCCAGAACCACGCATTTCACTCCGAATATCTTCATATACATATATACACATATGCATATACACACACACAAACACATATATACATACTTATGTATACATACACATACACACATTATTACCAGGAGTTTATGGTATGTAATATCTAGAGTAGATATGTCTTTGTTTTCTCTGGTCTATTTAATGTCCAGTCATTTCCTCATTCGTGGCAGACGATTTCAGACGGCTTTCATACGGTGGTATTGGTATCGGTTCTGTTATTCATTGTATATGTGCACATTTACTAATGCACATTTTGGTTGAACTGTAAAGTTTTTAAAGTGCTTTATAAATAAAGCTGGTATGGAATAAACTCACACTTTGATGGTTTTATAGCTCTGGGTTGTTTACATTATTTTACTCTCGGTATGTGCAGAATTTCCACAACAGCGCCATGAAATAAAAGGCATTATTATTATTTTTGTTTTTAGAGCATTTGCTATTTATATTTGGTCAACCCCAGCTCTTAAGTTTATTATTGTTGCATGCATAGTTATAGCTTGGTCTTACCATACCATCGTACTAATTTGAGTAAATGTAGGAAAATAAAAAAAATGTCGGATGGCGAAGGCCAGGGCTAGCATAGTTCACATGCACTCACAAAAAATAAAAAATATAAATATAAAATGAAAAGTAAAAAGAAGCTGCAACTAAAACAGTGAAAAGACAAGGCATAAGTGGTATGGAGTAAATATGACATTTGTGGGAAGACAAAATATCGTGACTGCGTTCACAATCATTTATTTACATACATTTATATACATCAAAATGTAACAAAAAGAAAAGTACAATGTTTTTTTAAGAAGAAAAATCAATTATTAGAGGACTTTCATCCCCAGGCTTGAGATTTACAATAATGTAGAATCAGCTTTCCATCACTGCCAAAACACTGCAAATGAGAAAGAGTCTTAATGAATAACATTAAGGAAAGTGCAATATCAGGTTTGAAAAAACAATTCATTTTTTCCGTTACTTACATCAAAAAGGACTCCTACTTCTTGATCTGGCGATGGCGCAAATGATTGGTTTACATAAATGAACTGGAATTCAAACAAAAGAGAGGGGTGTTGCCTTTTCTTCACCAATTTTAACTGAATCAAAAGAGAATATCTTCATTTTCCAGATTATCAGTAAAATAATTAGTTACCAGGTGTTCATTGGCATCAAACTTTAGGAAACGTCCAATGAACTGTGAAAGCGACTGCACGGTCCTCCCTCTTTCCATCGACCATTTCTTTGTTTTCATTATAGGAGCGTCTCCGACGGCTTTCAGCAGAACATCAACTGTGAAAACAACAGACAACAACATCATACAATAAAAAATTTTTCTGTTCATACAGAGTTTCAATAAATGTCTTTTGGATTACAGTCGTTAATATAATACATCCATGATTACAGTCTATGCTTTGGATTGGCACAAACACGGAACTGACGTAGGCAGACGTAAAGCGCAAATTGTTATTGTTAGCTTGTAGGCCAGAGGATACAGCCGAGAAACGGAGCTATGACAGAGTAATAACACCCTATTACATGTGTGGGACTAGGTTATTACAAATATAAAGTGGTAAGTACTGATTTCTGTGCATATATTTTGATCGTTTCACAAGCTTCTTTACGGGCAAACCTGGCCTGATTGTGCGGATACATGTCTCAGAAAACGGTCGTAATTATTTTTTTTGTCCGAGAAAATTCTGCTAGCCTGAGCTAAGAGATGCTAACAAATGCTAGTAGTGCTCACAGCTCACAGCTAGCACTCTCTTCTTTTTAGTCATCAAACCTGTGCTTTATCCACAGTTATCCTTGATATCATGAAATAATATTTTTAGTCTATTATAGGACGCATTTAAAGAAACAGGTTTTAGTCATTTATTGTATTAGATCTACCTGTTTTACCCAAATTGTATCTGAGTAATCCACTAAAACTGTATGTTCTCCAAGTGTTAACATTAAATTGTGATGGTATTGTGATGGATGTGTTTTCCCCTTTAGATGGAAAACGGAGATAGGACGGATAATTTAACATCTATGTCCAAAGATCATTCAAACACACTCACAATGCAAGGTACAAGGACAAGTTTGATAGAAAGTACTCGGTACCTTGACAACTCCCATTTTAATAACAATGCTAATCTTTTTTATATATATATATAGTTCCTAAAATTGAAGCCTCATATTCCATTCCTTATGAAGATGGTAATTTTGAACAACCCGGATTTTTCAATGACAATGAGCAGAGTTTTGAAGGTTAGTGATAATTGCTATATTTGTATTAATTAGCACATTATTAGTGCATAAAAGAAAAATGTCTCTTTGTTTTCCAGAATCATCTCCATCAGTAGCACCACCTCAAGCTAGTAACTCTTACATATTAGTAACAAACCTGCGCACTCAGCTTCAGATCTCTCTAGAGAAGAACTCTTGGCTGTTAAAGCGAATTCAGGATTTGGAAGAAGAGAGAGATTTCCTGCGTTGCCAATTGGACCGATTCATCTCGTTCACAAAGAATTCAGAGCCAGATCAGAGACAGTATAGTAATGGTAAGTAAAACAAACTCTAGCTAGTTTGATTTGGTCAAACTAATATTTACGGTCTCTAGGTTATGACTCTGGTCGCTATGTATGGAGAGGAAGAAAAAATGATGAGCGCACTATGGGTAAGAAATATGTTTTTTGTTCAAGAAATTAATCACTTTAAATCTTTGTGATTTGTGATAATAATTTCATATATTTTCTTTTCCCAAGAGCAACAGAAGACAGATTCTCAGCATTTTCAAACACATCAAGTTATTCATCGAAGATCTGGTCCTGCAGCAATGATGGGGGCCAAAAATCATGTTACAAATCAAATAACAAATCAACTTGCCTCCATAAACGCTCTGTTCAATTCGCAATCTCAATCTCTAATGCAAGGACAAAGTACTTCTAGTGCTGCATCTGGAAGCAGCAGTGCAAACATCAGCAATCCAAGGGTCCCTATTAGTGGACATAATAGTATGACTGGTACAGGTAATGTGTTTTTTTATGTTTATAATATGCACTCAAGATGTGAATCACTGAGAATATTTTCAATCTCATCAACAGATTCTGTATCTCTTATGGGAGAATCTTCTAAATATCTGGATCAGGAGGTATATGCGGAGGACGAGGGCCTGATATCAGGGGATGATCTGATCCCAGAAGACATCAACTTTGCTCATTCGCTTTTGAAGAAAAGACGACTCCTGAAAAAGGGATTAGTAGAACGACAGAGAGGTTAGGACATTTGAAAAATCACAATAACTATTCCCTTCTTTTGCCTGTTTAACTTTATTTGACCTACTGCTTATGCTTCTCCAGCAAAAGATCCAGCTGGAGTCTTGTTTCGCTACAAGAAGATTCTTCTTACATACCAGAGGCTTAAGAATATGACTAAGGCCTTTGAAATCCATGGGGTAGACCGCAACACTGTGGCTTCTACTACCCCAATAGCGGAACTCCTCCTAGTGGCCCCTGAAAAACTGGTTGAAGTGGGTGAGTTTGATTCATCCAAAGAGAAGTTGTTGGACTATGCTCGGCGCTGCTATGTAGCTCTGGATCCAGAAACACTTTGCAGAGTACAGGCCCTGAAAAAAAATAATCTACTCCTGCCTATTTCTTACAGGTTTAGAAACTAAGGTCTGAGGGTTTTTTTTAACTGTTCTTGTTTTATATTTTATCTTTATATATTTTGTATTGCTGTGGCCTCTTTTTATTTTTGTCACTTTCTTAGCAAATGAGTTATTTGAAATATTTGTATATGACGGAGTAATATGTTCTGTTAAGTTAAATTTGTATGAGCAATATATTAGCCTTGACATTTAATGTTAGCATCAAACTTTTAGTTTACAAACTATGTTTATAAAAGCATGCACAAGTACTGTATAAATATTGTGGTCTGTACTTTATGTAAGTCTTGTACAATCACAAAAAGAACATGTACGTCATTATACTTGCACATTTTAAATCTGCCAGGTTTATTATTTATCATGTGGAATGTTGTTCCTTTATACAATCAAAGAATTGAATCTTTCATGGAATAAATTGCATATAATTTTATTGTCTATGCTTTTATTATAAATGTTTTTATTGTCACCATCTTCAAGGATTGTACAAATGGAGCACACAACATACACAATATGTAAGTAGCTGTAAAGGCTTCATAAGAGCAGCAAGTAAATATCTATACATATATACAGTGTAAATTAAAAACATATCTGGCAGGATGATAAGTATATAAAGTGATGTTTAGTGGACATTCTGAAATATTGCAGCATTGTACATGATTGCAGTATTTACTATTTATAAATGTGTTGTTATTATGTGTATATGAATAATTTGTGGACCCACCACCTGCAGGAGGATCAGTGAGGGGCTGGTGCTGTGTGAATTGGGTGCAGCTCTGACAGCCACCTCTCCGACCCAGAAATGAAGAGGAAGAAAATGGGTGGATGAATATTTTTAAGAATTAATATAATCAAGTTATTATTAGGAGGATTCAGACTGAAATAGTCCTGCTCCTACCTGGGCTCCCCTTTGGACACAGTGGGGCATTTTGGAGACAGGAAGATCCTGGACTTAATATCTATCCATCCATCCATTTTGTTCTGCCTTATCTGTTTGTCGGTCGCTAGAGCCACAGAGAGACAGGGACAGTTTCCGGGGGAATCCCGAGGCATACCATGGCCATCTGCGGGATATAGTCCCTCCAATTTGTGGGTCTTCCCTGGAGTCTTCTCCTGATGGGACATGCCTGCAACACCTTCCCAGGGCGACATCCAGATGCCCAAGCCTCCTCACTGGCTCCTCTTGATGTGGAGAAGCAGTGACTCTACTCTGAACTCCGTGTGACTGAGCTCCTCACCCAATCTCCAAGGGATCACTCAGACACTTTGGGGAGGAAACTCATTTTGACCGGTTTTATCCGTGATCTCGTAGTTTCGGTCATTACCCAAAGCTCATAAACATTGGGGAGGACTTAACATCTGCAAACGGCAATTACAGCTTACTGAAGCACTAACACATTTGTCGAAGTAGTCTACTATTGTTCAGAAATTTAATTCAAAATTTAGTAAAAAAAAAATGTGTTTAACATTTACCTGTACCATGTGTCTTCGTTTTTTACAGGATGAGCGAAATGAATGACTCTTCAAAAATATGTTGACACTTTTTAATGCTTTTCTCATAGACACTATCTGGTGGCACTACTTGCAACTGTTTTTATCATCCACAAAGCATACTTTTCTTAACTTTAGCTAAAGAATGTTTAAGTATTTGCATATTTTTGTATATATTTTTATGTTAATATGGCTATTTATCACGGTCCCCCTGTTCTTTATCACATAAAATACAAGGTCACCTACAAGTTCCTCCATAAACTCGCCCCATCATCACTGTCCCACCCGCCGCCTCAGATCCATAGACTCCAACCTCCTCACTCCCATCAGAACAAAGTGCCGAACCTTGAAGGACCGAGCCTTTGCTGCAGCTGCCTCCACTCTCTGGAACTCACTCCCACCACACAATAGGAACTCTGACTCATACAGAACTTCAAATCACTTCTCAAAACCCACCTGTTCAAAACTGTCTACACTTAACTGTTTATTTTTAGCTTTTCAATTTTTGTTTATTTTTTCTTCTTCATCTGTCACCTACAGTCTCTCGCCCTAAAACCTTCAATCAAGGTCAGAAATCTAGGGGTAATACTGGACTCAGACTTAAATTTTAATAGCCACATCAAATCAGTAACATCAGCAGCTTTTTACCATCTAAAAAACATTGCCAGGATCAAAAACATAGTGTCTAAAGCAGACTTGGAGATTCTTATCCATGCATTTGTCTCCAGTAGGTTAGACTACTGCAATGGCCTGCTCACAGGTCTGTCCAAACAGGCTGTAAAACAGCTGCAGTACATTCAAAATGCAGCAGCTCGAGTCCTGACTAGAACCAGGAAGTACGACCATATTAGTCCAGGTCTCTGCACTGGCTTCCTGTGGCTCAGAGATAAGACTTTAAAACAGCTCTGCTTGTGTACAAGTCTCTCCATGGCCTCGCACCAAAATATATTAGTGACATGTTAGTACCATATGAACCAGCCCGGACTCTGAGGAGCACAGGGACTGGACTCCTGTTAGTGCCCAGAGTCAGAACTAAACATGGGGAGGCTGCTTTTCAGATTCATGCTGCTAAAATCTGGAACAGTCTTCCTGAAGATGTGAGACAGGCCTCCTCTCTGACAATGTTTAAAACCAGGTTAAAGACAGTTCTGTTTAACTGTGCATACAACTGAGGGATTTTATATTCTTATCTTTCTTTTTAATGTTCTGTGATAATTTATGATTTTAATGCTTTCTTGTTTTGTTCAGCACTTTGAATTGCCTTGTGTATGAATTGTGCTATATAAATAAACTTGCCTTGCCTTGCCTTCTTCTGTAAAGACTCTTTCAGTGTAAAAAAAAAGCGTTATATAAGTACAATGTATTATTATTATTATCATTGTCATTATCATTATTATTATTACTATTACTATTATTATTGTCATTATCATTATTATTATTAATATTATGTGAGTACTTCCTGTTCTTGAACTGTGTGTTGGAGATCCACTGTTGCGGTCCTCACTTTGTGATATAACTTTATATTGTCTTAAAATATATTATATGATAATGTATTATTATTATTAATATATTTTGATTCGATTAACAATCGCTAAACAAAACTATCCGTTTCTATTTTTATTAATTTCACAACAGATGGCGCCAATTATGTTTAAAATATAAATTTGGTGTTTAGCGTCCGCATATAATCACGAACATAATTATATTCATGGTATATGCAGAGCTTAGCTCAGGTTAAGTTACAGAAAATAAAATGTATGAACATAGTTTTAAAGGAATTTTACTGCGCCGGAAAACATCCTCACCTTCCGGTATCGCGGGGAAGCTGGGAGACGAAGCAGAAAGCGGGCTTACCCCCTTCTTCATTGTTTTTATTTTCTTCTAACGTCAATTAATGCATGCATTTCCCCGCTATTTTCAATGCATCGTTGGTTGGCCAGCGGTTTGGGAATCCTTATGTAAGCACTAAAGCCCCCATTCATTCTGCGATTCGGCGCGGCTCACGGCTCTTAGATTCTTAGATTCGGGCCTGCTCTGGACTTTGCTACAGGCTAGTTAGCTTTTTCAGCTAACCAGGCGAACACGTTTCTTTATCTGCACACCCAGAATCTTCTTTTGGAACAAAGTATCGGCCAGCTGGTCTGTGTGGGTTTGGAGGTTTCTTACAATTGTAAGTGGGGTGTCAAATATTTGAAACTTATTGGTAATTGTACAATCGAAAGCACTTGTTTTAAGCACACACTTTGTTGCTAGGCTAGTTAGCGCCACCGGAGCGACACAGAAAGCGGGGCAGTCGCTGAGATGTCGGAGTTTGACGAATTTGAAAGACAGCTCTCCGAAAACAAACAAGGTACGAGTTGTAAAAGATACATTTTATTACAGTGTTAATACGTATAATAAGTTAAGATGGAAAGCGGATCGTTTGCGTTTTGTTGTGTTTATACTAATGTCCATATGTAACCGCTAGCTTTAACTACGACAGAGGCGTGTATGAGCCACATATAGCTAGTTGTTTAAATTGTGTGTGAAAATTATGAATGTAAATTGGCAGACTATTGGTAATGGAAATGTATTTTAAAATATGTAAATGTTTGTATAGTTACTATCAATAGTCGTAAAAAATGCTACAGTATTCAATTTTACACAGGGGCCTGAATGGTTATGATTAATACTGAAAAAATAGTATTATTAGTATAAGTTATTTTTCCAGTATTAATAATTATCGAGAAATAAATGAAGGCATACAATAAATTCATTTGAATTCCATGTTCTTGGGGAAATCTGGAGATTACATCTTTTATGAAAAACGATGCTTTCCCAGAAGCCACCAAGCTTTTAAACGGTACTATCCAGCCCAATCATAATCAACTCTCCAGAAAAAACTTTGGTAATTGTTTTTAACAATTTATTTACATTTTCCCAAAGCTGAACGAGACAAAGAAAACAGGCACCACAGGCGTTCTGCCTCCCGTAGCCGCAGCAGAGACAGAAAACGGAGAAGCAGAGACCGGGAGAGACGCAGTCGGGATCGCCGTGGAGACAGCAAAGAGCGCAGGCACAGACGCAGGTTTGTGTTGATCACCATTTCATCTTGCGTATCTTGGTGCTCCAAAAGTTCAGAGCTTTGCTGTGACAAGATCTTCACAAAATTATTTTCCGTGTAATTTTGGCACAGTGCTCTGATTGAGATAAACGTGAAATCCTTCCAATGTCATTTCAGCTCACCAACCAGCTTTCCTCAGGACAATGCTGGAAGGTAATACAGCAAATTAACATGGGTTTGTAAAGTATCACAAAGTGGTTTTAATGTTGAATGAAATCTAGAAACGCACAATTCTGTGGTGTTCATAATTTATATAATAAATCAATGTATCTTGAATATAAAAGGTATGTAATGTTTTGGAAGGTCACCATGTTTTATGCATTTAATATGAAATTAAGATGTGTAAATTGAGTGTCATCTTTTCCCTACTTGCCTAAATAGTCGCTCCCCTCATCGTGAGAAGAAAAAGAAGATCAAGAAGTATTGGGATGTTCCACCCCCTGGTTTTGAACACATTACACCCATGCAGTACAAAGCCATGCAGGGTGAGTCTTGTTACATTTTGAATTCTTCCAGTTTTCATTGAAAACACTCATTTAAATCCTGCTTGCGCTTCTTCAGCTGCGGGTCAGATTCCTGCCACAGCACTCTTACCGACCATGACTCCAGACGGACTGACTGTGGCTCCCACCCCTGTGCCTGTTGTTGGCAGCCAGATGACAAGACAGGCTCGCCGTCTTTATGTGGGCAACATCCCCTTTGGCATTACAGAGGTAAATATGTGTTATGGATGGACATTGAGTAACAATTGTTTTTATTGTTTTCCAATATGAATCGCATACTTAATTTGTTGCTTTTGTTGCAGGAGTCTATGATGGATTTCTTCAATGCCCAAATGCGATTAGGTGGTCTCACACAGGCTCCTGGAAACCCAGTCCTGGCTGTACAAATCAACCAAGACAAGAACTTTGCCTTTCTTGAGGTACATTTTGTACTTAAAAACTAAAACATTAAAGCTATTGTCAATTAATGATGTTTAATTTTTATAATCAATTATAATAGTGATTCTATTCTTTCTCCATATTTATAGTTCCGTTCAGTGGATGAAACGACACAGGCCATGGCGTTTGATGGCATCATCTTTCAAGGTCAGAGTCTGAAGATTCGGCGTCCTCATGACTACCAGCCGCTGCCTGGCGTCAGTGAAAACCCCAGTGTTTATGTACCAGGTACTAATCATAAACGGATACATTTGTGATTTTTTTTTAAGTTGCCCTAATAATGACAAAGAAATTCACAATTATTGGTCTGGCAGGTGTTGTTTCAACAGTGGTTCCGGACTCGGCCCACAAGCTCTTCATTGGTGGTTTGCCCAATTATCTGAATGATGACCAGGTCGGTACCTGCACATGGTACTGTGCTTTGCCCGAACTTGCCCAAACCGCCAAGCAACGTTCAAAAGCGTTAAACCGCATTTTCCGTTACAGTGGTACAGGAAATTCGGATATGTTCTAAACCGCCCATGCTGCCTCTTTGCAGCATCATAGTTAAACATGTAACAGATTTCTCAACTGCAAGCCTCGAGGCTAAAATGTCTCCCAAATAAGCTTGCGCGTCTTCTCCGCGTTTGACGTGCCGTGAAGTGTTTTTAGATGTTCGTTTCTTCCCATTTTGTTTAGGTGAAGGAGTTATTGACTTCATTTGGCCCACTAAAGGCCTTCAATCTTGTGAAGGACAGTGCCACTGGCCTTTCCAAGGGATATGCATTTTGTGAATATGTCGACGTCAACCTTAATGATCAGGTAACCCTGTTAAATGTGGATTCAAAACATCCTAGCGATTTCAGGTACTTCCATTGAACGTCATCTGAAGGTGTTACTTGAACTGCAAATCATCCACAGGCAATAGCTGGGCTCAATGGAATGCAGCTCGGAGACAAGAAGCTCTTGGTGCAAAGAGCTAGTGTGGGCTCCAAGAATGCCAGTTTGGTGAGTGAACAAAATAGCCATGGTAGCAACACCAATACCTACTCTTCTTATCATGGGGTGCTTACTTAGGAGGCTGAGCTGTGAATTGATGCATGCAATGTTGTATCTGCTCTGTTCACACATCTTCTGTGGGTTTCGGTCACTATCTCCTCCACAACACTTACTGTGTTCATGTTACAATTGCGTATTGCAACATAATGGGTCTCATGATGCCACTGCTTCACATCATTACAAGGATATATTTTTTCACTTTAAAAAAAATCTTTAAATTTATAAATAAGCAAAAATGAGGGAGTTATTAACCCCTTAAGCCCTTAAACGAGAAAAAAAGTACTTCTGCTGGCAATAGCAGATGTATTTCGAACTTCATAATCCACAAGCTATATATCATTTTAAAGCTTATTTTCTCAGCTATATTTATATGTAAGTGTGAGCAATATCAGACTTTACATTGCATTAAAAAGATATAACGCATAATATGGGCACAAAATAAATCGTGTTTGTGTAAGTTTCTTACCTTTTGTCTTCTGCTGCTCCTACAAATTAGACTTTCCCCATCCTTGCTCAGTCTCTTTCTCTCCGTAAGTCTTCAGTGAAAAAGAATATCCACTTGTATTTCCCAAAGTATAATCCATTCTTCAGAAATAATCCAAAAATGTAAATTTTTCTGTTGCAAAAAAAAAAAAACGCTCCGAAAAATGTTCAGGCTTCTCTTTCACATTTCACCAAGTTTGAGCTTTGTTTAGCCCCACAAACATCATATCTACGTGTTCCTTGAGTCCTTAGCTTCAAAAAGAGAGGTTCCATGAAAAGATAGGAGCAGTTTTCAGTCCGCAGGATCCTTGTGAAAAAGACGAACCGCATCCACTTGCACAGGGTCCTTTTTCCCTTGGTGTTGGTTAGCATGGCTAGCGCAATGAGCTAGCTCTGAATGATTGTGTCTAAGTAGCCAATAAAAAGAGCTTTCTATTGATGGGTGGGACTTGTAGGAACTCTTTTCATTTTCACAGTAAAAGCGTGCGTAAAGACGCTATTAGTACTGCTGCGCATATTTTATATGCATTTACTCTACTAAAAAATTAATTTTGAAAAAATGTAAAAGAAAATCACACAGATTTATAGCTTATAAATACCAAAACTAAAAAATATGCTTTTTATGATGGTGAAATGTTAGTAAAGCAGTTTGGCACAATTTGGCACACATTTTGCCAAACTGGTTCCGAATGGCACTACTTGATAAAAAAGAGAAACTGCATAAAAACTATAAAACTTAGAAGTCTGAAACTTCACACCGTTGTTGTCAACAACACAATGAACAAATTAGCGTTGAAACTTTTCTTCTTCCAATGAAGTAGGCTTTTTTAGGGCATTTATACATTGAATTTTTTAGGCGAGGCTATAAAAAAAACAGTTTTTTTTTCCCAAACTTCAAAGGATGCAGAGTTAAATAGGAATGACAAACATTATTTTAGTGTTTTTTTTACATAAACTAGAAGGCTCTAGCTTTAAAATGATGCATCACACAAGCATGTGAGATGTAAGATGTGTTTTTAAATAAGCAAAGACATTTGGGTATGCCAAACTTTTGTGCACGAGCCAAAACAGATGTAGGAGTTTAAGAGGTTAATAGTGAGAATGTATTGGATAGGAACAGGGTATTTTATATGGCATAAAAATATAGTGCTCAAAGAAAATAAAGGGAACACTTAAATATTTAGTTGAGTGTCTTTATTGTTTCACCTTTTTAAAAAGGAATGAATTGAACCAAGGAAGTGCTTAAAAGGGGAAAAAAAAAAAATGCTCAAGCTATTCAAACCTGTATTTGTGACTGATTCCCTCTTGAGGGATCTCCTCCCAGACCTGACTGTTGGCATCAGTGATGCTTGGATATTCTCTACACCAGGAGACCAGGAGAGGGTTGAAGGCAGGAAAGGGCACAGCATGTCCAGGCGTTGTATACAGACACGTGAGACGTGAGAGATTTTCAAGTTTGACTGAGCATTTTTTAAAATACGTCCTTTTAAAGAAAAAGTAGTGCAGATTTGTGCTGGCGTGTCAATTTAGATCAAGTTTTCGTGAAACAAGAGAATGTGTTTTGGGACCAGATTGTGATCAATCACAGCGGACCACTGGCCCCCACTTTCTTGAGAAAAGCCACAGGTCTCTCGTTAACACAGACAGCAGAGGTAAACAAGCGGCGGAGGCTAACCTGAAGCTTCCCGTGTCTTCGTTACTGGTTACTGCTTACTCAGCGAAACAGCCATCCAAAAGAAAGTGTCGTTCCTCCGCGCTTCCCGGTTCTATCATTCTATAGCCACGCCATCCACGTTCGATCCATATTGTAAGTCGTGAGCTCCGTATACAATCAGCATGTGAGCACAGGCTGGGGGGGAGGGGGTTAGTGGGGGCGAAAGCTCCGTGGGTGCGGGGAGCGCTCACATTCGAAAAGTCAGTTAGTGCAGCTTTAACCTTTTGACAATATTAGTACAGAGACTCAATATTTTAAATCTGTATGTGTACACATTATTGTACACATACAAGAATGCATGTATGTGTCAAAAGGCATTAATCATCCTCTTGCCAAATGTGAGTTTTAGAATTTGACCCCTGACCAGAATGAGATCACTGGATTGCTCTATTTAAAGAAAAAAATAATGGGATAAAAGTTGGTTACAGTAAAAATACTAAAAACATTTTGAAATAAAAAATAAAAGTTGGTTACAGTAGAAATAATGTGTCTAATTAGCCAATGAGATATTTGTCTTGATGAATTGCCTAAATTATTGTTATACATTGTAAATATAAAATCTATTCAAAGCCTACAAATCAAAACACAACCAGAGCCATTAGCCTGTTAGTCATGTTTGAGAGTAATGGCACTTCAGCTTGCCTTAGCCAACTGTCTTAGCAACATGTCTGCCTGCATTGTGGAAGAAATGCCCATATAAAGTAATTGGCTCCAGCTAGCTTGTACAAATCCTACTGTACTGGATTCAGGCTATTACTATAGGTGACATCAGCACTCTGTCAATCCGCTCTTAAAGGAGCTATACCCATTCCTGCAAGGTTTGAATGTTTAGCACCGCCCCTCAACTCGCTCACAGGCGTCTCATTTCCCCTATGCTCTCGTCCCACAGAGCCATCTAGTTTTATTTGCGATCTGATACATATACATTAACATGAGCGCAACTTCTTTTAAAGTAGTACTAGAATTTAATATGCTGCTATCCAGAATATATAACTGCAATATGTGTTTATAATATTTCGGGTGTTCATTTTGACATGTTCAGATGAATTATGTTAAAAAACGGCTTTGAAGTGGCACCTTTTCACTTCCGCATAGAAACGCTAGGGGGCGCCAAAATGGCGGCGATGACGTAGAAGGACATCTCACAGCAGCAGTCTTAGCTGGAAACTGTAGGAGGTTTCACTGTCATCTGAACAAGGTATAAACATATTTTCATCCGTTTTGTACATAATCGTGTGCAACTCTTTGAACCTTTTAGCCTTATTTGTGAGATTCAAGCTAATTAGTGTTGGGCAAGTTAGCTAACTCTACTTGATATCATAAAACATGCTAACAAGGCTAATATTCGTTTTTACATTATGCCAGTCTCACTTTGGTTGCCTTAGATTTATTTACCACAATGTACATTGTAATATCCATAAATGCTAACACCTATTAACTGTTTAATTAGCATTTTATCAATGATTGCATCACATGTAGTCTGTTTTCAACTTCTGCAGCTTTTTGTTCATAAAAGTAAAATATTTATTTAAGTTTAAGTTATTTTGATTAGCATTTTTGGATATTACAATTTACATTGTGGTAAATAAATCTAAGGCAACCAAAGTGAGACTGGCATAATGTAAAAACGAATATTAGCCTTGTTAGCTAACTCTACTTGATATAAAACATGCTAACTGGCCCAACACTAATTAGCTTGAATCTCACAAATAAGGCTAAAAGGGTAAAAGAGTTGCACACGATTATGTACAAAACGGATGAAAATATGTTTATACCTTGTTCAGATGACAGTGAAACCTCCTACAGTTTCCAGCTAAGACTGCTGTCTGCTGCTGTGAGATACCCTTCTCCTACGTCATCGCCGCCATTTTGGCTCCCCCTAGCGTTTATTATAAGGTGCCACTTCAAAGCCATTTTTTTTTACATAATTCATCTGAACATGTCAAAAATGAACACCCGAAATATTATAAACACATATTGTAGTTATATATTCTGGATAGGAGCATATTAAATTCTATTACTACTTTAAGCTGTACAACTTTCACTGATGAAATGGTACAAAAGCAACGCACTAACAAAATATATAACTAAAAGATTACCGCTAGTTTAAAATATTGAATCATAATTTATTATACAGCTCCCCGCAGTAGAACCCTCCATTGATTTGAATGTAATTTCAAAACGTTCTACCGATCCTTTTTTCTCTAACAATAAAGACTGCTGCCCTTAGGCAATGCAATCTCTAATTCAGGTGTGTAAAATACTAAGATTACTCTGCAAGTACAACGAGCTTTCAGCACCTGTCACTACTTCTGTCTGTGCAGAGAAGCTAGCGGAGCTAGCCATGCTCAATAAACGAATATCAACACCTTTTAAATGTTAACCGGGAATACATATACATCCTTAACACATGTGCACGGAGGTTTTCAGAATTATCAGTTAACGTTTTCATGACAAAAATACTGTTTTAATGTGACAAAAAGCAATCGCGATAAACGCGGAAATAACATGAAATGAACATTTTAGGACACATTTGAAGAGGATGTCATTATGGATTTAGGTTCGGTATATAAATAACTCACCGCTGATGTTCAGGATTCTTTGTTCAGTTTTCATGTAGTTCGAGTTTTTGAACTAGCTAGCTTAGCTGTTACCCACCTAGTACATCACGGCGAAACCTTTGGGAGCTCACTACATTTTTAATATTAAGGGCTGTCTAATATTTGTTCGATGTATAATTATATATATATATTTATTTTTAAAATCTTTTAATTATATTCGAATATTGAATTTTTAAGTCAAAGCCCTACAGTTTACCAGCGCTGTAGAGGCTAGAGGACGCGGCTTGTTCGCCCTTCGTTCTGTGATTGGAGGAGAGCGGGCGTCACGCCAAGCTTCTACTCTGCACTTTTTAAGGCCTGAATTCATATGCTGAATCAATGAGTTCATGTTTTAAATTAATTTACTGATTATAATGCAACTTGTATATAGTAATAAACATATTAATGAACTAATTAGAAAAAAAAATCGGGTATAGCTTCTTTAGTGTGAGTTTTGGGCAGAACTAACACACCCATGTGGATAAAAATCTATAGCAAGCTTGATAAATGAGGCCCTTCAAAGATGCAGTTAGCGCCTGGCCTTTTTTGTTCATCCATTTTAGGTTTCAAAAAATAATCCGATAACTCAGGTGCGCACACTCACTAGAAACAGGAAGAGGGTAAACCCATTGGTTCGTTGGGAATGAACGAATCCCGTCCGCGCCAAAATATTTTTTATTAATTTTTCGAGACTAGCCATCTGGTCAATTCCAATGCTATTTGAAAACACATGATTACTTGACTACTTTTAGGGTTTAGGGACGTTTTCCAACAATATTTCAAAAAAAACATCAGGAAAAATGTTCAATCAGATCAAGATTTGGTCAGAAATGATTTTTGTTGGGGTAGACAAACTTGGTCTAAAATGCCTGAATGAAGCTGAATGTAACTGATGAACGAAATGTTGACGCTTGCACTTTTCAAAGCTTCTCCCATCCAGAATATTTCCTCATTAAAGTAAATATAATTACTGTAGATCTTTAATATAAATAATGTCTCTTGTGGCTGTTCCAGACCACCATAAATCAGACCCCAGTGACACTGCAGGTGCCGGGTCTGAACAGCTCGGTGACATCGATGGGCGGCCTGCCCACAGAGGTGCTCTGTCTGATGAACATGGTGGCCCCAGAAGAGTTGATCGATGATGAGGAGTACGAGGAGATTGTGGAGGATGTCAGGGAAGAGTGTGGCAAGTATGGCCAAGTCAAGAGCATTGAGATCCCTCGACCTGTGGATGGTCTGGACATACCAGGCACCGGCAAGGTACGACTTTTATCAGTACATATTTAATAGAAATAATGAACTCTCCCACTATGCAGTCTAAAATCATGTGCATGTGACTTATTCATGTGCTTTTACTGGAGATGAAAGAACATGGATAAGTCTCATTCGACCAGTAGATAGTATGTAACGTCCATTGAAAACCAATGCAAAAATTAAAATGCAAAGCATGAAACATTGTTCCATCCATACCTGCTGTTTTTACAATAACACAAATATATATACTTTGCAGATCTTTGTGGAGTTCACCTCAGTTTTTGACTCCCAGAAAGCCATGCAGGGATTGACGGGGAGGAAGTTTGCCAACAGGGTGGTGGTGACCAAATACTGCGACCCAGACGCATATCACCGCAGAGATTTCTGGTAGAAGAGGCTCCAGAACAGGGAAGGGAGGGAACACACTGCCCGTTTCCAAACATGCCCTTTTGAGCAATTTGATAATAAATGTTAAAGCTGAAATAGTAATTGAATAAAAAACATTGAATTCTGGAAACGACATACAATATTTTGTGGCTGAAGGGGCAGGAGAAGCGCTAATGTTTTTTGCAGTGTGTGTGTAAGTAATTGAGGGTGGGGGTAACAATTTTTATACTTTGACACAGTGATGTCATTTGGGGTGGGACAGGGTGCCACACTTACAGATTTGTATCCTCACAGTTAGTCTGTTTTATGTATTTTAGTGAAAAGTAGGGCTGTAACTGGACTGAGGCAACGAGAGGGAACAAAAGCACGCGGGTCATTAAGACAGAAATGTGAGAACGTGGAAGGCTTTCTGTTTGATTTTCAGATGTAGATACTGTAGCTGTAATCTCCACTTGCCATCATGCAGGCATAGGCTTTTCTATGTTTGGATAATGTCTTTGTTTCCTTGCTTTTGTCAGACTACTGTCCTCAGGCTGACTGATTCAAAACTGTTAAAACGTAATTGGACTGAAATATTTGAATGTCAACTGTTACTCCCAATACTCTTTGCGACATTTCTGATCAATTATTATTGCCCTGTTGACTTTCTTTTTCTAATACTCTTTTAACACATTTGTTTGGCCATTTGTGTCTGCAGTTTCACAGCATGTAAATTTAAGGGAACCCAATTTTGAAAAAAAATTAATTGGTACGTCTATGGTGGTTAATAGCCGAAGCCTTAAAGTTATTTAAAATTTTGAAGCATACATTTGGTTTAACCCTTTGTTTCGTTAGTGATATTTGTGCTAGCAGAGACGTCAATATGTTGTGCTTTATTCTGCATCATAAATAATTTTCATTTTCTCCTAATTTTATGATCTGAAATGTAAGATGTGTTGAACCCGGTTGTTTCCTGTGCAACGTCTCGCTTCTTTTACAAGACCAAATAAACATGTGACTATACCCTATCGTTTTTTCCCGATTTACTTTTTGTATTTTTATAAGGCAAGGCTCGCTTATTTATGCAGCAATAAACACAATCAGCGTTAATCTAATCAGTATTTTTTGCAGTTAGAAATTCTGAACACAAGGGGGCGTTGTTGCACATGAGTAACCAGGTAAGTGCGATCAAAAACTATTTTCCAAGTGGTCATCCATGTTGTAATAAAAGGTTAAACTATACTCTGAATATTAGCTGTTCTTTTGTGTACGTTTCTTTAGATTGCTTATGACGTATTATTTTGTTAAGTATTTGACAGTGATACATAGGGTAATGCTGATGAACTGATTATACACGTTTTTACTGCGAAATGTATACTCCAAACAAATATACACAGGCCTGGAGAAAAAGAAATGGAACAATAATTGGGGAATAAGTACAATTACTCTCGTTGGATCAGTTTAACACTTTGACCTGTCCTCAAATTCATGCATTAAGTACATTAAGAAGCATGTTGTGCCTACAGCTTCAGCCTGGGTCAATGATTTTCACGCATTATGGTCAGTGTCGTGGATCAGAGGCTGGCGTCTTTACGGATCTGCAGGAAGATCGGAGCTTTTACATGCCTTGAGTCCCCACGGCTGATTCTGCAGTACACTCAGCCGTTCACGCCCCCTGGTGGTGAGTTCAGGCAGGCCATGGTCGTTGTCATTCTGGGCACCCTCAATGATCCCGTTCACACATATATTGCACTGCAGCGGGAGAGTGAAAGGTGCGTGTAATGCAGTCAATGTAGCTAAAGCCATATGCAAATAATTCAATTCAAGGTCAATTCAGCAGTTCGAAGATTCCTGTAGAAGAAACTAGTGATATAGGCCTACTCCAAACCACAATGCAAAGAAAAGTGCAGCTCTCAGAGAATTGTTTTTCTAAACTCTCAAGCGTCCTGTCCATGTTGCTGAATTGATTGTCAAATGTCTAAATTTTTGGAAAGAAATATGATTGAGAACAAACTACCAACTTTGCTTTATAAAGGGCTGTGTTTTAGTTCCAGTTGGGAACATTTACTGTATGAAACTCAATATGCCCAAAGTAAAAAATAACTAATGTACAGATCCATGTTTGCCATGGGTAATATAATACATCTGTAGTTTGCCTGCATGGAACCATCTTTCAAGCAGCATTATTCATACAAGCTGTAAACATTAAAGTAAAAAAAAACAAAACATCTGAACAGCTACAGGGGATTTATATATATAGAAATACAAACCAATGTTACTTCTTGTCCACCGTTATAAAGCAACAATTATACACATCTGTTGTTCCTTGGCTGACTTTAATGCAGATAAGCCAATTTGAACATATTTCAGCTCGCTGATTAAACAGGTTTGGGCACCCTTTTCCTACATGAGGATTTGTTGTTGGTTTTGAGTATAGACCCATCTTATCCAGGATTATGTCTAGCACCACTCTTCTTCCTGGCTGCAGTGATATGTGGACAGTGCTGTTTGCATCTGCACTGACCGTACATTATTGATGGCCTCAGACAGTCTGTGGATTCGTCCTATCAATCTCTTGAGATGAAGCTGCTCAGAAAAGGTGCATAATTACACAAAGTCATTTTAAATAATGGACACCTGTGTTGTACATTAGCAGCAATGGCTCCTCTCGGGATGGTTTCATTTATCATCGCTGTCACAGGACCAACAGGTTGCTCTTGCTTTTCCTACTGCCTGAAACGGCATGTGACAAGAATATTTAGGCTTCAATTTATTAGCGTGTGGTAAATCAATATAGTTTTGAATTGGTCAAATAAAAGAACGTGATTAAAAGAAGGATTAAAAAGCTGGTGAATTGCCCTCACATTTTCATTTTGCTTTTTTAAATTTATTTTTCTTTGGAGTTCATGTTTACTAACATTATATTCTATGTGTGTGTGTGGGCTAAAACAATAGCAACACAAGAGCTTTCACACCCACTAGGTAACACATACTGACTTTGCATCTACTTATGCACATAAAAATAATCAGAATCAGAATCATTTTTATTGTGACGCAAGTAACAAAGTCACAGACTTGGAAATGGTTTTGGCTCAGTGCAACAGTCAGAAAGAGAGGTAAAGAGTAGAGAAGGCATAATAAAAAATAAAATGAGAAATGGAATAAAAAAATCAACACTTCTAAGGAATAGAATTTAAAATAGAATTATTAGAATTACTATATACAATATACAAGTGCACATGGTGCACACAATGTGACAGCAGTGGAGTAAAGTGACATAAAGGGCAGTAAGGGGACTTCTAAAGGGTGGGGGGACAGGTTATGAAGTGTTCAAGAGTCCAACAGAAGAGGGGAAGAAACTGTTCTTGTGGCGGGAGGTTTTGGTCCTGTTGGCCGTAGCCTCCTGCCCGAGACGAGTGGTTGGAATAGTCCATGTGCAGGGTGAGAGGGGTCGGCTGTTATACGACCGTCGGGCGACGTACAGGTCCTGCAGCGATGGAAGGCTGCGGCCGATCACCTTCGATGCGCTGTAGTCTCTGTTTGTCCCTGACTGTGGCTCCAGCGAACCACACGGTGATGGAGGAGGTGAGGATGGACTCGATGATGGCCGTGTAGAACTGCACCAACATCTGTGCAGGCAGCTTGGCTTTCCTGAGCTGCCGCAGGAAGTACATCCTCTGCTGGGCCTTCTTGATGAGGGAGCTGATGGTTGGCTCCCACTTGAGGTCCTGGGTGATGGTGGTGCCCAGGAAACGGAAGGACTCCACAGAGGTGATGGGGGAGTCCATCACGGAGGGTGGGGGCGGGGGGACAGTGCTCTTCCTGAAGTTTACAATCATCTCCACTGTCTTCTGGGCGTTCAGCTCCAGGTTGTTACCACTGCACCAGGACACCAGCCGGTCCACCTCCCTCCTGTAGGCGGACTCATCGTTGTTGGAGATGAGTCCAATGATGGTGGTGTCGTCTGCGAACTTGAAGAGCTTCACGGAGTCGTGGCTGGAGGTGCAGTGGTTGGTGTACAGGGAGAAGAGCAGGGGGTCCAGGAGGGGGGAGATGAGGGACTTGAGATGAGACAGGACCAGGCGTTCAAATGACTTAATGACGACAGATGTCAGTGCCACAAGTCTGTAGTCATTAAGTCCAGTGATCCTGGGCTTCTTCGGGACGGGGACAATGATGGAGGAGTTAAAGCAGGCTGGGACATGGCAGGACTGCAGAGAGGTGTTGAAAATGTCAGTGAAGACAGGAGTTAGCTCACTAACAACATAAATACAATCGTAACAATGTGATAATGAACAACTTGCATGTTTAGCAAGTTAGCAATTTGTGTCTTAAGCAACCTGTCTTTTAGCCATAATAAATATTATTGAATTGACTCGAGGCTTAATACTGGTCCCTCTGTCCTGTCTCACTGGCCCTGATTTACTTTTAGTTTACCCCTCCTTGCAAACCCATCACCTCTCGGCTTCCTCTGCTCACTGCTCCCATGTAACTCAAACTGGAAATGCTGATGTAAGAAACGCTCCCACCTTCCTGTGTTTACTGCAATCTGTGCTGAGAGATCTCACTACTACTCACTTTGCAACTTCCATATGTTCATGTTTTGCCTGGTATGTTCCATGGAACGGCATGACTTGTCCACCTACACTGAGAAAACTTACCAGTCATATCTGGTCATGCAAGTGTGCTCAATGTAATAATAACTGGGTCTGTAGCACCAAAAACAGCTTCAGCACTAACTCACAACTATAACATTAACCAGACCACATAAACCAGGCCTATAAAAGACTATTCCAAGTCTGAAGTTGAGCCAAACAAAGTTTAAATCATTGTTCCCATTAGTTATATTATGGCATAAAGTCCCTATTATTTAGGGATGTCACAAGGGTTTTTGCTTTATAAATGAGGTGGATTGGATAACATTTTAAAAAGGTAGAGGGCCCCTAGATACCACCAGAAGGAGCAGAGCTAGGGAATTTCCACTGTGGTATCAAAATCAGTATTGAATAACACGCCTTTTCCATATAGAACACAATTATGACATTTGAGGCAGCCCCATACTGCTTTTGCTTGACTTCTATCTGGTGCAGACTGTTTAACGTTGTGTCCCAACTTTATACATTCCATCCATTTCCACTTAATAGTTTCCACTCAGCTCCTGTCAAGTTTCCTCCCTGGTCTGCTCTGTCTGTAAAGTCCAACCTGGCCCCTCTTTCTCACAAATACACACACACACACAGACACACACACACGTTCCTCCTTCTCTCTTACTTAATGTCATTAACAGGTGCCCGTCCGAAATAGCCCCAGTGGTCAGGCAGCCAGCGAGGGTTACAGACACAGACATGTTTTGGAACGCGATGGGAGCTCGGCCCGTCATGTGCGTAGGCCACCCTGCAGGACCCTTCTGTGATTTATACCAAATTTTCAAACACATGGCTCTCGTAAGCACACACACACGTACACATTTTGCACACTTTACTTCGTCTGTGCGATTTGGACCAACCAGACTACATCCCCCTCCCCTTGCGCCTTGACTCCCCCCTATTTTGCTATCTCTCCCCTCATCGCTTGCTTGCTCGCCCGCTCACTCGCCCGCTTGTCAAAAGCTCTTCTTCTGATTAAGTTTCAAACGTCTCTTCCTTCAGAACTACAGCAAATCAGGTCAGGCTCAATCTTATTTCTTAAAAGTGGATTAGTCAGTGGTAGCGTTGTTGTAAAATGTTTGCCACTCCTGATTAACTCTGAGGAAAAACAGGAGCAGTTGTTTTGTGCAAATTCCCAGTGTTTATGATTGAGTTCCACAGAGACCTCTTCCCTGCACATGCACAGCCTGCACATAGTCTGCACGTAGTGTCTATGCGGTAACCACATTATCCTATTTGTCAAAACCTATTGGTTTGAGTGTAATATGACTAATGTGCACAGCGTGGTGCTGACAAGACTAGATCAGTGTCTCTTCACTCACGTCATCAAGGCTTATGATAAATATTTGAATTGAACATGTAGAAGGTTTATCAAAGCAACAGTCATTTTGGTTAAACGATATAATACTGACTTTTTGGGAGCATTGGAGTCTTTCATGCATTCTAGGGAAATTATCCACTACATATACTCAAGGGAATAACATTTTGAAAAAGGTAACACTTCAACTTGATATGTTTAATGGCAAAGCATTGGTGGACAAACCAAAGGCAGCAAAAGCAGTACAAACCTTTAGTGCAATAATGGTGTCTGTAGAGGGATGTGTGACATCATCACATTTGTTTGGGTCACACACTGTTAAACTGGGACAATGTCTGAGCCTCCTGATGCCGCATCAAGAGACACAAACTGCTTCCACTACGTTGAATGTGAAGGTTTTGTGTTTAGGTACATTTTTTTAAGGTTTTATTTTTATTTTTTGGTGTAGTGCAATAATAGATTATTGAACTTTTTTATTTAGATGGTTCAATTTATATTTTGTATTACAAACAGTTAATAACACATTTTGCAGTTTCATTTATTCCATACGTGGTGGTGGTAAACTACTTGTGTAGCCACAGCTGCCCTAGGGCATACTGATGGAAGCAATGAGACCAATCTGTCTTCGGCCCCTCTCCGACCACCACCAATCACATGCTTACTTCTACAGAATGTAGAAGTAAGCATGTAAATGATAGGTACAGGTAAAGTATCTTGCCTAAAGACACAATGGCAGCACACTTTACAACCTCAGCTGTCCAATGTGGCATCTGGTGTTCCTGATGGTCTCCCATCACAGTACTTCCCAGACTCTGTCCTGCTCAGGTTATTCATTTATACAATCTGATTGGATCAGGCTTTAACGTATGGGTATGGCCACAGTGAAATGACTTCTTGGTGCAGTTTTAGAAGCAGGTAAAGTCACCAAAGGCTTCTTGTTGCAAAGGTTTTACTGATCTATTATTACATTTACCATTGTTATTGAATTATCGTTTAATTATCGTCTTTTTTTTAATAAACATACTTTTACATTTTTATCTTTGCATAATTCTTCCAAGGTCTGAACTCCACTCCAACCTTAATGTATACAGAACAGTAGGAAAGAAATGAGCACTCAAGATAGATAGATAGCTGTAATATGAAGGAAATATCTAAATTATGTATATAAATAAAATATAAGATTATATTTACACATACACACATAGATATATATGCTTCTTTTAGGTATATCATACAATTATTAATGCATAATATAATGAACTTCAAATGGAAATTGAATACACTGGTATACACTCAAAGGTGTATATTCCCCTTTAGTTAGTTAGGGTCAACTCTGTTGTCATGGTGACATTTGTAACTCAACAGTTGTGGAAGGGGCGTGTGAGAGGTGGGGGGTCCTGTCACCACACCCAAACAGAATGAAGAGATCCCTCAGCTGTGGGTATTGCGTTGGTGCCACTTTTCTGTGTAGACCAACTGTAGCTTTATCCTCAACACACTATGTAACCCAGATGATTACTTCAATTATCACCTGTGTCAGACTGTAGACCGAGTTGGTGTTCAGACTGCAGTGCCAACCGAAAAGGATATCTCTAATTAACTGATAAACCAAAACATAATTATTGGACTTCTTGAGAAAGCATGCATTGTTGTTATGAGCCTGTCACCGAGCCTGAGAGTTGAGAATTGTTGCATAGAAACAAACGTTTGGAGGAAGAGGCTTATCCTCCAACAGAAAAGTCTCACCAAGATTCTTAAAGTGGATTGAAGTGTAGGATACACTCACTTTCATTTAAAACACTAGAATGTCGTTTTAATGTTTTGTGTACTGAGAACGTTCGCTTTGTGGTTGGGTAATATCTGACACTACTACATAATCCCCCAATGCCAATGCCAGTAGCTGGAAAAGCCGAGCAGAGCCTGAATTTCCCAGTGGCTGCCGGTTCCTGTAATACATCACGGGTCGGTATTTGTGGAGCCATTATCCCCTCAGATCAAAAGGGATCTGTATCTAAAGCCAGAGATAGTGTACCTGCCCCTGTTGTCAACTCCTCTGAGACACAGATGATGGGTGGTCCCGGCAGCCCACTGGAAGCTCCTCTGTCACCTTGACCCCAGGCAAACCCTCCAGGCCTGGGTAGTTGTGTCTTCACTTCAAGCTCTTTAAGGAAAGCAAAACATACAGGAGGCTTATCTAGTGCAGTTAAGAGTGTGTTGTTCAGGCTTTGGCAGAAATCCAGAGGAGTTAAATGTGTTCTGATAAAGAGTATTTGAAGCAGCGTCTCGGCAGGTTGTCCTTTCATCTGTCTGTTTGATCTGCTCTGTTTCAGACATCTGGACAGGAAACAGACGCTGGCTCTGCTCCCAAACCCAATTTAGCATTACCCTTTATAAGCTGTCGTTTTCAATTCTTCTCTACGTTCAGAGACTTGATTGTTTTAGCACATTGTCCTCTTAGGTCGCTTGTCTTCTCGGGCCCATCGACAAGGTTGGCATGTGGTCCAACTTCTTTGTGCAGCAGGACGAGGATGGGCGCATTGGGGTGGCAGCAGGGGGTCAAGCTGGCGGCTTGGGGGGGATGAAAGGTGGCAGGACACAGAGGCGGAGCCACAAGATGAGTGACAGCCAGGAGGGAAAGATCAAACTGGCCTTTTTTGTGGCAATTATTGGTGTGACCCTCACAGTGCTGGGTATGGGCACCGAGTTCTGGGCAGAGCTGTCGCAGCCAAAGACTTTCAGTGGAAACCAGACATGTCAGATGGCCCACTACGGTCTGTGGAAGGGCTGCGTCCGGACCCTGTTAGTGGCCGACATAGACCCAGAGAGAACGAGTTGTGGCCCGGCTGAGCTTCCTGGAGGTGAGTGACCCCTTCTAGTGCGTCTCCTGCACATTGCACACAGTTCAAGAAGCAGCAAAGCTATCAACATCCATGTGCCTGACCTGACTGAGATCTAAAGACATTCTGCTTCTCAGTTAAAGTGTGGGAAATAAAACACAACAGTAAATGAAGACTTTTTCTATGCACTGGGCCGTTGTATTATACATCATTTATAGTTTGTAGAATAAAAGACAACAAAGAGGTTGTGTGCAGCAGCTGCATCCTGTGTTGCTTATCTAGGTCATCCTATTTGCAGATTGAATCTTTAAAGAAAGATTATACTGGGGAAGATATTCATTGGAGAGAGCCTTAACACATAATTAACTATGGATGACCACAACACTACATGTGTTTGAAGTCTCATTCTATAGTCATATCTTCATGCAACATTTAGACATATGACATGTGACATCAGATTGCACTGTAAGCAGTGCTGTGCGCTCCAGAGCTTTGGGAGTTATATCAAGTGTGTCTAATGCTCATGTTTTCCCTTCATTAACTTCTCATTGCTGGGCTAAACAGAGGACAGGCAGGTGAGGATGCTTCTGCCATCTGCAAAGCTCTTCTTATCTAACCAAAAATTAAGTCTATTTTCCACTTTGGAGACTATGGTTTCTTTTTCCCAATGGTCAAAGCAGTGAAGACAAAAGCACTGTCTCGATGTCTGTGGATCAGTCCTCCTCTGACAGTGTCACACTTATAGGTGAGCCTCAGATGTGCAGACAGAGCAGTCTAGACGACATCATGTGGAATGATGCATCATAGGATTGTTTTCAGACTAATTCGTCTCTCCTGTTGGCTCTCACGGCTGCTATCACAGACACATTTGTGCAGGATGCTACAGTTGGAGGCGTTACTATGCCTATGACAGGCTGCTCACACTGTGCTCCATGCCGCCTGTCGCATTTGGCTGCAGGCTTGTCATGTTCACAGAAAAACAACTGTTTTTTCCATTGCTGCTTCTTTGTGGCATTCCTGTTTACTGGCCTCTGGTCCCAAGCACAGTGTGGTCAGATGATACCAGGCCTGTCATCCCTCTACCTCCATCTTCTCTTAGAGACGCACATGTGATGAGGAGACAAAACTGTGGAAAAACGACACATGTTGTGGTACAGCTGATAGAGATGGGAGCATGAGGCCATCTTGAAGCACATTAGGTTTAGTGGGTGGAAGTCATCAGTGAGTGCTTGTGAAGCCAAGTGGAATCTGACTACTTCACAGTTTTTGTCTAAATATAGAGAGGGGAGATGAGGGACAGACAGGGACTGAGGCTTGCTCCACTGCTGCATTACACACACATTACGAGTGCACACGTGCACTTCTCCACCTCTGGAAGTGCCCAGTCTATTCTGTCTGGCACAGGCCCATCTTCCCAGTATCTAATACTCTCCAGGCAGTATAGGTGTTTGGATCATATTCCTCCACCTGTATCTTTACTCCCCCTCGCTCCTCACAACTCTCCCCCCCCTGCTCTCGCTGAGGTGCTCTTGCTCTGTGCTGGGCACCATATGTGCAGTGTGCAGCCATGTCTCTGGGTATTGCTGCTAAAGCTTCACATTGGGTTATAAATAGTAGTGATGCCTGGAAGGATGAAGTGCAGGGATGCATAGGAGGCTCATCAGAATAACCTGCAGCCATCCTCAAGTCTGTGTCTCATTTTGTGATTTTTGTTCCTCCTAGAATCCAACTGCACCTATTTCAAGTTCTTCACATCCGGGGAAAACGCAGTCATCTTTAAGAAGACGACAAGCAGAAGTAAGACTATTCCCATGTCTTTGCACTTCTACCCCAGAAGACCTTGAATCATGAAGATGTACATGGTCATGCTTGCAGGGTTTTGTGCTTTGACCCATTACCCTCTGGGTCAAAGCACCCTCTGGGTGTAGTAGATTAACAATCATCTCACTTTGATAAATGATTACAAGAGAGCACCCAGACAGGGGCTCCCTGAACATCAGCTGCCTCTGGTAAGTGCTGCCTCCAGCTCCAGACAACAGGCAGGAGGCTCATGTTTGATTCTAATTTCATGTTTAGTAATTGAACTGTAATACCTCATTCTTGGATAAAATAACAAATCCAATACAAACCTAATATGTACTAGGGTAGTAGTTCCAGTGCCAGGAACCTGGTACATATTCACTCGTCTTCATTGACAACATAGGGTTGGCAGTACTATTATCCCTGAGCAAGGCACTTGCATAGATGCACATTGGCAGCCATAGTTCTCATAAATCAACCCCGGGGCACATGTTGCTACTGATAAAATAGCAGTAGTTTATCAGTAAGATTACAGAAATAAAGTCAAAAAGCAAAGTCTGGTAATAATTTAGCTGTTTTCTAAAGTATTTTTTGGCTTCACTTTACATTTTGGTCAACAAGCCCTATCCCAACTCCAAGGCATATTTCTCCTGTGATTATCTTTTGGAATAATGTAATATTGATCGAATGGTGGAGTTTGTGTGTGAGTGCTTGTACTTATATGTGTCAGATCTAAACCTTGGGGCTGCAGTCCTGGCTCTGCTCAGTCTGACCATGATGGCCATGGGCTCCATCTGCATTGGGATGTCGCTGAGTAAAGGAGAGGCCTTTTTCCTCAAACCAGCCGCCTTCTGCTTCATCCTCTCAGGTCTGTCACAAACAGTGTCTACACACACACATGCACACACACACACGCACACGCACACACTCACACACACACACGATTCAAATATTCACTTTTTTTTTCTTACAAAAAAGTTCAACTAAAATGTTTAATCTAGGTGGATTGCTTTGTCTGTTGACCAAGATGTTTTGGTATATTTCTCTCTCTACATATGTCACACCTGCTGCACATTTCCAACAAGTAATCAAAATGATCAAACTAGAGAAAATTAGACCAAACAAGTTATCCAAACCACCATTTATTCTAACTATATTGATTTTATTTGTATTATCAATTTCATGATATTTTGGTATTTTTCACACATATTTTAGTTGTATATATATATATAGATATATGTAATTATGGAATATTGCACTTTGTATAACAAAATATAACAAAATTGTAAAATGACTATAATAATAATCTGAAAGTATGTTTCAGGTATACAAATCTATATTATTGTGTATATATAGGCTTATAAACAGTATATCATTATGACTATTTTTCTTATGAATATTACCACAACTTTAAAACACAATAAAGGCACTACAAAGCCTTAGTAGAACACAACAAGACAAAGCGTGCAAAGACCTGCGTGTAAAGTTCTGTCCTGTGTCCACAGGTGTGCTGGTTCTTCTGTCAGTGCTGATCTTCCACCAGTCAGTCCTGGCTCTACTGTCCAGTGACCACTCCATCCCCACCAGTCATAAGCTCTCCTGGTCCGTGGCCTGTGTGGGGTCGGCTGGAGCACTCCTCATATTCGGGGGGGTCCTCTTCATCCTCCTCTCGCTGCCGTACAGCCCCTGGCAAAAGTGTTTCCCCCATAAGAACAGTGGTGCCACTTAGCAACTGACCACATCACATTTTATGTTTGTCTAAAAGTGAGTGAGGAAATGCACAAGAAAGAAATTAATGTTTAGTTTTGAATCAAATGACTTGAATTCAAATTTTATGGTTTGATTTATTGGTTTATGTCCTAGCCACGGGTTGGCTACAGAAAACCCGCAGTGGTAAACAAGCACAGGCCAGGGGGTAATTGAAACAATAAAAGGTAACAAAAATTCAACATAAAAATCTAAAATGTATAATCAATGATCAATTTTTGATGTAAAGGGGCCATAATTAGCTGACTTCCGGATACATTTGACAAATCTTTAGCTTGAAAGAAGACAGCACTATATAGGGGTATAATGTTCTCTAGATTTGTAAGAATAAGTGACTCAGAAACATAAAGCAGGTCCGTAAACTTCTCTTGTCTAATTCAAGTATTTTCAAGTCATAATAATAACTAACTAGCTATTTATTCTTGCAGTGTGCACTTTCTCATTCTGCATTTAATATGCTAAATTCAAACTGTTTTACGTCTTAATGAAGTAGCTGTATAGTAAATTAATCTCAAAGAATTTGGATTGCTACCCAACCGTTTACTAATATCAACCCACTGCCAGTTGCTCAGGAGAAGATGGTCATCATTTTACATAATAAGGCTTTGTTCACAAACTTCAGAGCCGGGATGTCAAACTGTGAAAGGCCACAAGGAGTCAATATTGCATATCTTAAAAAAAGAAATCTTTTTTGTTTATAAAGTGAAGAGAAATCTGTATTAAAGATCAAAACAACCATAATGTCGAACCTTCTTCACACAATAAATGTCGTCATTGGACTGAATGAGGCCATCACTTTATGATGATCGCTGTGTTGGTCTTTACTTTCAACACTTAAAAAGGCAAATTCCATCCTAGAGTTTTCATCTGTTCTGGAACTTGAACCTATTCATACTATTGATTCTAAATGATGCTGCTGCTTCTCATATCTGTGGCACGTGAACTATCTTAAGTGTCCTGAAGTACTTTGAGCGCCTCTGCTTTCTAAACACTGAGCTATGTATTTTATGACTGAAATAGACCAGGGCATGCTGTTTGTTCTTAGCTGGTGTCTCTTGCTTCACAGACACATTTATGTACAGAGCAGCACACTCTCTCTTTATAATGTTTGACAAAGTAATAGACTACTTGACTGTTTTATTTATTGCTTGTGTAATAATGGTGTAACTTTTCTAGTGGAGGGTCACTCTTTTACTACAGGAATGTTCCAATGTTCTATCTCCACAGACACAAGCTGTTGAAAATGCAATCTGTGTTTAATGCTTTTGCTGGAACAATTCCTGCAAAACATGACACCTCCGCAGAGACGAGCAAAACATGACACCTCCGCAGAGACGAGCAGGTGGCAGACCCCCAAGAGAAAAGTCACATTGTGGAAGTGTGAACGAAGCTTTACCTCTGATGAATGAAAAGAATGAATGATTACATTTTTGTATAGCTCACTTTCTAAGCTCATCTTTGTACATATGCTAAAAGTTAACATTTACTATTGTTTTGTAGTGTTGTCACAAAAATGCCCTGTTTTGCTCCATAAATAAAATAAAAAGTTTTCACATTAATCAGCTGTTTTTTGTGATCTCTGTAACAGTATTCAGACTCGACATTCACCCATTTCCATCCCTTTGCTGCATGACCACTATGTCCCCCACCCCCATGTCCATACTGCTCTATAATTAGGCCCGAGCTCATCGCGGTGTGTTTAGTGCAGAGGTTGAGAAACCCTATCCTTGAATTCCAGCGATGTCCCCAATGGGCCTTCCGTCATCCTCCTGGGCCCTGTCCACTATAGACCTCTCATATTCCCCTACCACCAACGACCAACCAGTATCCATGGACTATTTCAAAGCTTTTTGCTGGTTAAGCACTGACATGTTTTTTAAAATAGAAAATAGATAAAGCGTGATCTTTCATTAGTTTTACTTAATCAACTTAAAAACCCTTAATGAGAGTGGTCTGATCATACAAAGTTTGTTCCTGTTATCTTTTGCACTTTGCACCTCTATATCTCTATATCTATGGAGAAAGGTCTGAGCAGTGCTTCCCGCTAAACATACCATAGGCCAAGTTTAGTTACTAGACTACAATGCAATCACTAGATTAATTAGTGGATCCTAGACCAATATTGTCATGTATACTAATTTAAAGTTTGACAACAGAACTAGTTGTAAATTAAATGAAGTTAAGATATTGAATAAGAGTACTCCTCATCTTTCCACCATGGCTTGTATTCTTCCATGGGTTGTCTCTCCACTTATAAAGTCATGTGTGAACAAAATAGCCTACAGCAGGTGACCATTTATGTGACAAATACCTACCTCTCTATCATTACAGTCCAATGACTTCTGCCAGCTTTAGATAAGATAGTTTAATACAATCATTACGCAGTTTCTCTTCACGTTTACCTGTGCACATCTTTCGCGCACAGGTGATAGACAGATCCAGATCCATGATAGGACCACATGTTGTTTCCTAGAAGCAGAAATGCACATGTTCCCCGAGGAGACAGGGGAGCTCACACCATGAGGACCATAGATTATATATATATGTCACAAGGTGGACCAAGGGAACGTGTGCGTGCGTGATGGGCGTGTGTGTGATGGGCGTACGTGTGTGCGTGTGTGATGGGCATGTGTGTAATTAGGTAGAAAGCACAGGTGTGAGTGTGACATGGGAAGAGGTGTCCGGAGCAGGAGTGAGCAGACGGGGCAGAGCGAGCAGCGATCGGGCCAGAGCAACCAGCGCGCACGAGACATCGCGCACGGAGCCTGGCGGAGTGGACCAGAGGAGGAGACACCGGTGACAGGAGGCGTCGTGGGGAACTGGAGGGGGAGAGTACGGCGACCCCCCCTCCTCGCAGCTAAGTGGCTTTCCTGTTCGTTGGCGGTGGTTGTGGGAATAAGGCTGTGGCTATTTTAGTTCTTTGGAGTGCTGTGTTCTTTTTGTGTGAGCCGGGCTTGTAGCCCCTACACCACCAGCCCAAGCCTCCCCCCTGTCACTGGCCTAGTGTGTTGACGGCCCTCCCTCTCTACACAGGCAGCCCCGCTGCTGTGGATCGTTTAGTGCCCTGAGACCCGTGCGCACTGGCGGACTGGAGCGGCGCACCCGAGCAGACCAGGAGCGGCGCGCGCACCGGCTTTTGAGGGGCGCACCACGACCTTCACGACTCTTTTAAATAGCATTTTTAAATTGGGACCCAGTCTTTTATATAATAGTATTAATAATTCATTTTAATTGTTCCTGAATAAAATTGTTATTCCTTTCAATGGTGTTGAATGTCAATTAATAGAGTGCTCCCCATTGGACAGTAATAGGGTTGTACGGGGCCCTCCGCCCCCGTGACAAGTGGCGTTGCTGACAGGATTGTCCAATTGGGTTGAGCCTCTATTAATTAGGCATGTCAACCGAGGAATTGCACCCAGGTGCGCAGCCAATGATGATGATGCCATTTTTAATGGGAGGACCTTGGGTGTCTAAATTTAACGGGGTTGGATCGGAGATTAGGGTTGGAGAATGGCGATCCCAATTAGAGACTATGCTCACGTTCCAACAAGTAAGGGACGCACACAAAGCAGACTTTGTAATAGGGTTTTTAGACGGAGAAGCAAAACGTGAAATTTTGGCTTTGGATCGTGGAGATCGAAACACCCCAAAGAAAATATTTGATGCACTGTCTGAACTGTACGGGGACAACACCCATGTCTCCGCTTTAAGAACACAATTCTTTAATTTCAGACAGGAGCCTAATCAGACTTTGAGGTCTTTTTCTCTATACTTGCGTGAACTGTTTTCCAGGCTTAAACAAAAAGACACCATGGGCTTGGGGCAAGGAGACCTGGTGTTGCGAGACCAGTTCATCCTGGGCCTTAAAGAAGGACCAGTACGGCAAGAGCTTTGTCGGCAGGTACGAAAAGCCCCCCAGCTCACCTTCGATTGGAGGATGAACAAGGACAGCAATGGCCTGCTTTCGAGTGTACAGCAGTGAGTAAAACCACACCCGTGAGCTCACACGGTACTGATTGGAAACAAGAGCTGCGTGCTGAGATCCTGAAGGATGTAAAGGAGCATATGTCTGAGATGACGAGGACTATTTTAGACCAGTTAAAGGGTGCAGCAGGACCTCAACCTAATTCTCCAACTTCTGGGTCCCCCCGATACAGGGACCGAAGCCCAAGACCAAGGTCCCCATATGGCCATGGCAGATTCAGGTGGGACCCCCAGGGCCGTCCCATTTGCAACTTATGTGAACAAATTGGTCATATCAGTCGTAGGTGCCCCTCCAAACCAGCTGGGCAGGATTTATAGGCTCCCCGGCCACTGCGGGTCAAGTGTCCGGACCTCTTCCAAGTGACCCAGCTTATAATGGTTCAAGAGTTAAACTCACAGGAGACTGCCCTCTAGTGGATGTGAGAGTAGATGGGATAAACGTGAAGTGTCTGCTTGATACAGGGTCTCAAGTAACATTGTTCAGTGAGAGTGTATGCAACGAGCTCTTTAGGAGCAAACAAGTTCGTAATAGTGATGAAATTCCCTGGCTCACTCTGAGGGCAGCGAACGGACTTAACCTCCCGTGGGGTAGGGTACATGGTGGCCGACTTTGAAATCCATGGGGTCCGGGTACCTGCACGTGGCATTGTAGTGGCTAAGGACGAGTGTATTGGAGCAGACAAAGCCATCCTAGGGATGAACGTGATTACTGACTGTTGGGAAGAACTTTCACGCAGTACAAGGCCTCCCCCAAACACTCGACGCCACCACTGAGCAGGGAATGGAACACTGTTTTTATCGACTGTCAACGCATCCGTGCTGCCTCTAATGCAGAGCCATGGCAAGCTACAGCGAGATTAGCCAGTCGTGCTCCTGTAACCATACCCGCACAAAGTGAAATGACTGTTTGGGCCAAAATCCCACGGCCCTCTTCAAACCAGCCAGGCTGTGCGCTGGTAGAACCCCTTGGGGAAGATGGAGGAGTTGGGGTGGCCAGAGCATTAGTGACTGTAAGAAAGGCGCGCATTCCAGTGAGGGTTAGGAATGTCCATCCGTATGCTCTAACGCTCAGCAGGTTCCAGAGGCTGGCGACTGTCTCGGCCGTCGACCCTGACGCGGTGCGGGATGGGAAGGAGCTCTCCATTCTGAATGTGGGTCCTGGAGTCGTGGAGGTTAATCTGGTCGACACTGCTGATCCGGACAAACCAGAGGTGAATGAGACAACTAATGCCCTTCCCCTCTCTAAAGGAGATGGACTCACAGATGATGAGCAAAGACAATTGAATGAACTACTGCGAAGATGGAGTCATGTGTTCTCGATACACGAGGAAGACTATGGACGAACGGGGGCTGTGAAACACCAGATTCCCACAGGTGACTCTAACCCCATTCGTGAGCGGTACAGGCCAGTACCCCCTACCCTTTATAAGGAAATCCGTAGCCTCCTTAAAGAAATGCTAGACGGGGGAATAATCAGAGAGAGTTGTAGCCCGTGGGCGGCCCCAATTGTTCTGGTTCAGAAGAAAAATGGTTCTTGGCGTTTTTGCGTTGATTACCGCAAAATTAACAGTGTCACGCATAAAGATGCCTACCCCCTGCCCAGAATAGAAGATTTCACTAACTAGCCTGACTAAAGCAGAGTGGTATTCCACGTTGGATTTAGCCAGCGGTTATTGGCAGGTGGAGGTAGAGGAGGAAGACAGGGAAAAAACCGCATTCACAACCCCATTTGGTTTGTTCGAGTTTGAGAGGATGCCATTTGGGTTGTGCAATGCCCCTGCAACCTTTCAAAGATTGATGCAAAGGTGTTTGGGAGATCGGCTAGCGGAGTCTGCTATGGTTTATCTGGATGATGTGATTCTATTTTCCAGAGACTTCCCAGAGCATCTCCAACACCTGGAGGCAGTATTCCGCTCCCTGGGGCAGTATGGCCTTAAGCTCCGCCCAGAGAAGTGCCAGCTTTTCCAGAGGCAGGTCAAGTTTCTAGTACATGTCGTCAGTAGCCAGGGAGTTTCGGCAGATCCAGACAAGGTAGCAGCCGTATCGAATTGGCAACCCCCTACCACGATACGGCAAGTGCGCTCATTTCTAGGATTTGCGGGGTACTATAGGCGGTTTGTAAGGGACTTTTCCAAAATTGCCAAACCCCTAAATGCACTTTTAGTTGGCACGGGCCATAATAGAGGCAGACGTTCCCCCTCTATTGAGTGGTCCGACCAATGCGACGCTGCCTTCCAGCAGTTAAAGCAGGAATTGCTACAGGCCCCCATTTTAGCGTATGCGGATTACACACTCCCATTTGTGTTATACACAGATGCTAGTAATGCGGGGCTTGGAGCTGTATTGGCCCAGGTACAAGATGGGGTCGAAAGGGTTATAGCATATGCGAGTAGGAGTTTACATCCCGCGGAGCGCAACGACTCAAACTATAGCTCTTTTAAACTTGAGCTTTTGGCGATGAAATGGGCTATAGTTGAGAAGTTCAAGGACTATTTGTGGGGGGCTAAGTTTGCTGTAGTGACAGACAACAATCCATTAGTGCACCTGCAGACTGCTAAACTAGGGGCTGTCGAGCAAAGGTGGGCTGCACAGTTGGCAAATTTCGATTACACCATCAGATACCGGCCAGGCAGGGAGAACACTAATGCTGACGTTCTTTCTAGACTGCCTGCTCCCCCAGACCGGGAATTGGCCGGAGAGGAGAGACTGGTTGGGGCAGTAGACTATGTCTATGGACTCTCCGCCCAATAGCTGGAGGTGGGACCCAGAGCGCTGGAGAAGTCTACAAAATGAAGACCCCGACTTACAAAGCATAAAGGAGCACGTTGAAAGAGGTACCCTACTGTGCGCTAACGAGAGACAATTGTTAACCCAATCTGCCAAGATCTTGTTGAGGCACTGGAGGAGGCTAGAGTTAAGAGACGGGATTCTATGTCGGATTGTCCAAGACCCCCAGACTCTAGAGACTCTTGCCCAGATTGTTGTCCCCACATCGCAGGCGAGGCCCCTATGGACTGTATATCACAAACAGATGGGGCATCCAGGATTGGAGAAGTCATTGACTCTTTTAAGAAGGAAGTTTTATTGGCCGCAAATGGAGGACATGGTCAAAACCTGGCTATCTGCTTGCCCACGATGCATGCTGCACAAACCCGGACCCCGAGGTAAGGCCCCTTTAGTGCCACTTGTAGCGAGAGCCCCCATGCACATTGTTGCTGTTGATTTCTTGACCTTAAGTCGCCCTACAGATAGGTACCAAAATATATTAGTCATGACCGATTTGTTCACAAAGTTTGCATGGGCGGTCCCAACCCTGGATCAAACTGCCTTGACTACAGCACGGGCCTTGTGGACTTATTGGATCCAGCCATTTGGCTGCCCTGAGGTGTTACACTCGGACCAAGGGCCAAATTTTGAGTCTCGGTTAATCCAAGAACTCTGTCAGATCTACGGGTGCATTAAGAGTAGAACGACACCCTATCACCCAATGGGGAACGGAGCCTGTGAAAGGCTAAACCAGACTCTATTGAACCTGTTGGGCACGCTTGAAGTAGAGAAACACCAGCGATGGGTGGAGTACTTACCTGGACTAATTCAAGCATATAACAACACTGTTCATGCTTCTACAGGATACGCACCAGCATTCTTGATGTTTGGCCGCCACATGAGGACCCCAGTTGACCTATTGACCGGGGGTTTTAGCACCAAAGCCCCTATGGACGCTACAGACTGGGTTACTAGGCATCAACAGCAACTGACATATGCTTACGAGAAGACATCAAGGAGCCTTCAGAAGGCAGGTCAAAAAAATAAAAGACTGTATGATCGCACTGCAAAGGAGGCCCCGCTTTTACCGGGAGAGCGCGTGTTAGTGCGTGACCACAGGAGGCGACAGACTGGGAAGCTGGGTGACCACTGGCAGACCAGACCCCATGTTGTTGTAACCAGGCTCCACCCCGAACGCCCAAATTATAGTGTGCGTCCTGAAGGAAGAGATGGCCCTGAAAGAGTCATCCATCGCAACAACTTGAGACCATGCCCTAACTACATACAACCAGAGGCGGAACATGGAGGTGACTATAATCGTGGCGCCTCATTGCCACACTGGGGATTTATGGTGCCCCTGGTGGGGGGTGTGCAAGAAGACCCAGAGCCCCCACCAGAACCAAGGAGGTCCCAGAGGCCCAACATGGGGGTGCGGCCTCCAAGATTCAGGGACTAGACCTCTTGTTCCCTGTGTCCGCATGAGTGATGTTCCAGGGACTAGAACATATTAGTGGGGGAGGATGTCACAAGGTGGACCAAGGGAGCGTGTGCGTGCGTGCGTGCGTGATGGGCGTGTGTGTGATGGGCGTGTGTGTAATTAGGTAGAAAGCACAGGTGTGAGTGTGTTATGAGAAGAGGTGTCCGGAGCAGGAGTGAGCAGACGGGGCAGAGCGAGCAGCAATCGGGCCAGAGCAACCAGCGCGCACGAGACATCGCGCACGGAGCCTGGCGGAGTGGACCAGAGGAGGAGACACCGGTGACAGGAGGCGTCGTGGGGAACTGGAGGGGGAGAGTACGGCGACCCCCCCTCCTCGCAGCTAAGTGGCTTTCCTGTTCGTTGGCGGTGGTTGTGGGAATAAGGCTGTGGCTATTTTAGTTCTTTGGAGTGCTGTGTTCTTTTTGTGTGAGCCGGGCTTGTAGCCCCTACACCACCAGCCCAAGCCTCCCCCCTGTCACTGGCCTAGTGTGTTGACGGCCCTCCCTCTCTACACAGGCAGCCCCGCTGCTGTGGATCGTTTAGTGCCCTGAGACCCGTGCGCACTGGCGGACTGGAGCGGCGCACCCGAGCAGACCAGGAGCGGCGCGCGCACCGGCTTTTGAGGGGCGCACCACGACCTTCACGACTCTTTTAAATAGCATTTTTAAATTGGGACCCAGTCTTTTATATAATAGTATTAATAATTCATTTTAATTGTTCCTGAATAAAATTGTTATTCCTTTCAATGGTGTTGAATGTCAATTAATAGAGTGCTCCCCATTGGACAGTAATAGGGTTGTACGGGGCCCTCCGCCCCCGTGACATATATATTATATTATATTATCGCTACGGATGGAATGTTTGACTCCAGTATACGTATGATATAGAAAGCAATAATATAGTAAGTTAGTAAAAGTAACAACAGTTAGAAATTCAAGCAAGAGGAGTAGGCCCAGTTCATAGTCATAGAGGCTAGCTAACCAGAAAGTACTAGCATAGCAGGGGAATATTTTACAACATCAACAAAAATCATGTCTGAAGCAATTATGGATTAGTTTAATTAATTTAATCCAAAATCTATTCTTCCAATGGGAGAGTGACTCTTCATCCTCCATGGCTCCTGGCTTGAGCAAAAATACAATTTATTTTGTATATATTAGGATTGTAACCAATGCATTGTACCACAGTGGACAGACAGATGACAAATGTCAGGATTTCCCCTTGATGCATGTTTGCAAATTTTTTCCCCATTCATGTATAATATTAATTACGTTTGTTATACTCAATGGTTGTAATGGATAGGGCAGTGAATAGGACCGAATAGATCATAAAGGTCGCTAACCCCTGTATGGGCAAGCTAATGCCTACAGGGTAACACCTATAGATCTATTGCTAACACCCAGAGACACATCTCTAGATGCTCGAGTTAGTCAGGAGGCCCACCGGAGCCGGAAGACTTGACCTATGGTGCATGTTTTGGGTGATGAGGGAAACCAGACCACCCTAACACTGGGAGAAACATACTACTAACTAATACTACAGGGAATCTTTCAAACGTTTTATCACTTTTAGGTTGGCTGCTTGAGTACTTTTCTACTCTCCTCTGCCTATGCTCACAGTAGAAAGGGTAACTAAAACTTTGACTCCAGTAAATGCTGACGAACTCACCTCTACGAATGGCCTGGTAGCTTGTGTTGACGGGCCCTGAAGTATGCAGGCATGCCTTTGTGGATGTCCCAGTCTCAGAGCACCACAGTAACATGAGGTATGATAATAGCAGGAAGCCACACTCCAAATAACTAATCCGCAAGCACGCATGGAATTTAACGGCCTCTCATTAAGAAGTGGCCCCCAATTTATAGTAACTGTTTATGGAACCACACTTTTGATTTAATTTTGATATAAATATTTATGTGTTACAGATGGCCACAAGGGCAGTGGTCAAGACAACCCATCTGCTGCTGTCCACAGTTGAAATATTATAGGTTTGACTGTGAAGGTCAAACTCATTCTGTGGTCACTCAGAGTACACAGTCAAATGACAATTCTCTGGGGGCTTAAAAGTATATCATTCCATTCATTCCATTATCTTATCTTTTTATTGCTATAATACATTAAAACATGTGCTCTAGACTTTACCATGGGAAGATATGTTTGCTTTTTACTCTTGAAGATTTTCAGGTCCAAAGACTTTATTATACAGCATGAAAGAGGGAGAGGAACGAGAAACAGTCGGCACATGGTCAATACCAAGATTGGCAAACATTTCCAGATCAGGTAATAACATCACCCTACTCGGGTAAGTGTGCAAGAGAGAAAGAGAAGGCCCCTCCATCCAAACATACACAGAACAATTGGGTGCAGTTCTTGCTCTTTCTGGTTTACCACATTAGGGTTGTCAAAAGTATCAAAAATCAGATATGAATTGATGTTAAGACTAGTATCGAAACTACACTAATCTGAGCATGTATGGATACAAAACATGAAAGATTATTGTCCAAAAAGAGCCTTTACGTAAAACTGTAATTTAGTATTAGTAGTGATATATTTTGTAACGTGACATTACTACAACACTCTAAATGAGAGACTCACGTGAAGATAATTCTACTTTCTGATTGGATACTTGATAACCAAAATAATAAATGTTGTCTTAAAAACGTGACCATCGTGTTAAATATTTAATTTGAGCAATAAATCAGCATTATTGATTCAAAGTTTTTTTTATCAGGGACAAATAATATATCAAAATATACTTTGTCCTTTTAAAGCAGGGGTGTCCAAACCTTTTAATCGGAGGGTTCGTTTAGTTGATCAGTCTTGCCGAGGGGCCAACTTCTTGGATGGTAACACCTTTTGACTGTTTTGGGATTTAAAATTAGGTATGGTATATGGATTCACATTTGACAGAGCTGAAGTTGGCAAAATGACAAATGTTTATTTTCACAATAAAATAAAAATGTTGGCACGGTCAACATCTGAATTTACAATGAGCTAAAGCATTCCTATATGAGCGTAGCTGAAGTTGTCTGGATGACTATGTTTATGATCACAACAACAGAGGCCATACTTTGGACATCCTGGCTTTGAAAATTTATTTGTTACAGTGTAAATAATATTAAATGTCATATTCCATATGTATGTGTGGGTATATATAAACTACTTATACGATACATGTTTATACTTGGACTTTACATTGTCAGTTTTAATGGATTGTTTCTTTTATCTCCTTGAATGTGGTGTTTCACTTTATAATATAAACAACAAATAGTCATACTTTGAATAAAATAGGGAGTTAAAGAACGCATCGCTTTGTTTGACTGAGTTTTGTAAATAACACTTGAGAAAAGTAAGAGACAAATGAATGACAGCAGCCTGTGTTGTCTGCTATTGTTTTTTTATAAACTTCGTGCAATACAGTGTTTATCACACATTTAGATAAATCATAGTCATTTGCCTAGATATATCTATTCTTAACTACATACTATGTATATTGCCCACATAAATGCTCTGTGCGCAGTGGAATTACATAATTATTCTTGTCCCAAAATCAAAGAAAACAGAAAATAAAATCCTGGAAGCATCTTGTTTTGTTCTTTTTCGTTTTGTTTGTGCGTCGGCAGTCACTCCGGACGACTCAGGTTTCGGACAGTAGACAGTGAAGACAGCGGAGGGCGAGTTACATTCTCATCAATGGAGAGAGTTCAGTTACAACGAAAGGGAAGCACAGTGAGAAAGGTAAGGATTTGGTCTTGTGACAAGGATTAGCTACATAAATCTCCCATTTCTCATTTTATCAGTGGTCCCCAAACACAACGCTAGACAATGTAATTACAGAAGCTCTATAACAAAGTTTGTCTTTTCTGTCTATACACATACATGTATTTTTGCCACTGAAATGGTTTGCATCTCATTGTTTGGGAACAACCCGTAAAAAATATTTTCTTTTCAGGCAGCAATCTTTACCTGATTTAACTGTACAAATCTGTTTTTTCTGCATCTTCTAGAATCCAAAGTTGTGTTAATGCCCAAGAACAAACATGTTTAACATACTATAGCTACAATACTACTGTTAACATTGAAATTAGACTAACAGATAGAAAAGGTTAACTCATAAAAAGTCTCATTTGCTTGCGTTATTGTTGCATTTGTTTAAATTCAGTATTGGAAGACAATTTACATAATATTCACATCTGACATGAATGAAAATTACATAATATAGTAGTTTAAAATAATACGGTTCCCACGCACCCGGCACATGTGTACAGTCATGCTTAAGACGTAACATGGATGAGCTCCAGCGGTTCTGCATGGAAGTTTCACAGTTAAAGTCATGAACGAAAAAAAGAAACATCAAAATAATACTTTCTTACTACTAACTTTGCATTATAGTTAGCATGTAATAACGCGTAGAATAATCACAACAACAATTTACAGTAGTAATGATCAGCGCAATGAGAAGCCCACAGAAAGTAAGTGAAACATCTTTGTAATAGCCCAAGCTTAATCGTGTTTGATCATTAACAAAATAAATCCTTTTCTAGCATGTTAAAATATCAAAATAGTTTTATTGTGAGGGTTTATTGTTGTTGTTATTATCGCTCAGTTATTACTCGTCAGTGAACATAGATGGGCCTCTACACGGGGGTGGTCTTCCTGTTCAGTGTGTTGGAGTTGCTCTCCCTGTCGCCCTTGAGCCTGTCCAGGGTGCCCATCCCTCGCTCTGTGGACGCTGTGAAGGGCGGGGGTCCCGAGCCCACAGAGTTGGACATGGGGGCATTGGAGTTGGTGGAGTTGGCAGGGTTGTGTGACTTGAGGGAGGGCAGTGTGCCACTCATCATGACCCCGCCCCCTCCCCCGTCTTTAGGAAAACAGTTGTGCAGTTGGTACAGTGTGGCCCTGTCCACTGTCCCGTACATGGGGGGCAGACCACCCAGTTTGGGGTCTCGAGACAGAGTGTAGAGTGAGATGTCTCCTCCGGCCAGAGCCGTATGTGAGCGAGAGTGAGGGTTTGGCAGTGTGGACACAGAGATGGGACCCTGGGACAACAGCGCAGAAGGGGGCAGCCCGAAATTCTTCCCTCCTCCTCCAACAGGTGAGGGGTCTCGCGAGCGGGAGGGGTCTGTGGAGCGGGACGAGGACCGTGAGCGGCGTCTGAAGCGGTAGCTGGGAAGGCGCAGCATGGCGTGAGTGGTGCTTTTGAAAATGTCAGTGCGAGAACGGCAGCGCAACTCCTTGTTCTTCTCAATGTAAATGTTGACAGCCAAGACCCCCACCATCTCAGCCATGATGAAGGACAGACCCCCGAAGTAAAAGGACCAGCCGTACGAGTACTGCCACTTTTTATCCTCATCCTTCTTAGGGGAAATGTCTCCTAGTGCCGCCGAGATGTACACAATCACGCCAATGATGTTGCTCAGGCCTGGAGACAGCACAGAGGCATGCATCAGCTCACAGACGTATAAACACAAAGGTTTAACATTTACATTTACAAGCAGCATCACAGAGGAGAGTCACACTAACTAGGGCGACACACTGTATGTTTAAACTCTCCAGAACACAGGCACCATTCCAATTGTTATGGTTGTAGACGTGAATGACAGCTAGTCGCAGATGCAGTCGAGTTGCTTGAAAGAAAAGGTGACTGAAGAGTTCTCTCTGTGGTCAAAATAACTGATCTCAGCTGATCTTCGATGAAACTGACAGCCCACATTTTTGAGTCACAGGCAAAGGATTTGAAATCCCTCTCTCTTGAGTAGACTGCTTTTTTCTATTAATTGTTGTGATTTTGAACTTTGAGTTTTATTATTGTTATTTTTAAGTGGTATTCTTATTTTGAGTTGTATTGTGTTGCCCTTACCTGCAGCTACAAACAGAATCCCAGCCCCAAGGATGATGTTTCGTTTGCTTCTGTAGAAACGACTGGCTGCGATGCAGACTCCTCCCATCAACAGCAGAATTGCACTGAGGATGGGGAAAATGTTGGATGCTCGAACCACTCCTATCAAAAAGAAGAAAGACAATTTAGGCTGCATCCAATTTTTTTGTCCAACCCAACTAACCCTAAGGGTGGGAACCTCAAGGTACCTCACGATACGATACGATACGCGATACAAAGCTCACAATAACGATTATATCAAGATATGACGCTTATCGATATAGTGGTCAGAAAAATACTGTTATAGAAATCTTTTAGTAAAGCAATCTGAATAAACAAGAAACAGTTATAAGTGTAAGTTATTTACTAATTCTCAACTCTGGATTCAAATACAGCACAAATGGTCTGTTGGCAGCAGGTCAGCTGATAGATGGAGATGTGTTTCTTTAGCAATATCTGGGTCATAGAACAATATGTTCAGGTCAAAGCAAATTATTACGGGTATCAGAGTTGTATTAGAGTAAGCAAGCGAACAGAGGAACCTTGAGCAACACTTATCAACACTGACTTCATTTGTGTAATATCTAGTGTAGATATGTCTTTGTTTTCTCTGGTCTATCTAATGTCCACCATTTCCTCATTCGTGGCAGACGGTTTCAAACGGCTGCCCGGTGGTATCGGCATCGGTTCTATTATTCATTGTATATGTCACATTTATCAATCAATAAACTCACACTTTGATTGTATTACAGCTCTTGGTTTTTTACATTATTTTTTGCTCTTGGCCTGTGCAGAAATTCCACAACAATACCTATGATTATTTATGACATAAATAAAACAAAAATGTTAAGTGAGAAAATACACTTTATTTCATGATAAATGGAATGGAGATGCGTAATGTAGCCATATATTAAGTATTGATTCTAATTTAAAAAAAAGATAAAAGAAAAAGAAAAATATAAGAAAATATTTTTTATACTTGGCAAAAGCATATTGATAATCGATCGAGTGAGAAAGTATCACGATACATCACCATATCGATATATCGTCACACTCCTTACAAAGGTTCATCAACATATTACATAACAAATACTTTATCATGGAATACATTATTTTTTCTCAAAGTTTAGGGGGGATGGGATGCACAAAACCACATCCACATGAACGTTGTTTTTCATCTAGGACATGCAGTAGGCCACAGCAGGGAAATGCCACCTAAATGCCAGCAAAATGCCTCTGCGCCATTGTAAACAGAACAGAGGCTATTCTTTATGTTTTCGCCAGGCAAACATGAGGCGTTTCAGAGCTAGATCACTGTAGGGCACTAACATGAACTAGGACACTCCACTCCACTCTCTCCCTGTGTTTCTGTGCTCGGATCACGCCACATTCACAATACCGAACAGCACGGCAGAAACAGGATACTAACATTTTGTAACTTTAAGATTGAGATGCTTTAATGAAAATGTTCCTCATTCAATTTAGTTGATCTCCATAGACTCATTCAGGGGATGTTATGTTTGTGATGAAAAGTATAAAATAAATAAAATTAACAAATATATTAGACATCTTTCCAGGTTTTTTCCAGTGAGTAACCAAATACCGTTCAATTATTAATATTTTTGGAATGACTTATGTTCAGAATTTTGTATTTTTTTCTACTGAAAAGATTATACTTTTAACACCCTGAGACTATTTAATATATGTCTGAACTCCTCAAATCATTGTAGTAATGCAGTAACTTACGTAGGACATACTCCGCCCCATCATGGTCAAAGTCTGCATCTTCTGGGAAGTGGTTAATTTGAGAACAGACTCCTCTTTTCACCCCTGTAGATAGGACAAGAGTTAGTTAAAAATATCACATTATGAAGAAGCCATAAGTAGAATCTATTCCCCCAATCATGTTGATGCACAAGATTAGCAGGTCATGTGTAGTGTAATAGTTTATCTTTCTATTTTATATACAACACAGGTTAGTCCTCACAATTCAGACCGGTCTTCGTAATGTACATTTTCACATGTACATTTTTACATGTACATTTAAACAATACAAGTATACATACAAGTGTGGACAGACAGACAGACGGACGAGCGGCTGATGGAGAATGAAAAGGATTTGATGGGATGAGGACAGATGTTTCCACCAGGTTCTCTGTGAAGAAGCAGGTGCAGCACAGAGGGACACACTTAACATTTCAGCTCCTCACAACATACCGTGTGCTCACCCAAAACAGCAGTCAGCAGACTTCTGAAAGCACTATTTACTGACATTGAAAATTCCAAATCCCTGCTCTGTGACGTTTGCATCAGATTATGACGTGTAGACTAAAAAAAATGACACATGGAGCAAAGCCCTGTCAGAATAAAGCAGCTGCAGAGGAGAGCGAGCAGGACATCTCTATCCTCAGCACCCACAGGGGCATGAATCTTTCAGAGGGGTTTATCTTCCGTTTGCTCTGTCTCTACACCTCACTGCATCACTGCATGAGTGTACTGCCTCTGCAGACACCAGGTCCACTTGACCCTTAAGCCAAGTCCAAATAGGAGATTTACTGCACCACAGTGAGAGCAGGTGGAAACAGGAAGAGAATATCTATGAGGAGAGAAGAGTGTTTAGGGGAGTGAATGCAGGAATAGCAAGTGAGAGGCACAGAGGAGTGGGTGGGGGTGCACTGCAGTAGTGCTGCAAGGCTCGAGCTTATCTCTAATTGGCTGCTGCACTATCAGGACGCTTAAAGATGAGGACAAATTAGCTTTGTACAATGACCGAGCCCAGGACGGGCGGGCACAGGCTTTTTAAGCAGAGCCAAGAGGCTTTCTCCAAACGGGAACTGCATCTGTTTGAATGGAGGGAAGTCACAGTGCAGATTGGCCCTATTACAGTTAGCTCTACTTGAGAGTCAGCCAGTCTGTGTAGTGTGTAATGGATGAGTATTAGCAGCTTGTCTTTCAGTGATGGTCACTGCCAGTTTCTGCAGCTTCTTCCATTTGGCTTCAGATGTGAGTGAGAAAAGGGAACTCTTCCTGAGCTCTGCCATTAAACTATTCACTAATTACTTGTGATTCTGATGGATGGCTTCAGTATGTTAAACCAATTCATGATGCACAAGATGTTTGTTATGATTCATAATGTGTAAAAAGTTTAAACGCCTGTACCTTTTATTCCTCCTCCGACTTTTTCAAAAGCCTCATCTGTGATGCTGCTTACCTTCCAGGCAGCATATCCTCCAGAGGCCGGAGTGGGTGAGTGCACCAGGGTCCTTCTTGTCCTTGTTGTGGGGGTCGTCCTGAGACGAGTTGGCGGTGCTGTTGCAGATGAGGGCACGGGAGTACAACCAGTAGTCCGTCCCTATGGCCACCGTCATCAGGCCGAAGGCAGCGAATGCCCCCACGGTGGTGAGGAGGATCTGGATCCCCTTCTCACACACCATGCCTGGGAACAAAACAATTAAAACATATAACCACAGTACAATTATTCCTTTAAAGAAGATCAAGAAAATCTTTGAGTTGTTTCCTAAACAAATAAACAAAAATGTCTTTGACCTGGATTTCAACATTGAGTAGGAGCCTGAAACCTGACCCCATGTTTAGTTCTGAGTCTCGTCACCAGCAGAAGGCCTGTCCTTGTGCTTCTCAGAGTCTCAGCAGGAGGCTTGTCCCTGTGCTCCTCAGAGGGCCAGCAGGAGGCTTGTCTCTGTGCTCCTAGGAGTCCCAGCAGGAGGCTTGTCTCTGTGCTCCTAGGAGTCCCAGCAGGAGGCTTGTCTCTGTGCTCCTAGGAGTCCCAGCAGGAGGCTTGTCTCTGTGCTCCTAGGAGTCCCAGCAGGAGGCCGGTCCCTGTGGTCCTCAGAGTGTCACGGATGTATTTTGGTGCGAGGCCATGGAGAGTTCTAGGCAGGACTTGAGTGTTTTAAAATACTTCCGCTGTTTTACAGCTCGTTTGGAGAGCCCAGTGAGCAGGCTTTTACTGTAGTCTAACCCAGTGGTTCCCAACCTTTTTTGGCCTGTACAAACCCTCACCAGTTTATAGACAGGGAATAAGTCAGCCGTTTGTGTGGTGTGTAATGGATTAGCCGGATTACGATTGCAGCATCACATTTTCAGTATAGGGTCAAACATATTTCACATATCCATGGAGTGCCAAACTCACTAAAATAAGTACATACATTTTACTGTTCTACCAAGGTCTACATCAATTTATTTCAATTATGTAGATAATTTGACCAAAGAATCACTTTAACTTGAGGAACATATTTTTCTGAAATTTTTTGTAAAAGCTGTTCTGGACCAAAAGTAAGGGTTAGTGCTAGAAACTGATACAAAAATTAAACTCCGCAGCATTTATTTAAAAATGCAAAGTCATTCTTATCAAAGTGTATTATAAAGGAAATCAAACGAACACAGAAGTCTTTTTAATCTTCTTTTTGACAATGATACTGTATAAAGTTGCTGGTGTTACTTATTTGACGTGGCTGTTAAACTGTAAGTCCAAGTCCATTATTATTATTGAGGGTTTTAGGGAGAGAAACTGCAGGTGACAGATAACGCCCTCTCTTTGATTGAGCAAAGACAATTTCAGTTGTGTCTGAGTTTTGGTCGGTTAGATGCAGTGAAGGAGTCCATGGTCAGTATGCACTGATACAACACTATAAACACTTGTGTATCAGTTTGATGATATCAGTTAACCCAATTATTGGGCAATTTATGTAATAAAGAATATTTCCTGCTATTGATCACCCATATGTTATAGATGTTTTACTTTTACTAAGACAAGCTTAATCTGTCGATACTTGGACAATTAGTTAAAACATAATTGTAACAATTTGGTTACAAATTAATGCACTTAATCGTTTGTATGATGAGAACTACATTGAATGATTGATTGATTGAAGTAGTAAGTAAGTACACTGCCCCGGCAGAAATTGAAAACCAGATGATCAGGATTGGTATTGGACAGGAAAAAGCAATATCTGTGAATCTCTACATTCACCTGCTGTCAGCGAGACATACATCTGATTGGATGAATTCAAATTAGAGACACAAATGTTGAATGCATCTGTTTTACTATATCTGTCATTTCCAGACTGTGGGACAAATAAAGACATCATTCCTTCATTATATTTTTTGTAGCTGGGAGACATCTGATTGAATTGGTTGCAATATAGAGCAGAACATTGAACACATATTTGCTAAAATCTTTCGGTGATGACACCCAATGCAGAGGACATAGTCATATGAGGACAATGCATGCATCTGTCTAACAACAACCATCATAAATGTTATGTAGAGCCTTATGAAGCGACTGTTGCTATGATTAGCCGGTACTCACACAATGAATGGATAGAGTTTAAACACATAGAGCTATCAGACAGCATATGAGCCCAGCTCCTTTGTTTGGGAGGCTGCAACTCTGTCTTTGAGCTGACGAAGCTTAGAGCAGACAGCGCTAACAAGACACAATTGAAACATATCACAGCCACAGCTCTGCTCCATATTCATGACCCCGACACCTCTGTCCCGCATCGAGGTCACACTTGCAGAGCTAATGTGGCAGGGGCTCACCTTGCCTCTCTGCACTTACCAACACAACAGGTTTGCATGACATAACAATAGGGCTGTATTCATGGTCAACTGAAGCTCTACCGCATCTATTAATCACAGAAAACACTCTCAGATCTTTTAGTATAATACAGAAAAAGACCACTTTAATGGAGGTCTTCCTGCTTGTCCTTGTGCATTGCGCATGATCCGATAGTTATAATATGACTTTAGTTTATACTGTAGATAGATTGATAGATTAGCTGATAGCTGAGTGTCCAATTGCCAACATTCGCACATGTATAAAAAAGGGACATTCTAGTGATTCTACGTATAAACATATGGTACACAGATGTATTGATAAGATACATGTAAGTAGTAATTTTGACCCTAGCTGTAAAGTAAGTTTAGTGCATGTACATTTACTGTTACATTGTCCGTGTGTGAGATTTTCGGAGACATTTCTCTCCACTCTCCTATCTGACCATCTGCGGTCCTCTGAAGTTTCCGCCAACTTCTTGTAGCGCTTCTATTTTAGACCAATGACACACACACACACACACACACGCTGTACATGACAGCAGAAATGTCCTGACTTACCTGACGGCGAGTTTCTATCCTTCGACTCAATTTTGAAATCTTTCTTTTCCTCGTCAGTGAGAAACGTGCTGTCCCCTCAAACCGGACAGCATCCATCGACTGTGTTCACCTGCTCCCCCTCTCCTTTCCGTGCACTCGTGTGTAGATTGGTCCTCTTCAGCTCGCTCTCTGGATCTGTCCTTCTCTCTCTCGTTGGCCGCTATCGGGACGGCAGGAGGCTGTGGCGGGGATGACTGTGCTGCTACAAAGCATCCACTTGCGAATGCATGGGGTTCACTCTGCAACACAGAGCGGAGCATTTTGGTTAAAGCGAGGCCAGTTGAAGGAGTAGGCAATGCTAGATCTGTTTTTCAACCTTTAGATATAAGATACAAGATACCATGTAACCATGAAAATCCTATTGAGATTCAAGCTTCACATTTTCAAGGGCGTCCTGGCCCGGAGACACCAGCAAACACAACTCTCTGACAACTTCATACAAAATAAGTATGTAACAGACAAAATATGCATTTCTAAAACATACAATAACTTGTTAGCTGAGGATCTCAGAAAGGTGACAACATGTGGCATAGATACATATGTTTTTTAGTTTGTTTTAAGAGTTCCAATCTGTAGGTACATAATACTGAAAGGCAATAAAATCTTACAGTGTCAAATACCGACACTGAGGAGGAACAAGACCCACACAGGTCCTGAACCTACCATTCTTGAACTGTGCGTTGTATTTACCCCTTACGGAATACAAAATATGTTATACTGTTTATTCTTATACTAAATAGTTTACAACCCGGACTAACCTGAGACTAAAATCTCAGATGGACTATCCTGGTTAAAAAAGACAATAGGAAATTATCTAAATAACTACTGTAACCTATAAATATAAAATATATATATAAAATGCATATGTTTCCAAATGACAAAGTCTGCAAGGTCTTGTGACAGTGCCCTCTGTATGTATTATACTGTCCAATTAATGTGAGAAAATTACAGACGACAACAACATTCTTTTCTGTGTATACTTGAGAAATTCAGGCATCTTTTCCAAACGTAGCAAAAAGTGCCAGAACAGCAGTAAAAGGCATAGCATCAAAACCCAAAATGCCACAAACATTGTAAATCTAACGGCAAAGCTTGTTAGTAAAATTCCAAAGACATTTTTTCCCGTAATTCCTCATGTTACGGACGCATATCGTCAATGGAAGTGTGCTGACCGCAGTAGTGCAGCTCTAACAGTGCATAATGATGTCGCCGATGCAGAGGGGCTGCAAGTTGTACCGCATCTGAACGAGAGAGCGAGCGGGAGGACCAGCCCGCCACTGTTACCATAGCAACATTGAAATCCAAAGTCTGGATGAGCAGCGAGGGGAAAGTAGAGAGAGGCTGCGCGGCGAGAGATACAAATGAGAGGGTCATTTCTGCTGATTATTCAATGGTTTTCAAAAAGCAGGAAGCAGGCGAAGCAAAAGATTAAAGGAGAATTGGGAATGCAGGATAATCAGAATACTGCATTTAAGAGACACAATGTCAAAAGAGTGAGGATGGGGTTTCAGGCGGTATTAGAGATCCTTTATTTCACTGAGTTTGTGGAAAAAGCAGCCCTCCTTGACCTCAATTTTCAAATACTTTATGCCTATTGTGATAGATCTATTCACTTTTTAGCCTGATCTATCCATTATCCTCATATCTCTGCAGTGGAGGACAGTAGAAGGAGAGACACAACATTCAAAAAGTCCTTTGTTACTCATGCAGAATATGCAACTACTCAATATCAAGTCACACTGTGGTATCTTAGATCATGATTCTCATACTGTGGAAATGCCATATACAGTCCTTTGTCTACGAGAGCACAGTCATGTGAAGGCTGGGGTTGTGTTGAAGGAAACAGTGTAACAAGACCGAGCCTCTGCAGCGGCAGCAGTATTCTTTCTCTATAGTTTGCTTGAGTTGCAAACGTGGTTGAAAAATTATATAATGAAATCCGTCATTTCAATGCATTGATTCTGCAGTTTTAAACCTACAGCCAGAGGAAAGGACTTTGGGGTCTAGTCCTGATAGCTCAAAGTCTGGTCAACCAAAATTATGTTGCATAAAAAAGATATCTTGGTTAATTATGTTTTACCCAGTTTTTTTTCAAACACAAAACAAATAAAATGTCATCAAATATGTCTCAAAAAGATGTATAAGAACACATTAGAAAAGAAATTTAACAAATTCTTGTTGCGCATAATTCCATTTTGTTTATATCTCTGTATCACAGATTAAAGCTGGGTTATCTGAATTTAAAAACACTTCTACAACAGCCATTTACAAACCTGCACATACACACACAGTATACTTATCTAAACTCAGCGCACTGGTGTTTGCACACAGTCACACCCCGTTTTCAGACCCGGCGATGAGACTTTTCCAGATTTTACCCTTGTGTTGACTCCGGCTAAAATCTGGATCTGTTCTGGATTGTTCAGATTCAAGATTCAAGAATTGATTTGCCATTTGCAGTAAAACCACATTGGAAAAACAAACCAGCGCTCCTGCCAGGGCACCATTTATCCATATTCTTTCTTGTGGGGCCAGTGGAGCGTGCAATGTGGATGGCTTTTATTTAGCTATTTCTTTACGTCATTTTCTAATAAAGTTATAAACATGTGGAGAAAATATTGTCTAAACTGCCTGAAAAGAGTATGGAGAAATGTGCCTGTTTCTCTATTCACTTTGAGTTGACGGTATAGAACTTAGAGCTAATAATAAAATATAGATCGCCCTCCTCTGCTCCAAAGATGACACTGGTGCAAACACAATGGACTGAAGTTACACAAAACCGGAGAGGATTTGGATCCACACCGTTTATTCCCTGTGTGGGCTCCGGGTGCACTGTCTGTAAACTCAAAGTGCTTGACAAAAACATGAAAGGAAACATTAAAATCATAAACAGGTAATAGATGCAGTACATTGACCCTTTAATGGTTTCCTCATCCATCACTTTTTGAATCATATCTACTTGAAGCATGCTTGGAATGGAAATCTACCTCTTCGGAGCATCTCTATCACTTGGTTTTAGGCACTTTTACTGCATGTCAATCATTTAGTAAAGGCCTTTAATAAGAGGGTTTTTAGTGCTCCAACATTTTAGAAAACCAAACAAATAAAAATGTATGTTTTTTTCTTGACCGAACATTAAAGGGGTTAATAAAAGCGCTGATTTATAAATATTTAAGTTGCATAAATGTATCTGCTCAAACTAGTTCCATGCTCTCAAAACAGTTTGGTTCTGTTTTCGCATGCATGCATCTTTGGGCATTTGATATCAGTATTTTCAGACAGACAAGTGAAAAAGAAGGGGTCACTCTTGCTCAACCAATCAGCTCCAAGTATGAAAATTATGTGGTTGGATTGTTTGACAAAATTTTACTTTTAGACTCTTTCTGTTGGGACAAATAATATGCAGATTATAAAAAGTCAGGTACCCCAGCTTTAAGAGAACACAATTTTTGTGTGAAAAAAAGACAGACAGTGTTACGCGCCCTGGCGTATGCCTTCTCCCCTCCTCAGATGACATCTCTTTCAGCTCTGCCCTGATTGGCTGGCGGTCCGCCCAAAAGCAGCAGGTGTGCTGATGGCCTCTCTCTCTCTCCCTCCAGCCCTCTGACACACTGGTCCCAACCACGTCCTGGGACAGACGTGTCAGGCCACGCCACTCGTTTTTTCGTATGATTTGACTTTACACGCACTTGCACCCAACACGTACATCTACACAAAGGTTGTCATACTGACTATCATTCGCACACCTCAGCCCATTTCTCACTCACAGAACATAACAGTAACATATTCTCATTCAGCACTCTTACCTACACATAAGGTTATCCTACTGATATTACTTGCATCACACGCAGCCACTCATATTACACTTACACTGATATTATTATCATTATTATTATTATATATCAATAAATGCCAACAGGCTTAAAATCTGGTTCTTGTGTCGTTCCCCCTTATTCTTTGTTGCAGCCACAGAGCCGGGCTGTAACAGACGGTCTGAAGAATGGTGTCATGGATTTACGATAATATAAATTACTTACACCAGAATCACTCAAAACACAAATTTCAGAAGATAAACGGTAAAGGAAAACTATAGAAAAATGCAAACTCATAGTTGATATTGCATTATATAGGTTAGCATTGAAATCTGATAAATAAGTGTTTATATCACCTGGGTATTAACTTCAAAGTCGGACTAGGATTTGAGATTGTTGTATACCCAAGAGAAAACCATGAGAACATAATACGTTATAATGCAGCTGTTGTCATTTACTCTTTGCTGTCATTATAACGGTGTTTCTGCGGTCTTCGTGGTTTGCCTTGCAGCCCCCGTGTGGCGCATTATCCAACGGACATTATTATTTAGCATATTGTAACAAGCAGATTCGTAAATATTTGATGATGCAATATGGCGAGCGATTGAAATAGGTTACATCCTGTTTGCATTGTGAGGCCCAGAGCACAGACAGAGGGTGTGAAATGTGGCTTTTCTGTTCAGTAAATCTAAAAATCACGGTCAGTCCTCTCTCCAGACTGTAAAACCACAGAGCGGCTACACTCTCAAATGTACTCGTTGCCAAAAGTCGTTTTAAAATGTAATAATTGCAGGAAATGTGAAAAGCAGTATAGTAGATTAGTATAACAGTGTTTTGAGGGATGAAGCAAATTATTCTCGAGATGAGACAAAACACAAGATTGGCAAGACTCTAAATCATTCTATAATATAATAAATATGTTTTATGGGAGAACAGCATCTTAAAATCTACATAATTTAACCCATTTTTCTTTTCCATTCAAGCCAAATGTGAACACACTCAAAATAATCTCATGAAATGTTATAGAATCCTGTCTCTCAGAATTAAGATATGTTATGAGTTAGAATGCATGCGTATGTCCTTATATACAGTATCTGTAACCAGGGGTGCACATAAATGGTACGCAGGTACGCATGCGTGACAAATATCAGAAATGAGTACTGTAATGAGTTAGTAAGCGCCTACGTATTTCATATAGACCAGTTCTTCTCTAATAGGCATCGGCAGGCATCGGCGGGCATCGCCGGGCACTACGTACTCAAACAGGATTCCAAATCCTCCGTGGCAGCAGCGTTCTGACTCCAGAGCCACTCCGGCTGCTTTGTAATGACAGCGACTCCTTGGAAACAACGCGGCGAGCACGTAGCCGAACGTGGTCATAATGTACCCAGCGTGGACCATTCTCTGCTTGTCGCAAGTGTGTGTCTTTGAGTAATGCAAAATCAATAAATACATATTGCGTTACTGCAAGAAACAGAGCTGGACTATGGAGCCTTAAAGGAATAGTTCACCGTTTTTACATACTGACAAATGTTCTTACCTTACCTTAGACTAGTTAATACGTACCTGTCTGGTCTTAGTCCGTGCGCTCTGTCATGCAAACGGAGCAAAAACGGGAGCACAACCGCAGCCTCCTCTGTATATTTTGTAGCACCAAAAGGTAGCTCCCGCTAGAAGCTACCAAACTCTTCCAAGTGTTCCCTATTAAATGTATATAGTTACGTGACGTGTTACACTGCAAAGTATAGTAACACAGAAATGTAACAGTCGATTTTCTCAGCGGATAAAACGGGTACTATATTGTGAGGCGTAGTAATCTGAGGGGCGCTACGTCCGCGCACTAACTTCTCTCCGGAGACTTCTCTCTCGCTCACTTCCGTCAATAGAAGCAGCGTGACTTGTAGTACACACAGTAGTAGCGAGAGAGAAGTCTCCGGAGAGAAGTTAGTGCGCAGAGAAGTTAGGAGCGCTACGTCCGCGCACTAACTTCTCTCCGGAGACTTCTCTCTCGCTGCTACTGTGTGTATTACAAGTAATACACACACAAAATATACAGAGGAGGCTGCGGTTGTGCTCCCGTTTTTGCTCCGTTTGCATGACAGAGCGCACGGACTAAGACCAGACAGGTACGTATTAACTAGTCTAAGGTAAGGTAAGAACATATGTCAGTATGTAAAAACGGTGAACTATTCCTTTAAGGGAGTGTCCATGTCCCCCCCATGTCTCTAAATTAAAGCTGTGGTACCTACATTTTCCCTTGCATTAATAATGCATAAAAATGTTGGTTGTGCCCCAAAAGTATGTTTTGGACAAATCAGAACAAACAAGAAAGAGCCCTGTGAGTTATTATTTGACTTGGATTGAGTGGATTATCTGAGCTGATCTAAACTTTAGCATTAAAAAGAAGCAAGTATACAATTTCGATTAAG